AACTCCTGTACCCATTGGAGTAGACCCAGATTGACCACCGTGCAAGGTCAGACGCCTGAGGAGTTCGGAATTGCGCTGGGCACACCCCTTAGGTGCCCGCTTGCGCCGCGATCCGCGGGCCAAGACGGTGCACACTCTCCACGACGGCATCAGCGACCTGTTTGAGGTAATGATTGGCAAAAAACCGAGTCAGAACGCCAGTAACAACCTCGTAATATTCTGCGAACAGAGATATTCGAGTGTAGGGCAAATGTTGCCGCTAGCGCCCTGATCTCGTGCGGGTTTGACCCCGCTACCGGTAACCCCCGAGACCGGTACGCCAGATTGATGACAGAACGAAGCCACAACGCAATCGAGTTGCGAGGTATGTCAACCGTGCGATTAGGGTTACACGATATGAACAGACGGTCACGCCCTTGTCTACGTTCATTCGAAGCCTTAAGATAATACTTAAGGGCCCTAACCGGACACAGCGCTCTGTCCTCAGTATCAGCAGGATGTAAGATTTCTTTGAGTGATCTTACAGTGAATTCTCTCTCCGTTTGCCCGACTCTCTGATTCTTGGCGACGAAGCCCATGAGCAGGCCCAGGCGGACCGCTCCTTCGTCACCCCTATCGAATCGTACCTTGGCGACATCGAGTGCATGAATTTCGGATACACGTGCCGCCGTGGCAAAGGAGAGGAGAAATGCTGTTTTCCAAGTCACATGCCGGAACGAAGCACTATGCAAGGGTTCATACGGAGCTTCCGTAAGTGATTGCAACACTAGGGAAAGATCCCAGGCCGGTGCCCGAAGGCGGCCCTTCTTAAGATCGTGCTGTTTGAAACCCTTGATAATACCCCGTATCACCGGCTCTTTGGAGAGACTGGTACCCATAGCAACGTCCCGTACCGTAGCAACGGACGAGACATAGTTGGCAATGGAACCCCCGGAGAGTTTCCGGGTCTCTCGCAAGTGAGACATGAAACGAGCAATATCCTGCACAGATACCTTATCTGGCGAATGAATGTGATGTTTACAACACCACTTCGTGAAAATAACCCAACGTGCATTATACACCTTCTGGGTAGAATCACGATGCATACTAACGTATGCCCGAGACGCCCGGCGAGAAAAAACTTTACTCCTCAGACGCTCGGTGACAACATCCACGCGTGCAGATTGAACTGCCCTGCGTTTGGATGAAGCTGACGGGTGTGAGGGTGGATCAAGAGATCCGGTCTCACAGGCAGTGGAAGTGGCGACTGCGTGACCTGGGTCAGCAAGTCGGGGTACCACGATCTGTTCGGCCACATGGGCGCGATCAGTAACATTCGACAGCGAACTCCTCGGAGCCGGCTTAGAATGTGTGGTATCAACGCTGTCGGCGGGTAAGCATAAGCGACCAAGCCCGTCCAGTCTAACGCGAGAGCATCGTGATCGATGGCCCTCGGGACCGGGACTGGTGATACAAACAACGGGAGTTGATTGTTGAACCGCGTTGCGAACAGGTCGACCATCGGACGACCCAAACGTTCGCACAGCCACTGAAACACTACTGGGTTCAGCATCCACTCTGTGGGGCTCGGATCCTGAGGCCTCGATAGAGCATCGGCCAGTACGTTCCGCACACCTGGGATGTGACGGGCGCGTATCTGGCACGGGACACTGTCCACCAGAGCGTAAAACTCGAACGTGAGATCGAGTAGCGAGTGACTGTGGGTTCCCCCCAGTTTGTTCACATAGGACACTACCGTCGTGTTGTCGGTCGCCAGCATGAGCCGGGCATCGACGAGACGATGCTTCCAGTGATTGACTGCGTTGATCACTGCCTTGAACTCGAGACAAGTGATGTGAAGACCTAGTTTGTCTAAGCACCACAGCCCCGAGCTCACCTCCCCCTTTAGATGGGCGCCCCAGCCCACTAGAGAGGCGTCTGTATACAGGGTCAACGTGGCCCGGTAGGGCCGCATAGAGACTCCTGATAAGACAATGTAAGGGACCGTCCACCACTCCAGATGCGGTCGGAGCCGATCCGGGAGGGCGACGGTCGCACTGTTCACCTCCGTTGCTAACAACTGGATTAAAAACCGTTGCAGCGGGCGGAGTTGGAGACGACCCCGTGCGGTGCAGTCCTTGGCTGATACAAGTAGCCCTAACAGCTGTTCCCAAAAGTGAACAGTCTGTTGCACCGCTAAGACTTTGGCAATCATCGCCTGAATTTTGTGCCACCGGTCTGGGGGGACAAAGAGGCGATGGGACACCGTGTTGAACCGACCTCCGATGAACAGCAAGTTCTGAGAAGGGGTTAACTCGCTCTTGGGGAGATTGATAATCCACCCAAATTGCTCCAAGAGCCGACGTGCGAAATTGAGATGGCGTGACAGGGTGTCCGTCATTCGATTTGCTACTAGTGAGTCGTCCAGGTACGCGAAGTACCGGACACCCCTCCTGTGGAGGAACCCCACTATGGGGGTGGTTAACCGGGTGAACAGCCAGGGAGCGGACGTGTGAATCATTCTGAGTTCGGCACTGTCCTACTTGGGAACGAGAAATATCCTGGAGTAAAACCCCGGTGTTATTTCTGGTAGAGCCAACTCCCGTACTGCCCCTTCTCCACCAACCTGCCGATGGCATCGGCGAGGATGGGAAGATCGGTTTCCGAATCGAAACCTGCCAACGGGGCAACGGTGAGCGGCGGATTCGCTTTGAGATCAAGCCGATAGCCGTACCGAATCGTGTTGACCACCCACGGGTCGTCGAACACTTGTTCCCAATTCTCCCAGTAAGTCTGGAGTCTGGCTCCCACTGGGGAAGGAGAGGGGGCCCTGACAGGTTGCGACAGGCGCAACTGTCCAGGGCCAAGTGACTCGGGTTCGCCTAAGGGCCAACCGAAGTTGGCGCTGTCGGCATACGAACCCCTCCAATGAGAGTCACCTGGAGGGGCCCTTGCCGTCCGTCGACGACTTGGGCTTCCCCCAGTTCCCCGTCTTCCCGCGAAAGGGCAGCTGATTGCCCATACCGGAGCCCTCAGGGCGGGGCTACTTCCCAGAGGAAGAAGAACCCGACCCCTTAGACCTACCGGCCGCAGCAGCCTGGGGCGCGCTCCGGTTAGGAGCGGCACCCAGGCGCCTATGCAGGGACCCAACAAGAGCAAGTGTGTGCCGAGAGTCCTCGGCAACGTACTCCAGGGAAGCATTTAAACTGAGCAGGCAGTTGTAAATGCGCTGGTCACGGTCCGTGGGAGAACCTTCGACCAGACGGGCCGCTGCAGCCAAGTAAGTGTCTCCGTGAGACATGGAGTGCCGAGCGAGGGCGTCCAGCTGGTGCAAGGTAGCTTGCGTTACCGTAGCAGCCGGTGGGGCACGGACACCCAACCGCTCAACATGGGCCTCCGCGGTAGGACCAGCCTCGGGAAAGGCAAGGTCATGTACCGGGAATAAACCCTTTCTCCACGACGTCGGAGGCAACGGGAGACCCCGACCGGAGGCCGCCGCGAAGGCGTTCTCCAAGGAAGGCTTGAAACCGCGCAGCAAGGTTGATGCGGGGAAAGCCGTGTCGGAAGACTCATCGTATACCTCGGAGGAACCCACGGAGCCGTGGATTCCCCGCGGTACCGGCCGGGGCATGTCCTCAAAGAGGTCATAAACCATGGCCACGCGGTCCTAAACCGATAGCGGGAGCAACGGTTCGGGGGAAGGACCGGTGACCACGGGAGCCGCCGCCGTACCGGTGGACCCCGCGTCCGACCCCGCGGCCACCGAAGTGGCCGGGGACGGAACAGCCAGCGGCCTATCCTGAGATAAGGCCGCCAGCTTGGAGTCCACAAGTTATGCAAGTAATGCAGCGACGGAATCCCCGGACAGCACACGGGCCGCCAAGAGATCCGCCGCTTTACCGGTGGACCCCGCGGCCACCGAAGAGGCCGGGGACGGAACAGCCAGCGGCCTATCTTGCGATAAGGCCGCCAGCTTGGAATCCACAAGTTTCGACAACAATGCGGCGACGGAATCCCCAGACAGCCCGAGGGCCGCAAGGGGATCCGCCGCAGCCGAGGAGGTGGTACCCGCACGGGGACCCCGACCGGACGAACCGGCCACCACAGGGGTGGAGACGGACTGTACGAACAGCTGGTACCGCTCAAAATCCGCAGGCCCCAGACCTTCGCACAGGATGCACCGGGTGTCCCCGCAAGGAACCCTGCACCGCGGGCAACGATCGTGGGGATCCCGGGACGACAAAAACTTTCTGCACACCCCATAACTCCGAGGAGCAGGGGTAGAGGGGGTGGATACTGGGGACATATCCATGTCAGACATTGATTGTTTGCTATAAACAAAGAACAAAACATGGTTACAACGCACGCACCACAATGATTCACAAACGAACATTTTCACAAGAAAATAAACGAGCAATGTGAACATATAACATACACATATAACTTTTATTAAAGAAATAAGTTATGTTAACCCCCAAAACATACAAGAACAGGGGAAACGTAAAACACAACGTGCATACGCGAACCCCGCAAGTATATAGAAAAAAGGGCGGGAAAAATTTTCCGTTTGGCGGGAAAATTATAACCAATCGTAGCTACCGCAACGCCCCATAAAAGCACAGTTTATTAGAGAATAAACTATAATAAATATCACCAAATCTTCAAGGAACGCTTCAGCAGGAGAAAACACGTCTTGCTAAGCAGACGAAGGAGACAAGAGTGAAGGGTGTCACATGGCAGCTAGGTGGCTACGCATGTGCTGCATGAGGTAATTGAGATCTCTGTGGTAGATTTCGTTATAGCAGCAGTTGTGGGAGACAACAGCCTCGGTATAACAGTGGTAACGTATTACTTAATGTAATAAGTCAGGATAAGATAAAATTACAACGTTCCCAGTCACTGAAGATCTATTTCTGTCATTCTTACTGACATAACTCTTTAATGAAACAAATTGCATCTGATCATCAAGGCCAGTTCTTCAGTCCTTTGTTTGCTACCACAGCTAGACAGTGTTAGTGTACCTGTCCTGTGAGTGAGGAGAGAGGCCAGCTTCAGTGTTGTCGTCCCCAGCAGCACATCTCCTGTCTTCTGTACCACACACCTGCCAATCACTGCCTCGGTGCCGGTCGGTACATACTGGCCGACAGTACCTGTAACATACATCACACATACAGCCTTGTCGTTAGTTAGTGCAAATAACAGATGACTGGTCGTATATAATCACAACACTGTTACTATATAACACACCTCCATGTAGTCCGGGAACCTGGTGCCACACTTCAAAAGTTGCCTCCCCTGTTTCCAGGAGTTCTGCCAGACTGGTTCCGTCGTTCTTCGAGTCCGTCCACAATAAGGGACAAGGGAAGTCCAGGTAGTGCGAGAACTCGGGGGAAAATGTCCGGGCAACTGTCTTCGTTATTCTCTCCCCCTTAAAGAGGAATCAGATTCCCAAAGTAAGTCTTCATCAACCACATGAACATAATCTCTGATTATCAACCATATCTACATGGAATAATCTCAAGTACTCCTTCAAGAATCAACAGTGTGGAGTTTTTTTTATCTTTATGTGTTGCATCACATGTTACTGTGACAAGCAGTTCCTCGTCACTTACCTCATTGGTGAGAAAAGACAACTTGATCCGGACATAGGCATTGACACCCACTTCTGAAGCATACTGCATCCCAGGGTCAAGGTCACATACCTTCTCTGCTGCACACTACAAGACAGGTGAATACTCATAGGTCAAGGTCAGATACCTTCTCTGCTGCACACTACAAGACAGGTCAATACTCATAGGTCAAGGTCATATACCTTCTCTGCTGCTCACTACAAAACAGGTCAATAGTCATAGGTCAAGGTCACAAGGGAACAACTAGTGTGTCATGAGTAACATCAGCAACTGACCAACCATAGGCACATGAAAGATGAATCTTACAGACTATGGGATAAGTTGCTGGCAGATATTAATTACACATACTGCTGTTGACATAACCCACCTTCAGCCCTGTGGCTCGTATCACCCCCACTGACACACACACTTGGCTGCCTGTCAGGATTGCTTGCTGCCCTACTGAGGCTGCTTCCGTCTAGAGGAAACAGAAACAGACCTAGGTCAGACATTCACCTTCAGTAGCCCAATTAACATATTCTAAACTTACTGGTAAACATCAGGATTACTGAACCGCACCAAATCTCAACTGAAGAGACATCAATGGTGCGTATATGTCTGCAGTAAAACCTTCATAGCTGCACTCATTTCAGAAAAATCAAATATGGTTTCCAGAAGTTGAAAATGCATTTATGCTAACAATGTCTCACAATGACATAAAGACATCAGTTTTAAAGCCAGTTTGTCTAAACAATACATTGCTAATGATTACACATCATTGTACCACACTATCTTTTAAATTATATTCATCATCAGTGTAAACATGTTTAACTATATAACACCATTAAAGAGAATGACAGATATATTTATTTTCATTTCAAAAGCTTTGCAACCAATGTGAAGCAAAAACAACTTGACACTAATGTTGAGCAAATATCTGGCAGCCAGTAAAGCACCAGACAGGCCAGGAAATCCTCCAACAGTGTAGTTAGCTTGTTGCTTGGCATGGCTTCCTGTCAGTCTCACCTTGAGAGTCTTGGCCTTGTAATTAACAGTGACATCCATCAGCCCCGAGTCCTTCACCTGCAACACACGACAGTTTGTGATCATTCAAGTATAAAAGACACATCACCTCAAACCTCAAACAATAGTTATCATTGTGCATAATTCTAAGAATACTACCTCTATTACATCATAGCCATAAATCTTTAGAATTTTCAACAGACGTCCTCTTCACTGCCAATTATCCCAATAGTTTTGAGGTAAACCCTATCTCTTGTCAAACAGCATCTACGCATGCAAACATCACTTCTTTCCAATAACCTTCATCAACTAGATGTAAGATATATTGGGGAGGTGGGAGGGACTATTTCCTAATGTAATAGAGGTAGTATTCTTAGAATTATACACAATGATAACTACCTCCATTACATCATAGCCAGTATTTACCAGAGGGACAGGTGGGATCTGTCATCTAGTACTCCCGGATAATTGGCAGCAGTGAAGTAAGGGAATATATAGTCAGAACGGGGTATGAACCAATGCCAGACTTCCTGATTTCACTCTTGGCAAACCTGCAGAAGACTTGGCACTTGTGGCGTCTTTCCCGTTTCATGACCTCCTAATTGTTACCTGTTTTTGGTGATATATGACCTTATTTATGATGTTTCTCTCCGGTTCTGATGACCTTCTGAGGTCATCTATGACGTCACTTCCGGTTAATGCTTCATTGTGATGTAGATATATACTTGTTGCTCTATAGCCAACAGCATATATACTTATCTCACCTCAGGTATGATAATGACATACTTTTACACTGATGACATGTTTCCCTTTATATATTGGTGATAAAACGTACTCTTTATGTTAATTCCGGTTCTGAAGTCGTACACAACTACACCTCCGGTAGTTATACATGTTACGCCGAGCAACTCACAATGTAATAACCCTATCACCTTAGGCTAACTTACATTATGTTGAGGTACTTCTGAAGTCTTACACAACTACACCTCCGGTAGTTATACATGTTACGCCGAGCAACTCACAATGTAATAACCCTATCACCTTATGATCTATGATCTCAGGTGTTAGACTATGATCCGTCCAACCCAGTTGACATAGTGTAAAGGCTAACTTACCATATGTTGTGGTACTTTCTGGGATCTTCACCCCCCCTAAACTTCCACAGAACAGGGGGTGGATAGGTTACTGAGTGACTATAGCCTGGGCCGCCACCAAGGCCCCCAGGGAGTATAGTCCCTCTAGATCGGGTTGTACGTCTCGTAGGTAGAAATGAGTAGACGTATTGTGGGATCTCCATTGACAGCTTGATACCACATGTTTAATGGAAACTGACTTCCATGAGGCCAGACTTGTTGCTAGTGCACGAATTTCATGAGCCATGCAACTTCCCCATTTTGGTGTAGAGAGCTGGGCTTGACGATAATAATCAGATATGGTGTTCTTAAGCCATCCGGCCACAGTAGCCTTAGTAATTTCCTTTTCTGACGAAGGCTTGCAAGAGATAAAGAGCCATTTTCTTTTCTTCCTGTGGTTCTGTGTAGCTGAAATATAGTATCTCAGAGCTCTGATGGGGCATAATAGTCTATCTGGATGATCCACTGTTTTACTCAAGGATGGGATAGAGTATTGTCTATGTCCTAGTGGCCCAAATGCTGATGCCTGGTTTTTGGCGATAAATTCTGGTAGCAATCTGAAGGATATTGTGCTCCAGTCTTGTGAATGCGTAATAGGTGCGATATCAATTGCGTGAAGCTCAGACACTCCAGCAGCTGTAGCTAACGCTAAGAGGAAGGCTGTCTTTTTAGAAACTGTTAAAAGTGTAGCCTCTGCCATTGGTTCAGATCGAGCTTCCATCAGTGCAGACAGTACGATGGATAAATTCCATTATGGGAAAATGCGTGGGATTTTTATGTCTTCCAGTGAAAACGATTTCATGAGTGGATTTAAGACTGGGTGAGATCCTATGGACAGTCCATCATGTTGTAGAACTGAGGCTCGAGCTGATCTACAGCCTTCAATTGTACCAGGTCTGAACCCTTTCTCATTTCTCAGGTGAAGTAGAAAATCAGCCACAAGAGGTATTGTCATATTTTCGTCATACAAACCACCTTCTATTCGCCACTGGCAGAACTTTCTCCATCTGATGTTATAGATAGCTGAGGAAGCTGGTCTCCATGAGCTAGCAACCGCTTCCGAAGCTGATTTAGAGAAACCGGAAACTTGCGTCTTTGACGTGATAGTTTCCAGGCACGAAGGTGGAGATTTGTCAGGTTGCCGTAAAATATGTCCGATTTTGGTTGGCGGAGGAGATCATGATGTTCTGGTAGTTTGAGAGGCTCTTCTATGAGAAGTGAAATCAGTCTTGGAAACCACTCTTTGTTGGGCCACGCTGGAGCTATCAGATTTATGATGCAATCTGTGTCCTCGATCTTCCTTATTACTCTGTCCAGGAGAGACCAAGGAGGGAAAGCATAGGCGAACATCCCTTGCCAACTCATGGATAGACCTGAAGGGCTGATGCATCTGGGACTGGGCTGACGTAAACGGGAAGTTTAGGCATGTGGCAAACAAGTCCAGGTGAGGGGTATCCCACGTCAAGGTTATCCACTTGAATACCTCGGGGTGAAGAGTCCATTCCATGGGTCCAATCTTGTTTTTCCCGAGCGAGGCAGTCTGCAAGTATGTTCACTTTGCCTGGTATGTGCAATGCTTCTATCCTGCAACTCACTGAGTCTGCCAAGGCAAACAAAAGCATAACCACTCTCAACAAAAGTGCCCCCTTGATGTTGTATGTATGCTACCCCCGTGGTGTTGTCTGTAGCTGTCAGTACCGACGAGTGGTGTAGTCGATGGGCCCATACCTTGATTGCTTGGACAATAGCTCTCATTTCCACTTCCAGACGATTTATGTGTAAGTTTTTGTCTTGATTTGACCACGTTCCTTGGATTGGGACCTTCGCCGGATGCGTCTATATATAGATGGTGTAACGGTGGGGGAAACATGAGAGGGATGCCTGGCATGACGTTTTGACGCCGAAGCCACCATCGTAGTTACGATAGTTGGCTGTGAGGACGTTGTATTGCGTCTTCCAGATCCATATTTCTGGTGGTGTTCATCCAAGCTTGTAGTGCATGTAACTGAAGTCGCCCTCTGTAAGTAAGATCTTGGAGTGATATCAGGGTGCCTAGGCAAGACATCAAGGATGACGTGCCCTGCTGGGTTGGTCGAGGGCACTCTGAATCCTCTCTATAGCTCTTAGATATCTGTCCTCTGGGGGTTGTAAGATGCCTTTTGACAGTTGAAACCTTGCCCCTATGTACACGATGTCTTGAGTTGGTATTAATTTTGACTTGACGGGATGTACCCGGAAATCCAAATGAGATAGAAGTTGAATCAGAAATATTGCGTTCGGCTTTATCTGCAATAATTCTTTATTGGCTGAAAGGAAATCGTCTATATAGCTGTGGAGTCTTACAAGATTTAGATAAGCGAAGCCGATGATGGGGGCGATAATCTGTGTAAAAAGCCATGGTGCTATTGATATTCCGAATAGAAGCACGTTGAATTCGAACCTTAGACCATTTACTGCAAAGCATAGATAGGGTCGACAACTCAGGTGAATAGGTATATGCAGGTAGGCATCCTGTAGGTCCAGACTAACTAGCCAATCTCCTAGTTTGAGGGAATTGTGTAACTTTGTTACTGATTCCTGTTGAAACTTTGGGGGACGTACTAGGTAGTCTCTGTTGTAGAGTTCTATTTGGGGACCAGAAAAACTGTAGTGTCTGACTTTTGTAAGATGCTGATAGTAGTAGTTCTTGTATAGCCAAAGTTGCAGCCAATAACTTGGCTCCTACTAGATGAAAACGTTGTCCTTTGGGGTGGACTACAAGCTCCGGAAACAGGGTTTGTACCCTATTTTTACCACTTCCATTAGCCAAGGGTCGTCCATAATTCGCGGCATGCGTTAAGCTGAACTTTGGTAAACGGTAATCGAGGTCCATTAACATAGCAAGATTGACAGGGTTTGGCTGAGAGATTCTTGGGTGTAGAGAGTCATGAATGGCGGCTACCTCTACCTCTGGTAAAGGATTAACCCTGACCTCTGATTCTTTGGGACTCATGTCTCCCTCGGCTTGGTCTAGAATAGGATGAGTTTTTCCAAGTGGAGGCACGAAAAGACTCACGTCCTGACATAAGATTTCTGCGCTTAGGTGGATCCATGTGACTCTGGGTATCGGCCGACCTCAAGTATACATGACACATCACCTCAAACATGACTGTCATGCAAGAATAAATGAAACATAACCTCAAACACGACTGTCATGCAAGTAGACATGACACATCACCTCAAACACGATTGTCGTGCAAGTATACATGACATATAACCTCAAACACGATTGTCGTGCAAGTAGACATGACACATCGCCTCAAACACGATTGTCGTGCAAGTATACATGACATATAACCTCAAACACGATTGTGGTGCAAGTATACATGACACATCACCTCAAACACGATTGTTGTGCAAGTATACATGACACATCACCTTAAACACAATTGTCGTGGAAGTATACATGACACATCACCTCAAACACGATTGTCGTGGAAGTATACATGACACATCACTTCAAACATGATTGTTGTGCAAGTATACATGACACATCACCTCAAACACGATTGTGGTGCAAGTATACATGACACATCACCTTAAACACAACTGTGGTGCAAGTATACATGACACATCACTTCAAACACGATTGTTGTGCAAGTATACATGACACATCACCTCAAACGCGATTGTCGTGCAAGTATACGACACATCACCTCAAACACGATTGTCAATCAAGTATACATGACACATCACCTCGAACACGATTGTCTTGCAAGAATACATGAAACATAACCTCAAACACGACTGTCATGCAAGTAGACATGACACATCACCTCAAACATGATTGTCGTGCAAGTATACATGACACATCACCTCAGACATGATTGTCGTGCAAGTATACATGACACATCACCTCAAACACGATTGTCGTGCAAGTATTCATGACACGTAACTTCAAACATGATTGTCGTGCAAGTATACATGACACATCACCTCAAACACGATTGTTGTGCAAGTATACATGACACATCACCTCAAACACAATTGTTGTGCAAGTATACATCACACATCACCTTAAACACTAAACACAACTGTTGTGCAAGTATACATGACACATCAACTCAAACACGATTGTCGTGGAAGTATACATGACACATCACCTCAAACACGATTGTCGTGCAAGTATACATGACATATAACCTCAAACACGATTGTCAATCAAGTATACATGACACATCACCTCAAACACGATTGTTGTGCAAGTATACATGACACATCACCTTAAACACAATTGTCGTGGAAGTATACATGACACATCACCTCAAACACGATTGTCGTGGAAGTATACATGACACATCACTTCAAACATGATTGTTGTGCAAGTATACATGACACATCACCTCAAACACGATTGTGGTGCAAGTATACATGACACATCACCTCAAACACGATTGTGGTGCAAGTATACATGACACATCACCTTAAACACAACTGTTGTGCAAGTATACATGACACATCACTTCAAACACGATTGTTGTGCAAGTATACATGACACATCACCTCAAACGCGATTGTCGTGCAAGTATACATGACACATAACCTCAAACACAATTGTGGTGCAAGTATACATGACACATCACCTTAAACACGATTGTCGTGCAAGTATACATGACACATCACCTTAACACGATTGTCGTGCAAGTATACATGACACATCACCTCGAACACGATTGTTGTGCAAGTATACATGACACATCACCTCAAACACGATTGTTGTGCAAGTATACATGACACATCACCTTAAACACAACTGTTGTGCAAGAATACATGAAACATAACCTCAAACACGACTGTCATGCAAGTATACATGACACATCACCTCAGACATGATTGTCGTGCAAGTATACATGACACATCACCTCAAACACGATTGTCGTGCAAGTATTCATGACACATAACCTCAAACATGATTGTCGTGCAAGTATACATGACACATCACCTCAAACACGATTGTTGTGCAAGTATACATGACACATCACCTCAAACACAATTGTTGTGCAAGTATACATCACACATCACCTTAAACACTAAACACAACTGTTGTGCAAGTATACATGACACATCAACTCAAACACGATTGTCGTGGAAGTATACATGACACATCACCTCAAACACGATTGTGGTGCAAGTATACATGACACATCACCTCAAACACGACTGTCATGCAAGTATACATGACACATCACCTCAAACACGATTGTCAATCAAGTATACATGACACATCACCTCAAACATGATTGTCATGCAAGTATACATGACACATAACCTTAAACATGGTTGTCGTGCAAGTATACATGACACATCACCTCAAACATGATTTTCATTCAAGTATACATGACATCACCTCAAAGGTGATTGTCAATCAAGTATACATGACACATCACCTCAAACACGATTGTCAATCAAGTATACATGACATCACCTGAAACATGGTTGTCGTGCAAGTACACATGACACATTACCTCAAACATGACTGTCACTTGTACACAGAGACCCTATTCTACAGTACAGTAAATGTAAGCAACATGACTTGAATCTACTGACATCTGTGGCTCTACTCACCTTGGCTTTAGACTCTGGGTCTTCCAGCTGGGACTCGGTGGCGACTTGAGACAGCGGCAGAGAGAAACTCTGGATGGCTGGCTCCCCCCGCTTCTGCATCGTCACCATGGCACACAGCTTGGCAAGTGGTAGTGTGGCCTGGAGAGTCACCCCATGTATGTTAGACAGTTGACACATGATTAGTGGTAGTGTGGCCTGGAGAATCACACCATGTATGTTAGACAGTTGACACATGATTAGTGGTAGTGTGGCCTGGAGAGTCACCCCATGTATGTTAGACAGTTGACACATGATTAGTGGTAGTGTGGCCTGGTGTGTCACTCCATGTATGTTAGACAGTTGACACATGATTAGTGGTAGTGTGGCCTGGAGAATCACACCATGTATGTTAGACAGTTGACACATGATTAGTGATAGTGTGGACTGGAGAGTCACCCCATGTATGTTAGACAGTTGACACATGATTAGTGGTAGTGTGGCCTGGAGAGTCACCCCATGTATGTTAGACAGTTGACACATGATTAGTGGTAGTGTGGCCTGGAGAATCACACCATGTATGTTAGACAGTTGACACATGATTAGTGATAGTGTGGACTGGAGAGTCACCCCATGTATGTTAGACAGTTGACACATGATTAGTGGTAGTGTGGCCTGGAGTGTCACACCATGTATGTTAGACAGTTGACACATGATTAGTGGTAGTGTGGCCTGGAGTGTCACACCATGTATGTTAGACAGTTGACACATGATTAGTGATAGTGTGGCCTGGAGAGTCACACCATGTATGTTAGACAGTTGACACATGATTAGTGGTAGTGTGGCCTGGAGAGTCACCCCATGTATGTTAGACAGTTGACACATGATTAGTGGTAGTGTGGCCTGGAGTGTCACACCATGTATGTTAGACAGTTGACACATGATTAGCGGTAGTGTGGCCTGGAGTGTCACACCATGTATGTTAGACAGTTGACACATGATTAGCGGTAGTGTGGCCTGGAGAGTCACCCCATGTATGTTAGACAGTTGACACATGATTAGTGGTAGTGTGGCCTGGAGTGTCACACCATGTATGTTAGACAGTTGACACATGATTAGCGGTAGTGTGGCCTGGAGAGTCACACCATGTATGTTAGACAGTTGACACATGATTAGTGGTAGTGTGGCCTGGAGTGTCACACCATGTATGTTAGACAGTTGACACATGATTAGTGGTAGTGTGGCCTGGAGAGTCACCCCATGTATGTTAGACAGTTGACACATGATTAGCGGTAGTGTGGCCTGGAGTGTCACACCATGTATGTTAGACAGTTGACACATGATTAGTGGTAGTGTGGCCTGGAGAGTCACACCATGTATGTTAGACAGTTGACACATGATTAGTGGTAGTGTGGCCTGGAGAGTCACATCATGTATGTTAGACAGTTGACACATGATTAGTGGTAGTGTGGCCTGGAGAGTCACATCATGTATGTTAGACAGTTGACACATGATTAGCGGTAGTGTGGCCTGGAGAGTCACACCATGTATGTTAGACAGTTGACACATGATTAGCGGTAGTGTGGCCTGGTGTGTCACACCATGTATGTTAGACAGTTGACACATGATTAGTGGTAGTGTGGCCTGGAGAGTCACATCATGTATGTTAGACAGTTGACACATGATTAGTGATAGTGTGGCCTGGAGAGTCACCCCATGTATGTTAGACAGTTGACACATGATTAGTGGTAGTGTGGCCTGGAGAGTCACACCATGTATGTTAGACAGTTGACACATGATTAGCGGTAGTGTGGCCTGGTGTGTCACACCATGTATGTTAGACAGTTGACACATGATTAGTGGTAGTGTGGCCTGGAGTGTCACATCATGTATGTTAGACAGTTGACACATGATTAGCGGTAGTGTGGCCTGGAGAGTCACCCCATGTATGTTAGACAGTTGACACATGATTAGTGGTAGTGTGGCCTGGAGTGTCACACCATGTATGTTAGACAGTTGACACATGATTAGCGGTAGTGTGGCCTGGAGAGTCACCCCATGTATGTTAGACAGTTGACACATGATTAGTGGTAGTGTGGCCTGGAGTGTCACACCATGTATGTTAGACAGTTGACACATGATTAGTGGTAGTGTGGCCTGGAGAGTCACCCCATGTATGTTAGACAGTTGACACATGATTAGCGGTAGTGTGGCCTGGAGTGTCACACCATGTATGTTAGACAGTTGACACATGATTAGTGGTAGTGTGGCCTGGAGAGTCACACCATGTATGTTAGACAGTTGACACATGATTAGTGGTAGTGTGGCCTGGAGAGTCACATCATGTATGTTAGACAGTTGACACATGATTAGTGGTAGTGTGGCCTGGAGAGTCACATCATGTATGTTAGACAGTTGACACATGATTAGCGGTAGTGTGGCCTGGAGAGTCACACCATGTATGTTAGACAGTTGACACATGATTAGCGGTAGTGTGGCCTGGTGTGTCACACCATGTATGTTAGACAGTTGACACATGATTAGTGGTAGTGTGGCCTGGAGAGTCACATCATGTATGTTAGACAGTTGACACATGATTAGTGATAGTGTGGCCTGGAGAGTCACCCCATGTATGTTAGACAGTTGACACATGATTAGTGGTAGTGTGGCCTGGAGAGTCACACCATGTATGTTAGACAGTTGACACATGATTAGCGGTAGTGTGGCCTGGTGTGTCACACCATGTATGTTAGACAGTTGACACATGATTAGTGGTAGTGTGGCCTGGAGAGTCACATCATGTATGTTAGACAGTTGACACATTATTAGTGGTAGTGTGGCCTGGAGAGTCACACCATGTATGTTAGACAGTTGACACATGATTAGTGGTAGTGTGGCCTGGAGTGTCACACCATGTATGTTAGACAGTTGACACATGATTAGCGGTAGTGTGGCCTGGAGTGTCACACCATGTATGTTAGACAGTTGACACATGATTAGTGGTAGTGTGGCCTGGAGTGTCACATCATGTATGTTAGACAGTTGACACATGATTAGCGGTAGTGTGGCCTGGAGAGTCACCCCATGTATGTTAGACAGTTGACACATGATTAGTGGTAGTGTGGCCTGGAGTGTCACACCATGTATGTTAGACAGTTGACACATGATTAGCGGTAGTGTGGCCTGGAGAGTCACCCCATGTATGTTAGACAGTTGACACATGATTAGTGGTAGTGTGGCCTGGAGTGTCACACCATGTATGTTAGACAGTTGACACATGATTAGTGGTAGTGTGGCCTGGAGAGTCACCCCATGTATGTTAGACAGTTGACACATGATTAGCGGTAGTGTGGCCTGGTGTGTCACACCATGTATGTTAGACAGTTGACACATTATTAGTGGTAGTGTGGCCTGGAGTGTCACACCATGTATGTTAGACAGTTGACACATGATTAGCGGTAGTGTGGCCTGGAGAGTCACCCCATGTATGTTAGACAGTTGACACATGATTAGTGGTAGTGTGGCCTGGAGAGTCACACCATGTATGTTAGACAGTTGACACATGATTAGTGGTAGTGTGGCCTGGAGAGTCACCCCATGTATGTTAGACAGTTGACACATGATTAGCGGTAGTGTGGCCTGGAGAGTCACACCATGTATGTTAGACAGTTGACACATGATTAGCGGTAGTGTGGCCTGGTGTGTCACACCATGTATGTTAGACAGTTGACACATGATTAGTGGTAGTGTGGCCTGGAGAGTCACATCATGTATGTTAGACAGTTGACACATGATTAGTGATAGTGTGGCCTGGAGAGTCACCCCATGTATGTTAGACAGTTGACACATGATTAGTGGTAATGTGGCCTGGAGAGTCACACCATGTATGTTAGACAGTTGACACATGATTAGCGGTAGTGTGGCCTGGTGTGTCACACCATGTATGTTAGACAGTTGACACATGATTAGTGGTAGTGTGGCCTGGAGAGTCACATCATGTATGTTAGACAGTTGACACATTATTAGTGATAGTGTGGCCTGGAGAGTCACACCATGTATGTTAGACAGTTGACACATGACTGTTCACATCACCACTTTCATAATAAGATCTCCTCACTATAAATGATATATCAATGTTCCCTGATGTTGTGGTGGTAGAATCTACTCACTTTAGCAATGACCTGTTCCCTGATGTTGGGGTGGTAGAATCTACTCACTTTAGCAATGACCTGTTCCCTGATGTTGTGGTGGTAAAATCTACTCACTTTAGCAATGACCTGTTCCCTGATGTTGGGGTGGTAATATCTGCACCAGACTTCGAACGGAAGTCCTCCTGCTCCTCCTCCTGAGTTAGCACATGCTGCCCAAAGAAAGAAGTTCTTCATTATACATCTACTATCTTCATTTCTTAGGAAGAGCTTGTGTCGGGTACAGTCGTGGAATATGGGTCAAGTGTACACAGAGGTCAAGGTATGCCATGGTATGCAGGGGTCAAGGTATGCAGGGGTCAAGGTATGCAGGGGTCAAGGTATGCCATGGTATGCAGGGGTCAAGGTATGCAGGGGTCAAGGTATGCAGGGGTCAAGGTATGCCATGGTATGCAGGGGTCAAGGTATGCCATGGTATGCAGGGGTCAAGGTATGCAGGGGTCAAGGTACGCAGCGGTAAAGTGTATGCACGGGTCAAGGGTACACAGGGGTCAAGATTACACAGGTTTGACTTACCTGTAAGTAGTTCCCGCTGGACTGGGGTCCCCTGAGGTAGATGTAGTTTGTGTCTGGTACAATCGTGGAACGTAGGGTCGGGTGTACACAGTGTGGTCGCTGTGCGGTAACACTTCATGGTAGGAGCAACTAAAAGTTTACAAAATGAAGGTAAAATCTTTAATAAGATCCTGCAACATTGTTAAAAAATATTACGTGTTGCAAATCCATTTCTTGAGAGGTCGAAAATAATAATAGTAATATTACAGAAATATAGTGGCTGCCTGCAAAGTACAATCAACTGACAAAGTATTGAATTAGTAAAATCTAAATATTTTTTACATTTGTATACTTATGCTGCATTACTCCTTAATGCATTCACTGCTTACTTACGACAACTAGAAGGACAGCGCTCCGAAGGTCCTGGGTGAAGAAATAAAGTTGTTGTTCTCAAGTCCCAATCAGTGGCCTTCCGTCGCTGTCCTGTGACCTTGATGACACCTAAGGTCATCTTCACATCACTGCCTGTCACCCAAGCTCTTAGAAAAACATACTTTTGAGGTTTCTGAAGCCAAAGTGGGGAGGCAAGTCTTATGACGGGTGGGCCTTAAGCGTAGTAATGCAGGATAAGTATACAAATGTAAAAAATATTTAGATTTTACTAAATTTTTTACTTATCCTGCATTACTCCTTAATGCATCTGTATCGGACAGTTTGGAGGTGGGTAAACCTTCAGAATACAGAAACCTCAATAATTCACACCCTGCAATACGACACCAGTTAGTCGATAAACCGTGAAGCGGAAAAGTTCAGAAAAGAAACAAAACGCCATTACGGTAGGGTTGTTCAAAAATCAAAAAGATTGAACATAGGAATTAAAGAGAAATTCCCTATATACACGCTTAGTAATAAAGAAAATAATAGCTATTCAGCTAATTCTTTACTTACTACGTCATCGAGCCGTCGCTGACAAACAAGATTGTCTAATATTCTTCCACTGGCGGAGACTGAGTGACTTCACATGGAAGTTGACTGGCTCTGTATAGGGCGAGTTCTTTACTTGCGTCAGGGGTTTGCAACCTGCAGGATAACAACCAGAGGGCCAAACTTCGAACGTCTTCAACATCCTCGAGAGCCCCAACGCAAAGGTTATGACTAACGAAAATATGTGTCAAATCTCCAGAAATATCCTTCCGTGATTGTTACAAAACCACAATTGCCGTGTTGAGCCCTGGTAAGGCTGACACCTTGAGATCTTGAGGGTAATTCGCTCTCGGCGAGTTCCGTTTGGCGATCTCGTAGGCCTGAAGGATTACTGTGCGTAACCATAGAGATATGGTGTTTGCGATTATGCGACTGACTTCGGTCGTTGACGAAGTAAATACGGGTATCAATGACCGCTTCCTCGAACCACGCCTAGTCTTGGAGCGTCGAATGAAAACTCGAACTGCTCGCACCGAGCCCAGGAGAACTTCACCATGTACGATTCCCACAACAGTCGATATCGGTGGGATGGTGAAGGAACGGTCGGGTTGGCCTGGTAGTAGATTTTAGCAATAAAATCCCAGCATAACCCTAGATGTCCCGTTCCGTGCGTCCCATGCTCAAAACGGATCCGGGTTGAGTCGATCACATGTAGTTCGCTCACCCGTACCGCCATTGCTAATGCCAAGAGAAACCATTGTTTCCTTGGTGAGGTCATGAAATGAGGCAAGCTCCTCACAGCGATAGCCCGTTTGCGGAGCTCTCTATACTATACCGAGAGTGTAACGAAGGTGTCACGCGCTGGGAAGGAGCTTGAAAATGAGGATGCAATGAGGGGCTCGAAGTGGGCCCTCGCAAACCTCGAAGTACCACGTTCAAGTCCCAATCAGGTGGGTGGAACTTGGCCTTCTGATCCTCAAGCCTGAATGAGCATAATATGGCCTGTAGTTCCTTGACCTTAATCACATTGTGATTTTCCGGAAACGGCCAACACTAAGATAATTGCAGCCAATTACGTAGTAATGGTGCTACCTTCCAAGTGTTTTTGGGTACGCAATGTAGGAGGTATTCCTCTAGGAATTGTGACGCAATCGTAGGGTCTTGATTCTTTTCTTCCCTGTAAAAAGTCTCAAGTGATCCCCACTTGTCATCGTCGTCTCTGGGAGAGTAACGATGAACTAAAGCTATAGCTTTGCTGCCCGTGTCGAAATAACCCTTCGCACTTAAACGCCTTTTAAAGACGAACCATGCGTGAAGACGTTGGGTGAGGCAATTTTCTGTTGAGGGTGGATGTGTAGGTTGGACCACTGTGAGAGGGGTAGTGAATCGTTTTAGATTTTTCTGAGCTTGACGAACTACCCTCTCGCCGGTTACCAGGGTGCGACCAAAGGAGAGATGGAGATACCTTGTCTCCTTGATCCCCTGTATCACCTTGGGAAATAAAAGTGGTGGCAGAAAAGTGTAAGTTTTTTGTTTTTGTTTTCTGCCCTTCCTAAGTGATACTGAACTCGTCCACCGCCCAAGTCTGCGGATCCGGCAACGGGGAGATATATGTCATGAGTTGGTGGCCTAGGCAAGTTATAAACAAGTCAATGTTTGGTTGCCTGAATTCCTGAAGCAGTAACTGGAATGCTTCTGTGAGAAATTTCCACTCGGTGGGAGCCATCCTGTCTGGACGTGATAAAGTATCGGCCAGTATGTTTCTACATCCGGGGATGTGCTGAACTATGAACTTTAGTCACAGCCGATCCACTAGATGGAACAAATCTGAATGTCCTTAGAAGTAGAGAGTGGGAGTGTGTTGTTCCCCGATTGCACAGGCACCACACCGCAGTGCTGTTGTCTGTGGATATTGCGAGTCGGGCTAACTGTAGTTGATTCTGCCAATGTGATATAGCCAGAATTAAAGCTTCCAACTCCAAGTTGTTTATGTGCCACTTCCATTGAGTGCCGGGCCATAGCCCTGAGCTTATCTGGTCTTGTAAGTGAAGACCCCACCCCTGAAAGGGGACGTCCACAAACATGTGTGTATTCGGGGAAAACCCGAATAAAGAGACTCCGCAGACATTCAACGCCACAAATTGAGGCAAGGCTCTAGCTTAGTTGGTAGAGTGATGGCCTTGAGTGGCCTATGAACTGAAGTCAATAGGAAGGAGAATACTCCCGACTTCACCTCGTTGATTGTCTATCCCAGTTATTGACATGTGTTGAAGATACAGTAGATCGCCCTCCATCTACGACTCAAACCAAGGGTTCGTCAAGTGTAGATAGTTATTGGCTTCATTACTCCTGTAAATAGCCATAAGTGTCACTGACATGTCAAATGGGAAATACTACCATTGGTAGTGAACCCCAATGAACTGGACCTGAAAAGTCTACGGTTGGGATGGATAGTCGAGACTGATCAAGAATCAAACGTTCGTTGAACACAGAGAGATTGTGGATCATTTTCATCTTGTCTGGGTCCTTCATGAGTACCAGGTAGGTGTGAGGATAAAACCCCGGTGTAAAGACTGGGTTGGGAACCCACTCTACCATGTCTACAGCTCTTCTTACCAACAGTATGTCTATGTTGGATTTTCCCAATCAAACTGTGGTCAACGGTGGGGTTATCTCTACCCGTATACGGACACCATGATATAGTGCGATAAGTACGAAATCGTCCTTGAGACTTGTCTCTGCCAATCCCTTTCCCAGTAAGGGAATGCTGGTCTTCCCTGAGAAACGCGCGTCTAGGCTTATAATTCCCTGACTTGCCAGCCCGCTTAGACTTTCCAAGCTTTTGGGGAACTTGACGTGCGTGTCTGCGATCTGTTCGTTGAACAGGGGAGTAGATGACCAAGATTGACGTAATAGACTCTTGGGTGTAACGGTAATCTCCGTCAGAACGGTCTCAAGATGAATTTTCCTGTGGTCAAACTGACGCTGTAGGAAAAACACCATAGTTTGGAAGTGATCTAATCAGATAGGGTTATCCTCTAATAGATTCTGATCAACTGCAAACATTGACGATATTGGTCGTCTAAATGACGGAGCAAATGTGAGTTTTGGAGAAGTCTTCCTCCAATGACCTCGTGGTGTCCCTCTTATTTACCCCGTTATCAGGGGAGGGCGTTACTGACACGGGATGGTCTGCTACCCAATCGGGTACATGTGCTGAGCTGATCATGTGCCGGTTACTTAACCGAGTACACTGTAAGCCTTTGTGCTAACGTCATTTTAGAGACCTTGATTGGTACGCAGACGCTGCGCTCAGCGCAGGTCTGGAATGTTGGAACAGCGCTAAGCTGATCGTGCGACGCTTGCGTAATAGGAGCGCTTTGGGTAGCAGTCAGACGCTGCGCTCGGCGCAGGTCTATGCTGGATATGTTGGAACAGCGCTAAGCTGATCGTGCGTTGCTTGCGTAATAGGAGCACTTGCATGGGTAGCAGTCAGACGCTGCGCTCGTAATAGAAGTGCTTGGGTTGTAGTCAAGTGCTGCGCTCGGCGCAGATAAATCAGACACAAAGCTCAAAGGTATTGACTGGATCAAGGCTTGCGTCTAATCTACCCCCATTATAGCATCTTGATACGCTGGTGCTGTCGCCGACGTCACAGATTAACATATCTGGAAGTGTCTGGCGGCTGAAAAAATAGGAGCAGTTACGATACTCACAAAATCCTCCGGTATTGTTGATTTCGGTGGATGGTGTACTTCTGCAGTCACAGGCGTCATAATACCTGCAGATAATAACGGTTGGGTGGTAATGACCGAACCATGTCATTCGCTATTCTGCGATAGTGACATTCCTCTAGTCTCACGACGGAATAACTGCAAAATATGATTGTGAGTAATCTGCTTTTATATAGTAAACTCGTTGGATTAGAGATTTACACAAAAATTACATTTTGAATTTTGGCGAGCACACCTACGTGCACGCCTAGGACCGTGGATAAAGATCTTTGGGCGATTATTCCACGACAATATGTACACCACGCAAACATAAGTTACGCAATTAAACCATTGAAGAAATGGTACTGGAAGAATGCCGTAGAAAACAGTAATCTATCGGCAAAAATACGAATTGCAAGGGTATACAATATTTTTATATACGCAATTCAATGTAAACCAAGGGTATTTATATTTTCATTTAGGGTTTAGAGAGCACATCTGTGCGCAAACCAACCAACGTGGATGATAATCTTTGTAAGGTTTTTTCCACGACAATTAGTACAATGCTCAAAGGTATGTTACGCAATTAAACCCTTGTTGATGAGACAATACTGGAAGAGTGCCGAAGAATTTGAACACTAATCTATCAGCAAAATTATGAGTTGCAAGGGTATACAATATTTTTGTATGCGCAGCTCAATGTAAATGTATTTATATTTTCATTTAGGGTTTGGAGAGCACATCTGCGTACAGACCAAACAACGTGGATGATAATCTTTGTAAGATTTTTCCCATGACAATTAGTACCTCGCTCAATCATAAGTTGATGAGGCGGTACTGGAAGAATGCCATAGAATTGAACAATAATCTATCGGCAAAACTACGAGTTGCAAGAGTATACAATAGTTCATATACGCAACTCAATGTAAACCAAAAAGACCAACAAAAACCTATTTAATCGCATAAACATAGGTACGCAATAAAAGAATTGTTGATGAAGCGGGACTGGAAGAAAGCCGTATCGTATTTGACCAAATTTTTAACGAGTTGAAAAAGTATACAATAATTTGAGTATACGCAACTGACTGTTACGCCAAAGCTAGTAGTATTTAAGAACATAAGAATATGTTATACATACGTAGCTGAGAATTGTAAACAATATGACTACCTTGGCAGGCAAACGATTGTAACACAATTCAAAATGGCGGCGAACAACAATATTTTGGCGGGAAAAAAGACGAGTCTTATCACGCCTAATTAATTCACATAAAACTACACAACATGGTGAAAGTAATATGAAAAGAATACATCATCCATCGCAGATCAATTTTTAAGATTGTAGACAAACTGAAGGTCTAAAATTTATCCAAAAGCAGAGCTCTGCTGGGACACGTCCTAGCTGTGCTGTGACAAGCAGTGATGTGAAGATGACCTTAGGTGTCATCAAGGTCACAGGACAGCGACGGAAGGCCACTGATTGGGACTTGAGAACAACAACTTTATTTCTTCACCCAGGACCTTCGCAGCGCTGTCCTTCTAGTTGTCGTAAGTAAGCAGTGAATGCATTAAGGAGTAATGCAGGATAAGTAAAAAAATTAATCCACACAACCAGCACATGACCAGGCAGATTTCAGAAGCCACTTTCATCACTGCTAGGTTTTTTCCTATACAACAAGCCAGGGGGGGAGGGATGAAGCTCATGGTCATGTCATGTTTGTACGACAACACACAATCAATCAAAAAGTTGCCTCATACAAAAACAATTAACAATTTCAGTACCCTGTAGGTGCAGATGGCTCCCTAGGGGTGGGTGTTACTGTAAATATACTCACTGATTTTGAAATTAGACAGAGGAGTGGTCGAGGACGGGAAGTAGTACTCAGGGCCTATTCTGCTCCCTTGGGATTGGTGTTACTATAAATGTTACTCACTGCTCCTGACATCAGACAGGGGTTTTGTCTGGGCCTGGGCTGGGAAGTAGTACTCAGGGCCTATTCTGCTCCCTTGGGATTGGTGTTACTATAAATGTTACTCACTGCTCCTGACATCAGACAGGGGTTTTGTCTGGGCCTGGGCTGGGAAGTAGTACTCAGGGCCTATTCTGCTCCCTTGGGACTGGTGTTACTATAAATGTTACTTACTGCTCCTGACATCAGACAGGGGTTTTGTCTGGGCCTGGGCTGGGAAGTAGTACTCAGGGCCTATTCTGCTCCCTTGGGATTGGTGTTACTATAAATGTTACTCACTGCTCCTGACATCAGACAGGGGTTTTGTCTGGGCCTGGGCTGGGAAGTAGTACTCAGGGCCTATTCTGCTCCCTTGGGATTGGTGTTACTATAAATGTTACTTACTGCTCCTGACATCAGACAGGGGTTTTGTCTGAGCCTGGGCTGGGAAGTAGTACTCAGGGCCTATTCTGCTCCCTTGGGATTGGTGTTACTATAAATGTTACTCACTGCTCCTGACATCAGACAGGGGTTTTGTCTGGGCCTGGGCTGGGAAGTGGTACTGGATAAAGCAGTCCGTCTCTCCCCACATCATGTTGTCAAACAGCTTGAGATCCCGAATAGCCTCAATCACAACCTCAAACACATGCTCCACTGTAACAGAAATATATACGAAATGATATGCAATAGAGAATCAATACTCATGTCTGGTAGACAACATGATACAGTAAATGAATGTTTAGAGTCACAGTCAGCAGTACCCAACTGTATCACAGCCACCTGGAAATAATCAAGTCCTGACCATGCAAACCAGCTTCTGAAAACATCAGCATCCACACCATCGGGGGTCATGCAGTGAGTGCAAACACCAACACTCTAACCACAAGCATGGGATATTGCTGACCAATTCTAAACCCCAAATCCCCACAGATGTGAGAACAAAAGTATATATACCTGCTGAATCTGTGGCTGGATGGTGGCCATTCACATCATCACGAGCAGCCAGGTCATGTCTGAAGGTAGAAGCAAAGAACCTATTATTTGAACATCAGTACAGGACACAGGTAGGACACAGGCGGGACACGGATAGGGACACAGGCGAGACATAGGCAGGGCACAAATGGGGCACAGGTGAGACAGGTAGGACACAGGTGAGACACAGGCGGGATAGGTAGGACACAAATGGGACACAGGTGAGATAGGTGAGACACAGGTAGGACACAGGCAGGACAGGTATGATACAGGTGAGACACAGGTAGGACAGGTGAGACACAGGTGAGACAGATGGGACACAGGCGGGACAGGTAGGACACAAACGTGATACAGGTGAGACACAGGTGAGACAGGTAAAACACAGGCTGGACACAGGTGAGACAAGTGGTACAGGTAGGACACAGGTGAGGGGTAGGACACAGGCGGGACAGGTAGGACACAAATGGGACACAGTTGAGACAGTTAAAACACAGGTGAGAGGCAGGATACAGGCAGGATACAGGCAGGACACAGGTGAGATAGGTGGGACACAGGTGAAAACAGGTAGGACACAGGTGAGACAAGTTGTACAGGTATGACACAGGCGGGGCAGGTAGGACACAAATGGGACACAGGTGAGAAAGGTATGAGACAGGTGGGACACAGGTGAGACAGGTAGGTTACAGGTAGGACACAGGTGAGACAGGTGGGACACAGGTGAGACAGGTGGGTCACAGGAAGGACACAAATGGGACACAGGTGAGACAAAGGTGAGATACAGGAAGGACACAGGTGAGACACAGGTGATACAGGTGGGACACAGTTAGGACACAGATGAGACAAAGGTAGGACAGGTTGGACACAGGGGAGACACAGGTGTGACAAAGGTAGGACAGAGGTGGGACACAGGTGAGACAGGTAGGATACAGGTAGGATGCAGGTGAGACAAGTGGTACAGGCAGGACACAGGCGGGGCAGGTAGGACACAAATGGGACACAGGTGAGACAAAGGTGAAATATAGGAAGGACACAGGTGAGACAGAGGTGAGACACAGTTAGGACACAGGTGAGACAAAGGTAGGACAGGTTGGACACAGGTGAGACACAGGTGTGACAAAGGTCGGACAGAGGTAGGACACATGTGAGACAGGTGGGACACAGGTAGGACACAGGTGAGAAAAAGGTAGGACAGGGTGGACACAGGTGAGACACACGTGTGACAAAGGTAAGACTGAGGTAGGACACAAGTGAGACAGGTGGGATACAGGTAGGACACAGGTGTCTGAGTTACCTCTCCAGACTGTGAAGTGGCCTCTCTGGGATCATCACCGACCCATCTCCATCCTGCTTGACCCGCTGTAGACTTGCAATCTGTACACAACAGCTAGCAGTGAGTAACTGAGACAATAGGGTCTCCCTATTAACAAGTTGGCCAGTATGCAGTAGTTGATAGCTTGAGCAACAATGCATCATTGTATAATGACCTAACCAGCTTACATGTGCAGGTTGGTCTTTCCTGGATGTCATCATTCTATGTATATTATATGCTCAACAGAGATTTTGACCTACGAATTTTAGGTGATAAGTTTGTCAGATCATTCAAAGGACAAGAAAATGGAGAATAGTTCAGAAAAGTTAGAGTTAAAAGAATCTGACAAATTAAACCCTGGGAAACCACTAAAAATTTGCACAGATCTTTCATATGACTTCAAACAACTAATGACCAGCACAGCCATTTTAAGAAACACCCTCACACACCTGTTCCGCCGACCCCATCGCGAGCACCAGCCGGAGCTGCCCAAAGTTGAAGCTGGTGAAGGGATCGGTGATGCCGAAGTAGTTGTCTGCCGCAATCACTGGATACTGTCAAGGAAATTGAAGCTGTCAGTACAAAGAATTATGGTTCCCTCATGCGTGAAAAGTTCCTGTGTGGATGCATCATGTTTAAATAGTTCCTGTGTGGATGCATCATGTTTGAATAGGTCCTGTGTGGATGCATCATGTATGAATAGTTCCTGTGTGGATGCATCATGTTTGAATAGTTCCTGTGTGGATGCATCATGTTTGAATAGTTCCTGTGTGGATGCATCATGTGTGAATAGTTCCTGTGTGGATGCATCATGTTTGAATAGTTCCTGTGTGAATAGTTCCTGTGTGGATGCATCATGTTTGAATAGTTCCTGTGTGGATGCATCATGTGTGAATAGTTCCTGTGTGGATGCATTATGTTTGAATAGTTCCTGTGTGGATGCATCATGTTTGAATAGGTCCTGTGTGAATGGTTCCTGTGTGGATGCATCATGTTTGAATAGGTCCTGTGTGGATGCATTATGTTTGAATAGTTCCTGTGTGGATGCATCATGTGTGAATAGTTCCTGTGTGGATGCATTATGTTTGAATAGTTCCTGTGTGGATGCATCATGTTTGAATAGGTCCTGTGTGAATGGTTCCTGTGTGGATGCATCATGTTTGAATAGTTCCTGTGTGGATGCATCATGTTTGAATAGTTCCTGTGTGAATAGTTCATGAGTGGATACTTCAAGTGTGAATGAATAGTTTATGTGTGAATAGGTCACCTACTGTGATGCAAGTACAAACCTGAGACTTGAGAAGGGCGTTAGCCACTCTTCGATCCCGGAAGGACATGTAGAACTGATGGAGGCTCAGCTTCACCATACCTATCAGCTGGAGACAAAACATGGGACATATTAACAACATACACCTTACAAAATCCAAAACAACAATTTACACTACCAGATGTCTAGTTGTCCAGGGCATCAACATTCCCTGTGCAGAGCTGCATTCCCTAATCATCCCCTTATCCCCCGGCTATGATCCTTGGCTTGTCGGCACCACACCGGTACTTCTGGCTTTCACTGAAGTTTGTCAGCACCATACCGGTACTTCTGGCTTTCACTGAAGTTTGTCAGCACCATACGGGTACTTCTGGCTTTTATTGAAGTTTGTCAGCACCATACCGGTACTTCTGGCTTTCATTGAAGTTTGTCAGCACCATACCGGTACTTCTGGCTTTCATTGAAGTTTGTCAGCACCACATTGGTACTTCTGGCTTTCATTGAAGTTTGTCAGCACCATACGGGTACTTCTGGCTTTCATTGAAGTTTGTCAGCACCATACCGGTACTTCTGGCTTTCATTGAAGTTTGTCAGCACCACATTGGTGCTTCTGGCTTTCATTGAAGTTTATCAGCACCATACCGGTACTTCTGGCTTCATTGAAGTTTGTCAGCACCATACCGGTACTTCTGGCTTTCATTGAAGTTTGTCAGCACCATACCGGTACTTCTGGCTTTCACTGAAGTTTGTCAGCACCATACCGGTACTTCTGGCTTTCATTGAAGTTTATCAGCACCATACCGGTACTTCTGGCTTCATTGAAGTTTGTCAGCACCATACCGGTACTTCTGGCTTTCACTGAAGTTTGTCAGCACCATACCGGTACTTCTGGCTTTCACCCAAGTTTGTCAGCACCTTACTGGGACTTCTGGGTTTCACCAAAATGGAAAACATGATGTCAAGTGTTCACATCGTTATATAATTGAAACAATATCAATGTGCTTTAGAAAGTCCCTCCCTCCCATTGTGAATGATTGTGAAGGTAACAATGTCATACCTTGTCATCACCAGCTGCTGTCGTCTTGTCCCACACTTCGATGACCAGGAAGTTGTTCCTCATGCGCTCCAACAACGCCGGGCTCAGCAGAACAGGGGCAACCTTCATACAGGAACAGATATATCACACTGTGTCACAGAGCGACCTTCACACAGGAACAGATATATCACACTGTCTCACAGAGCGACCTTCACACAGAAACAGATATATCACACTGTGTCACAGAGCGACCTTCACACAGGAACAGATATATCACACTGTGTCACAGAGCGACCTTCACACAGGAACAGATATATCACTTTGTGTCACAGAGCGACCTTCACACAGGAACAGATATATCACACTGTGTCACAGAGCGACCTTCACACAGGAACAGATATATCACACTGTGTCACAGAGCGACCTTCACACAGGAACAGATATATCACACTGTGTCACAGAGCGACCTTCACACTGGAACAGATATATCACACTGTGTCACAGAGCGACCATCACACAGGAACAGATATATCACACTGTGTCACAGAGCGACCTTCACACTGGAACAGATATATCACACTGTGTCACAGAGCGACCTTCACACAGGAACAGATATATCACACTGTGTCACAGAGCGACCTTCACACAGGAACAGATATATCACTCTGTGTCACAGAGCGACCTTCACACAGGAACAGATATATCACACTGTCACAGAACGACCTTCACACAGGAACAGATATATCACACTGTGTCTACTGTAGTAATGGTCCACTCTACTGTAGGAATGGTCTACTCTACTGTAGTAATGGTCGACTCTACTGTAGCAATGATCTACTTTACTGTAGCAACAGTCCACTCTACTGTAGCAATGATATACTCTACTGTAGTAATGATCGACTCTACAGTAGGAATGGTCTACTCTACTGTAGGAATGGTCTACTCTACTGTAGGCATAGCCTCAGACTACAGATGTAGAGAGATTGTCACTGTACCTGCAGCAATGGTCTACTCTACTGTTGGAATAGCGTCAGACTACAGATGTAGAGAGATTGTCACTGTACCTGCAGCAATGGTCTACTCTACTGTAGCAATGATCTACTCTAGTGTGGGAATGCTCTACTTTACTGTAGCAACGGTCCACTCTACTGTAGGAATGGTCCACTCTACTGTAGCAATGATCTACTCTACTGTAGTAATGGTCGACTCTACTGTTGCAATGGTATGCTCTAGTCTACTGTAGGAATGCTCTACTCTACAGTAGGAATGCTCTACTCTACTGCAGGAATGCTCTACTCTACTGTAGCAATTGTCTACTCTACTGTAGAAATGGTCCACTCTAGAGTAGGAATGGTCCACTCTACAGTAGGAATGGTCTACTCTACAGTAGGAATGGCCTACTATACTGTAGGAATGGTCCACTATACAGTAGGAATGGTCTACTCTACTGTAGGAATGGTCTACTCTACAGTAGGAATGGTCTACTCTACTGTAGTAATAGTCGACTACTGTTGCAATGGTATGCTCTAGTCTACTGTAGGAATGCTCTACTCTACTGTAGGAATGCTCTACTCTACTGCAGGAATGCTCTACTCTACTGTAGCAATTGTCTACTCTACTGTAGGAATGGTCCACTCTACTGTAGCAATGGTCTACTCTACTTCAGGAATGGCCTCAGACTACAGATGTAGAGAGATTGTCACTGTACCTGCAGCAATGGTCTACTCTACTGTAGGAATGGCCTCAGACTACAGATGTAGAGAGATTGTCACTGTACCTGCAGCAATGGTCTACTGTACTGTAGGTGAGGTGAGGTGAAATGGGGTTTAACGTCGCGTCCAAGATTATTGCACTTATATAGCGACTCTACTGTAGGAATAGCCTCAGATTACAGATGTAGAGAGATAGTCACTGTACCTACAGCAATGGTCTACTCTACTGTAGGAATGGCCTCAGACTACAGCTGTAGAGAGATTGTCACTGTACCTGCAGCAATGGTGTACTCTACTGTAGGAATAGCCTCAGATTACAGATGTAGAGAGATAGTCACTGTACCTGCAGCAATGGTCTACTCTACTGAAGGAATGGCCTCAGACTACAGCTGTAGAGAGATAGTCACTGTACCTGCAGCAATGGTCTACTCTACTGAAGGGATGGCCTCAGACTACAGCTGTAGAGAGATAGTCACTGTACCTGCAGCAATGGTCTACTCTACTGAAGGGATGGCCTCAGACTACAGCTGTAGAGAGATAGTCACTGTACCTGCAGCAATGGTCTACTCTACTGAAGGGATGGCCTCAGACTACAGCTGTAGAGAGATGGTCACTGTACCTGCAGCAATGGTCTACTCTACTGAAGGGATGGCCTCAGACTACAGCTGTAGAGAGATAGTCACTGTACCTGCAGCAATGGTCTACTCTACTGAAGGGATGGCCTCAGACTACAGCTGTAGAGAGATGGTCACTGTACCTGCAGGAAGTTGAACTGTGGCTGAAGTGTGCCCCAGCAGACTGTGGAATGAACAGCATCGTTACACCAGAACATCCGACACACAAGATAGGAGTTCCGTGTTGAGAGGTCGCGGGCACCAGGACCTGCAGAGATTAACAACATGACAACAAACATAGCACTCAAACAGACTTTAAAAACAAAACTGCATCAAGGGCAAAAATTGTCAACACATGTCTGGAAGGGGGTTGTTATAACCGCCTGATCACTCTCTGCTATGTTCAGCTTAAGGACCTCAGTCATCACTGTTTATTTTCATGCATGTGACTATTACACTAACCCAACATGGGAGAGGGGAGGGGGCTTTGTTGTAATAGCCTGATCACTCTCTGCTATGTTCAGCTTAAGGACCTCAGTCATCACTGTTTATTTTCATGCATGTGACTATTACACTAACCCAACATGGGAGAGGGGTGGGGGGTTGTTGTAACAGCCTGATCACTCTCTGCTATGTTCAGCTTAAGGACCTCAGTCATCACTGTTTATTTTCATGCATGTGACTATTACACTAACCCAACATGGGAGAGGGGTGGGGGGTTGTTGTAACAGCCTGATCACTCTCTGCTATGTTCAGCTCAAGGACCTCAGTCATCACTGTTTATTTTCATGCATGTGACTTTTACACTAACCCAACATGGGAGAGGGGTGGGGGGTTGTTGTAACAGCCTGATCACTCTCTGCTATGTTCAGCTTAAGGACCTCAGTCATCACTGTTTATTTTCATGCATGTGACTATTACACTAACCCAACATGGGAGAGGGGTGGGGGGTTGTTGTAACAGCCTGATCACTCTCTGCTATGTTCAGCTCAAGGACCTCAGTCATCACTGTTTATTTTCATGCATGTGACTTTTACACTAACCCAACATGGGAGAGGGGTGGGGGGTTGTTGTAACAGCCTGATCACTCTCTGCTATGTTCAGCTCAAGGACCTCAGTCATCACTGTTTATTTTCATGCATGTGACTTTTACACTAACCCAACATGGGAGAGGGGTGGGGGGTTGTTGTAACAGCCTGATCACTCTCTGCTATGTTCAGCTCAAGGACCTCAGTCATCACTGTTTATTTTCATGCATGTGACTATTACACTAACCCAACATGGGAGAGGGGTGGGTTTTTTTTGTAACAGCCTGATCACTCTCTGCTATGTTCAGCTCAAGGACCTCAGTCATCACTGTTGTTTTCATGCATGTGACTTTTACACTGTCTATTTTCATGCATGTGACTATTACACTCACCAAACATGGGACAGGGGAGGGGAATTGTTGTAACAGCCAGATCACTCTCTGCTATGTTCAGCTCAAGGACCTCAGTCATCACTGTCTATTTTCATGCATGTGACTATTACACTCTTCCCAACATGGGAGTGGGGAGGGGGGGTTGTTGTAACAGCGAGTTCACTCACCTGATGTAGGGGGAGGTTGTTGTAACAGCATGGGGCGCCGGTTGACCAGGTGTAATGGGGGCACTCCCTGTAGGCTGAGGTTCTGACCGTTGGGCACCATCAACATCATGTGCAGGGTCAGTGGCTGGACAAGAAGACATTGCAACAGTCAGGAATATAACATGACACTCAGAGATCAACACCATGAAAACATGTATGCTACGGCTGCAGGTAATTGTGTTTCACAGTGTTGTGAAATCATAATGATCTCAGTTTGCATGGTGCTAACATTTGTCTGTGATGCAGGTAGACCCTAGGTGGCTTTCCCTGCTGATATCAGTGAGTGAGTGAGTGATTATGGTTTAACGCCGCTTTTAGCAATATTCCTGCAATATCACAGCGGGGGACACCAGAAATGAGCTTCACACATTGTACCCATTTCGGGATTCGAACCCGGGTCTTCGGCGTGACGATCGAAAGCTTTAACCACTAGGCTACCCGACTGCCCCCTGCTGATATCAAGGCATTAAGCAGTCTTCAGCCATCTGCAGCCTGCTTCACAGCCATCCTGACACCCATCTCAGGCCACATAGTTGCGACTAAAACGATCACTAAAACGATCGCTAATTCGACCTAAATTTCAATTTGTCTACTGTCTAAAATTCAGAGGTAGCCAAATGACTACTTGAAAATATCTTGTGGCACCTAAATTCTATTGCTTCACATTTGAAGACACAAAAATAAATAACAGCTAAATGTGGAAAACATGTCTCCTAATAATTGTACTTGTGTATAAGTCTTGCTCAAGTCGACAATGAACAGAAATACATAAATATTAATGTAATTAGTATCTTATTTCAGACGACAATGCTCATTGAATAAGCAAGGATATAACTAAATAATCTAGTAACATAAATTGCATCATTGTTTGAGTCACAAATAACGAAAATCAAGTACAATTTCCATTAATATACAATTCCAAGACTGGCTAGCTGGAAAAAAATTCCTGTAGACAGATGGCTACTTGGTAAAAGTTTAAACTTTGAGGCTTGCATCTCTTCAGGCTCACTACTCCTACTTTCACCTATGTCTACTCCATCCATGATTCTTTTCTCTTTAGGAGCATACACCCATGGGTGGAAGTGGCACACCACTAAAGTCCATTATTATTATTATTATTATTATTATTATTATTATTATTATTATCACTTTCTAAAATGTAATTCAGATGGAACTGGTGCTGGTGGAAGAAAGAGGACTCACTTCTGGTTGGTTGTTGGTGTTGGGCTGACTGACAGCTTGAGACGGGACGGAGTGGAGTTGCTGTAGGTGGTTGACTGATGATGTTTGAGCAATGCTGGAGGTATTGTCGTTGAAGTGTTGTGAAACATGATTGGATGACTGAGCTTGTAATGAAGGCATTGGTTGGCTATCTTGAGAAGACAATGAATGAGCAGGAAAATCTGAAAAAAACCAAATGTCCCTTTTGTGATTACTTCAATAAAATCAACATATACATTAAAAGCTAAATATGTCACTAAGTGTAAATATAAAGTATACGGGGAATATTTATCTGTATATGTGTGACCTTGACATTTGACACTAAGCCCACACAAAACATTACGCCTTTGAAATGATGAATTAATCCCTTAGAAAACGCAAATTAGCAAGGTCACCAGACAGAGACCACACAGCATGTTATCAGATAGACCACACAGAAAGTTATCAGACAGAGACTACACAGCATGTCATCAGATAGAGACAACACACATGTTATCATTTAGAGACCTCACAGCATGTTATCAGATAGAGACCACACAGCATATCAGCTAGAGCATATTATCATATAGACCAAAAAGCATGTTATCAGATAGAGACCACACAGTATGTTATCAGAAAGACCACAAAGTATGTTATCAGATAGATACCACAACATGTCATCATATAGAGACCTCGCAGCATGTTATCAGATAGAGACCACACAGCATATCAGCTAGAGCATATTATCATATAGAACAAAAATCATGTTATCACATAGAGACCACACAGTATGTTATCAGAAAGACCACACAGCATGTTATCAGATAGAGACCACAACATGTCATCATATAGAGACCTCACAACATGTTATCAGATAGAGAACACACAGCATATCAGCTAGAGCATGTTATCAAATACAGACCACACAGCATGTTATCAGCTAGAGACCACACAGTATGTTATCAGATAGACCACACAGCATGTTATCAAATAGACCACACAGCATGTCATCATATAGAGACCTCACAGCATGTTATCAGATAGAGACCTTACAGCATGTTATCAGATAGAGACCACACAGTATGTTATCACTTAGAAAACACACAGCATGTCATCAGATAGAGACCTTACAGCATGTTATCAGATAGACCACACAGCATGTTATCAGATAGAGACCACACAGCATGTTATCAGATAGAGACCACACAGCATGATATCAGATAGAGACCACAGCATGCTATTAGATAGAGACCACACATTATGTTATCAGATAGAGACCACACAGCATGTTATCAGATAGAGACCACAGTATGTTATCAGATAGAGACCACAACATGTTTTCATATAGAGAACTTATAGCAGGTTATGAGATAGACCACACAGCATATCAGCTAGAGCATGTTATTAGATAGAGACCACACAGCATGTTATCAGATAGAGAACACACAGTATGTTATCAGCTAGAGACCTCACAGCATGTTATTAGATAGAGACCACACAACATGTTATCAGATAGAAAACACACAGCATGTTATCAGATAGACCACACAGCATGTTATCAGATAGAGACCACACAGCATGTTATCAGATAGAGACCACACAGCATGTTATCAGATAGAGACCACAGCATGCTATTAGATAGAGACCACACAGCATGTTATCAGATAGACCACACAGCATGTGATCAGATAGAGACCACAACATGTTTTCATATAGAGACCTTATAGCAGGTTATGAGATAGACCACACAGCATATCAGCTAGAGCATGTTATTAGATAGAGACCACACAGCATGTTATCAGATAGAGAACACACAGTATGTTATCAGCTAGAAACCACACAGCATGTTATCAGCTAGAGACCACACAGCATGTTATCAGATAGAGACCACAGAGTTTGTTATCAGATAGACCACACAGCATGTGATCAGATAGAGACCACAACATGTTTTCATATAGAGACCTCACAGCAGGTTATCAGATAGAGACCACACAGTATGTTATCAGATAGAGACCACACAGTATGTTATTAGATAGAGACCACACAGCATGTTATGAGATAGACCACACAGTATGTTATCAGATAGAGACCACACAGCATGTTATGAGATAGACCACACAGCATGTTATCAGATAGAGACCTCACAGTATGTTATCAGATAGAGACTGTACCAAACATAATTCACACTTGCTATGATAGGCAAGACCTGAGAAGTTACTGTGGTCACAAGCTGTTTGTGTTACAGACAAGCAGTCAAGTCTTCTTGTCCCCATGACACCTCACCTGCATGTCTGGTCTGCACCACAAATGGTGGAGGAGGCAGAGAGTTGAGGCTGCCAGCTGTCTGAGAAGAGGGAGGAGCAGGTTCGGGAATGGGGACAATCTTGGCCCTGCCACTCATCTCCACAAGCTTGGTCTTAGCCAGAGCTGTGGCAAACTCGCGGTGGTCCGATGCTAACTCAACCACCGTCTGGAATTGAAGTGATACAGAGTCTTTGAAGACATTTAGAAGGTTTATTATACATACACAACGCTTCATCAGGGGACGGATCATAGGATAAGTATAACGATGATATGTTCAGCAACATAAATATACGAGTCTAAGTTTCAAAGTCTCTGCTCCAAAATGTATCTTTCTATCAAGATTAATGGTCAATATTTCAAGACACATCTTGTTTCTCCTGTACTGTCAGAAAAAAGGAATTGCTCATGTACAAATATTCTGCGTGAACTAAATGCAGTGAAAGCCTGTTGTCAAGACCTTGACTATCTCTAGAAGATGATGTAACTCTATGGCCTCGTTTAATCCTTATCGACATAATGGTCTGACTCTGCTTGAATTGGTATATTCACTGTATATTGATATTTCACCTTGAGATGTCCGAACACTCCACACAGACTGTTGTGGCGGAGTGAGGAGTTGAGGGACGTGTTTCTGCTGGACTCCCTGACCTCAAGCTGCCGGTCACTGCACAGACTATCCGACTTGAGGATGGACTTGAGGGACACTCCACACGACCCCACAGGTGCCGGCTAGCCGGACAGTCGGACAGTCAGACATGTCAATCAATTGTCAAACAAAATAGTGAGTGAACTTATGAGTATATGTGGTTCCACACGACCCAAAGGGCGTTGGGTAGCAGGAGGACAGTCAGCATGATCAACCAGATCACATCTATCCACACCATGGGGTACAGTCACACACCATCAACCAGGTCACATCTATCCACACCATGGGGTACAGTCACACACCATCAACCAGATCACATCTATCCACACCATGGTGTAGTCACACACCATCAACCAGATCACATCTATCCACACCATGGTGTAGTCACACACCATCAACCAGGTCACATCTATCCACACCATGGGGTACAGTCACACACCATCAACCAGGTCACATCTATCCACACCATGGGGTACAGTCACACACCACCAACCAGGTCAAATCTATCCACACCATGGGGTACAGTCACACACCACCAACCAGGTCACATCTATCCACACCATGGGGTACAGTCACACACCATCAATAAGGTCACATCTATCCACAACATGGGGTACAGTCACACACCATCAATAAGGTCACATCTTTCCACACCATGGGGTACAGTCACACACCATCAATAAGGTCACACAGGCTGATCAATCAATATAATCTTTAATCTACTTATTGACTTATCAATATTATTCACTTATTGAGGAGATAAAAAGGTTTAAGTGTGAAACTTACAATCTTCTGTCCTGCCTCTCTGGAGAAGACTTTAAACACAAGGGCAGATTTCCACCATTTCTCAATGGAGCTGCCATCAAACATGATGGGAAAAACTGACCGGTGACTGAATGTCACCACTGAAACATAGAGCACAGAACTGTTGACTTCCACGTCATGATGTACATGACATGAGCTTGTCTGGACCAGGCCACCAAGTCACTAGGACCAAATCAACGAGCCTGATCAACCGAGCCAATTTACCAACAAGTGTTGGGCATCTAACCCACTCTATCTCGGTATCCCTACAGGGACCACATGCATGGAATTTCAGTTTCGTAAATCAACTTTTTGAGTCCCATTGCTGTAAATGAAAATGATAGTTTTAATCGGATAACCATAAAGGTCATAGTATTAAACATGCCATTTAAAGTGTCCTCATCTTCATAAATTACTGATCTTATCATACAGATTAATGGGGACAAGACAGATCACAGGTAGTTAAAGTCACAAAGTGAGAAGAGTCAGAAGAATACCCCAAGGTCAAGGTGAGAAACAATGAGATGTGGAGTTCGGGATAAAGGGTTAATTGGAAAGGCAGTGTCACACACTAGATGCCGGTCTAAAACAATTGGACAAAAGTGCCTGTACCGTTATTTTTTATGTTCTTTGAAGCCACTCTCATGACCTCTGTTGCCATCGTATTGGGTGAGTATTTGTCTCTGGAGGTCGCCACGACTGGAAACTGATATTCTATGAAGTAGGTGCTGGAACATGAGAAGAAACCTATGTCATCCATCTAACACCATGTAGACAGCAAACATGGTTCTACACTGGTGTGACAGATAATCCATACACATATCACTGGGGAAAACAAGGTGTGTGTGTGTGTGTGTGTGTGTGTGTGCGTGTGCGCGCGCGCGCGTGCGCGTGTGTGCTTGTGTGTGTGTGTGTGTCTGTTTGTGTGCCTGTCCATGTGTGTGTCTGTGCACCTGTGAGTGTCCGTCTGTGTGTCTGTGTCTGTATGTGTGTCTCTGTTTGTGTATATGTGTTGGGAGGAAGGTGGCAAAAGTAATATAATATTCAGAAAATATCCAAATACAAGCATGTCCAACCAACTGGGATTGAAATAAGACCTGCTTGTGATATTGAAAATTTCCTTTTTTCCTTATTCTTTGATCCTGGTGTGGAAACGTCCAAGAAAAAGATTTCCAGCTAAAAAAAACCCAACTCACCGCAACACACACCATACATCACAATAGTTACCACAGTAATCATGGGTCACACACACCATACATCACTATAGTTACCACAGTAATCATGGGTCACACACACCATACATCACTATAGTTACCACAGTAATCATGGGTCACACACACCATACATCACTATAGTTACCACAGTAATCATGGGTCACACACCACTGCAATCTCATGTGATGCCATCCCTTTCTAGAGCATACTGGCTGTGGGGCATGTGATGCCACCCGGTGTGATGATGCCCCTTGCGATCCATCACCTGACATTCCCTGAACCCTCATTCCCTTTCTAGAGCATACAGGCTGTGGGGCACGTGATGCGGGGATGTCTGGGTAGACGTATATACCATATTTTCTTGAGCATAGTGCACACTTTTTTCTCCAAAACATACAGCTGTGTAGAAGGGGGTGTGCATTATACACTCATTAATCAGTTTTGATTTTTTTTTTTTCCCCAACGGAAAGACATTACCATGAGTACGTAACACCGGAAATACCATGTCAACAAATCCATACTGAAGTACGCAAATAAATCATGAAATGACACACTCTGGCTATAAAAAGTGTTCTTTGTATATCTGGACTTATGTTTGTAACTTATTTCATAAATTTTATTAAAAATTCCTTAATATTGTTTTAATTAATTTCAGTGAAATCATGTGTGAAGCGATCGGAAGATCGGACAACTCAGTTATTAACAGCAACCACGAACAGATTACCGCTACTGACGCCTCATATTTGTTATAGTTTGACGATTCTATGTCAACATGTAGTTCTCGTGATCACGTGCGCGGGAGCCTTGACGGTGACTGGTCAAACTGGTTCCAAATAATAATCAGCAATAGTGATCAGCTGCTTCGCTTAGGGTTATAATTTTGTAGAATTTTCCTATTCGGAATATTCTATAAGTAATACGTTACCACTGTTATACCGAGGCTGTTGTCCCCCACAACTGCTGCTATAGCGAAATCTACCACAGAGATCTCAATTACCTCGTGCGTAGCCACCTAGCTGCCATGTGACACCCTTCACTCTTGTCTCCTGCGAGAGCAAGTGCTCGGGGGACGGACGGGCGGGCAGCAGCCCAGTGGTAACGTATTACTTATAGAATATTCCGAATAGGAAAATTCTACAAATTACATTAAGTAATACGTTACCACTGTTATACCGAGGCTGACTACCACAGTAGGCGGTGGGGAGCACCTACAACCCGAATCCTGACTGCTAGCGTTCCTTCCGACCAGCGGAAGTAAACACCAAGGCAGAAGCACTCGATGCGCATGCACCTAGCTAGGCGTTACCCTATAGGAATACCAAAGCACTGTCAAGCGCATACCGTATGGCTCAATCGTCATTGCCAAAACGATTGGTGACTCCAAACGGCCCCACTGGATAGGTATTTCATCGCCGCAGCGGATGAGAACACTGTATCCGCGTGAGCTTAATCTTAGATCAGGTTAAACAGTCGAAAAGAGGGAAATTAATTTGATTCAGACCGTATATCCCAGAGCAAGCCTACTTAAAGTATGCATTAGGCGCGTGACCTAATTCCAGTATTTGTAAGCATGCATCACAAGGTTGGGATACACGACAGACAATTAAAGACATAATTGTCAAAATACAAATAAGGACAAAGCACACAAAAAGCCGCCCTCACCTGTGGTGTGAGTGCGCTGGTTTGCGGGACCCCAACTCCTGTACCCACGGCAGTGGGAACATTGGAGTCGACCCAGATTGACCACCGTGCAAGGTCAGACGCCTGAGGAGTTCGGAATTGTGCTGGGCACACCCCTTAGGTGCCCGCTTGCGCCGCGATCCGCGGGCCAAGACGGTGCACACTCTCCACGACGGCATCAGCGACCTGTTTGAGGTAATGATTGGCAAAAACCGAGTCAGAACGCCAGTAACAACCTCGTAATATTCTGCGAACAGAGATATTCGAGTGTAGGGCAAATGTTGCCGCTAGCGCCCTGATCTCGTGCGGGTTTGACCCCGCTACCGGTAACCCCCGAGACCGGTACGCCAGATTGATGACAGAACGAAGCCACAACGCAATCGAGTTGCGAGTTATGTCAACCGTGCGATTAGGGTTACACGATATGAACAGACGGTCACGCCCTTGTCTACGTTCATTCGAAGCCTTTAGATAATACTTAAGGGCCCTAACCGGACACAGCGCTCTGTCCTCAGTATCAGCAGGATGTAAGATTTCTTTGAGTGATCTTACAGTGAATTCTCTCTCCGTTTGCCCGACTCTCTGATTCTTGGCGACGAAGCCCATGAGCACGCCCAGGCGGACCGCTCCTTCGTCACCCCTATCGAATCGTACCTTCGGGACATCGAGTGCATGAATTTCGGATACACGTGCCGCCGTGGCAAAGGAGAGGAGAAATGCTGTTTTCCAAGTCACATGCCGGAACGAAGCACTATGCAAGGGTTCATACGTAGCTTCCGTAAGTGATTGCAACACTAGGGAAAGATCCCAGGCCGGTGCCCAATGGCGGCCCTTCTTAAGATCGTGCTGTTTGAAACCCTTGATAATACCCCGTATCACCGGCTCTTTGGAGAGACTGGTACCCATAGCAACGTCCCGTACCGTAGCAACGGACGAGACATAGTTGGCAATGGAACCCCCGGAGAGTTTCCGGGTCTCTCGCAAGTGAGACATGAAACGAGCAATATCCTGCACAGATACCTTATCTGGCGAATGAATGTGATGTTTACAACACCACTTCGTGAAAATAACCCAACGTGCATTATACACCTTCTGGGTAGAATCACGATGCATACTAAAATATGCCCGAGACGCCCGGCGAGAAAAAACTTTACTCCTCAGACGCTCGGTGACAACATCCACGCGTGCAGATTGAACTGCCCTGCGTTTGGATGAAGCTGACGGGTGTGAGGGTGGATCAAGAGATCCGGTCTCACAGGCAGTGGAAGTGGCGACTGCGTGACCTGGGTCAGCAAGTCGGGGTACCACGATCTGTTCGGCCACATGGGCGCGATCAGTAACATTCGACAGCGAACTCCTCGGAGCCGGCTTAGAATGTGTGGTATCAACGCTGTCGGCGGGTAAGCATAAGCGACCAAGCCCGTCCAGTCTAACGTGAGAGCATCGTGATCGATGGCCCTCGGGTCTGGGACTGGTGATACAAAAAGAACAGGAGTTGATTGTTGAACCGCGTTGCGAACAGGTCGACCATCGGACGACCCAAACGTTCGCACAGCCACTGAAACACTACTGGGTTCAGCATCCACTCTGTGGGGCTCGGATCCTGAGGCCTCGATAGAGCATCGGCCAGTACGTTCCGCACACCTGGGATGTGACGGGCGCGTATCTGGCACGGGACACTGTCCACCAGAGCGTAAAACTCGAACGTGAGATCGAGTAGCGAGTGACTGTGGGTTCCCCCCAGTTTGTTCACATAGGACACTACCGTCGTGTTGTCGGTCGCCAGCATGAGCCGGGCGTCGACGAGACGATGCTTCCAGTGATTGACTGCGTTGATCACTGCCTTGAACTCGAGACAAGTGATGTGAAGACCTAGTTCGTCTACGCACCACAGCCCCGAGCTCACCTCCCCCTTTAGATGGGCGCCCCAGCCCACTAGAGAGGCGTCTGTATACAGGGTCAACGTGGCCCGGTAGGGCCGCATAGAGACTCCTGATAAGACAATGTAAGGGACCATCCACCACTCCAGATGCGGTCGGAGCCGATCCGGGAGGGCGACGGTCGCACTGTTCACCTCCGTTGCTAACAACTGGATTAAAAACCGTTGCAGCGGGCGGAGTTGGAGACGACCCCGTGCGGTGCAGTCCTTGGCTGATACAAGTAGCCCTAACAGCTGTTCCCAAAAGTGAACAGTCTGTTGCACCGCTAAGACTTTGGCAATCATCGCCTGAATTTTGTGCCACCGGTCTGGGGGGACAAAGAGGCGATGGGACACCGTGTTGAACCGACCTCCAATGAACAGCAAGTTCTGAGAAGGGGTTAACCCGCTCTTGGGGAGATTGATAATCCACCCAAATTGCTCCAAGAGCCGACGTGCGAAATCAAGATGGCGTGACAGGGTGTCCGTCATTCGATTTGCTACTAGTGAGTCGTCCAGGTACGCGAAGTACCGGACACCCCTCCTGTGGAGGAACCCCACTATGGGGGTGGTTAACCGGGTGAACAGCCAGGGAGCGGACGTGTGAATCATTCTGAGTTCGGCACTGTCCTACTTGGGAACGAGAAATATCCTGGAGTAAAACCCCGGTGTTATTTCTGGTAGAGCTAACTCCCGTACTGCCCCTTCTCCACCAACCTGCCGATGGCATCGGCGAGGATGGGAAGATCGGTTTCCGAATCGAAACCTGCCAACGGGGCAACGGTGAGCGGCGGATTCGCTTTGAGATCAAGCCGATAGCCGTACCGAATCGTGTTGACCACCCACGGGTCGTCGAACACTTGTTCCCAATTCTCACAGTAAGTCTGGAGTCTGGCTCCCACTGGGGAAGGAGAGGGGGCCCTGACAGGTTGCGGCAGGCGCAACTGTCCAGGGCCAAGTGACTCGGGTTCGCCTAAGGGCCAACCGAAGATGGCGCTGTCGGCATACGAACCCCTCCAATGAGAGTCACCTGGAGGGGCCCTTGCAGTCCGTCGACGACTTGGGCTTCCCCCAGTTCCCCGTCTTCCCGCGAAAGGGCAGCTGATTGCCCATACCGGAGCCCTCAGGGCGGGGCTACTTCCCAGAGTAAGAAGAACCCGACCCCTTAGACCTACAGGCCGCAACAGCCTGGGGCGCGCTCCGGTTAGGAGCGGCACCCAGGCGCCTATGCGGGGACCCAACAAGAGCAAGTGTGTGCCGAGAGTCCTCGGCAACGTACTCCAGGGAAGCATTTAAACTGAGCAGGCAGTTGTAAATGCGCTGGTCACGGTCCGTGGGAGAACCTTCGACCAGACGGGCCGCTGCAGCCAAGTAAGTGTCTCCGTGAGACATGGAGTGCCGAGCGAGGGCGTCCAGCTGGTGCAAGGTAGCTTGCGTTACCGTAGCAGCCGGTGGGGCATGGACACCCAACCGCTCAACATGGGCCTCCGCGGTAGGACCAGCCTCGGGAAAGGCAAGGTCATGTACCGGGAATAAACCCTTTCTCCACGACGTCGGAGGCAACGGAAGACCCCGACCGGAGGCCGCCGCGAAGGCGTTCTCCAAGGAAGGCTTGAAACCGCGCAGCAAGGTCGATGCGGGGAAAGCCGTGTCGGAAGACTCATCGTATACCTCGGAGGAACCCAGTCGTGGATTCCCCGCGGTACCGGCTGGGGCATGTCCTCAAAGAGGTCATAAACCATGGCCACGCGGTCCTAAACCGATAGCGGGAGCAACGGTTCGGGGGAAGGACCGGTGACCACGGGAGCCGCCGCCGTACCGGTGGACCCCGCGGCCACCGAAGTGGCCGGGGACGGAACAGCCAGCGGCCTATCCTGAGATAAGGCCGCCAGCTTGGAGTCCACAAGTTATGCAAGTAATGCAGCGACGGAATCCCCGGACAGCACACGGGCCGCCAAGAGATCCGCCGCTTTACCGGTGGACCCCGCGGCCACCGAAGAGGCCGGGGACGGAACAGCCAGCGGCCTATCTTGCGATAAGGCCGCCAGCTTGGAATCCACAAGTTTCGACAACAATGCGGCGACGGAATCCCCAGACAGCCCGAGGGCCGCAAGGGGATCTGCCGCAGCCGAGGAGGTGGTACCCGCACGGGGACCCCGACCGGACGAACCGGCCACCACAGGGGTGGAGACGGACTGTACGTACAGCCGGTACCGCTCAAACTCCGCAGGCCCCAGACCTTCGCACAGGATGCACCGGGTGTCCCCGCAAGGAACCCTGCACCGCGGGCAACGATCGTGGGGATCCCGGGACGACAAAAACTTTCTGCACACCCCACAACTCCGAGGAGCAGGGGTAGAGGGGGTGGATACTGGGGACATATCCATGTCAGACATTGATTGTTTGCTATAAACAAAGAACAAAACATGGTTACAACGCACGCACCACAATGACTCACAAACGAACATTTTCACAAGAAAATAAACGAGCAATGTGAACATATAACATACACATATAACTTTTATTAAAGAAATAAGTTATGTTAACCCCCAAAACATACAAGAACAGGGGAAACGTAAAACACAACGTGCATACGCGAACCCCGCAAGTATATAGAAAAAAGGGCGGGAAAATTATAACCAAGCGTAGCTACCGCAACGACCCATAAAAACACAGTTTATTAGAGAATAAACTATAATAAATATCACCAAATCTTCAAGGAACGCTTCAGCAGGAGAAAACACGTCTTGCTAAGCAGACGAAGGAGACAAGAGTGAAGGGTGTCACATGGCAGCTAGGTGGCTACGCACGTGCTGCATGAGGTAATTGAGATCTCTCTGGTAGATTTCGCTATAGCAGCAGTTGTGGGAGACAACAGCCTCGGTATAACAGTGGTAACGTATTACTTAATGTAATATTTTAAATATATTTAGTAAAAACTGCAACTAAACTAACAAGATATTAGAATATATTATTCCTGATAAAAATAATAATTTCAGATACAATTTTTGCATTAAAACCCTGTAAAGTTATATCATTGGGTGTGTCTTGACCAAATCACCGGTAGATTCCAAGAAAATGTGTGTACAGCTGATTGCTGTTTTCGGCTTAGTTACTGAGAAAATACGCAAGGTAATCTTAATCCCTCGATGTAAAACAATGCCTAGCAGAAAAAAAAAATACAATTTAAACAGTAAATCAACATGTCTAGTGATTTTTTTATCTCTAATTTCAAATTTGTACTGACCAAGTTTCTCATCACCCGTTCGTTTACCGGAATTTCCTGAAGGGGTACTGTGTAAAAAATTTTCTGCGCATAGTATTCGAATTATTTGTTTACAAAATACTGAATCCGCTAGAGGGGGGTGCGCATTATACTCGTGTGCACACTATACTCAAGAAAATATGGTAGCGTGTGAGATACCCTAGCCTGTGTTGGACCTCAACCGTGAGAGGTACACGAGGAAGCTGGATCTAAACCATGATTAAATTCAAGGATTGTCACAAAGCTTAGTTGTAGAATTAGAAATTGTGTAAGGCTTGCTTCTGAAAACCTCTTTGTGCTACTAAGACAGATACGGCATGACTTCGGGTAATCAAGCAGGATGCCGATCCAAGGACAGCCTACTCAGCACCAACTTTAACCTCACCCCATATAAGAGGAAGTGTTCTGTTACAAACACCTCTTCCTCGGGCAGTAGGTTCTACAAGATAGACCTCACACATCCATTAGACGTAAGGTGGACCAGCTTGGCATCTCCTTTTACACTGCGTCAAAGCTAGCAATCACAACCACAGAGATTGAGTATGCTGAGAACGAGAGGAGGAAACGATTGACAATATTTGATCAACTATTGAGACACCACATGCCCAAGACATGCCCACCACATGCAGGCAGAAGATCAGGACACCATTTAAACAAATGGCCACACCGGATGGTGACTTCTATGACGTCGACTGATGTCTCACCAGACAAGTATATATACCCTACCCCTCGGAACTTGTCTGGGAACCTGATGAATGAATAAGAAACAATAAAACATCTTCAAGTATTTATTGCTATATATATATAGGAAAGTGCACATGGGACTTGCACGCTTGGTATCCTCATCTATGCTGACGGGCTGTTGTAGGTTGTTGGGCCAAGACAAGAGAACCAAAGTGATGAAGACCTACGACATTGGCAGCTGAGACGTCATAAAGATAGTGGGAACCAAACCCTGTGTCCAACCTCCAGAAACATCCCTCCATGATGGCTGATAGAGTGCAGTTGCTGTGCAACGCCAAGGTGGAAGCCACTGCCCGTGTCTCATGAGGGTTGGAATCTCCTGGAGGTGGTAATCCCACAAAGGGGTAGGCTCTGAAGATGATAGAAAGCAGCCAAAAGGATGGTGGTCCAAGATACCTCTGAATGTGCAGCCATTGATAATGGGATTAATAAAGGCTTGTGTGAATGATGTAAGGCCTGAGAGGCCTGAGAGGCCTTGAGGTAGATCCTCAAGGCCCAAACTGCACAGAGCAAGAGGTCTTAAACATCATTGGTCTCAACTGCAAGGACAGCAGTGGGAGTGTAAAGAGTTGATCTTGTTGCCCAGGGAGCTGGTTCTTAGCTATAAAGTCCCAGCGTAGGAAGACTTGACCATGGTGCTGTGGTTGGAACCAAACTTTATTGACATCTAAGGCATGGATTTCACTGATGCGGGCTGCTGTAGCCAGGACAAGGAGGAAATCCGTCTTGAACAGAACGTGTTCAAAGTCCTCGTCGGAAGATAAGTGATGGAGGATCATGAGGAGATCAAACTGTCAACCACATGTACTGTCTGTCCTATCCATCAGGCAATAAGACAGAGAATGAGGGTGCAGGAATGACAGAGGAATGCATTGGTGCATGACTCATGATTACAGTGGAGAATATAGTGACAAATAGGATGTCTTTGGGCGAGTTGTTTCTTTGAAGCTAGAAACTAGGATGTTTCCACAACCGGATCGGAGAAATGCATATTTTGAGATAGAATAAGTTTAAAACTAGGTGTATTTACCCTAGGACCATGTATATAAGTCAATGATATACCTGTACACTGTACACAATCTAGCAGTGGTTACATCTCCCCACCAAAACCTGAAACACTTACAACTGATGTCTGTTTGGTTTAAGTAAGCTCCAATAAACATATAGTTCAATAAGTTTTACCAAGGTTTTTTTGACTTGCTGGTTGGTCTTGGCGGTTTTCCTTTTCGTTTGCCTTTGTTTGTCTTGGTGCTGTGGTTGCTGACCAGTGACGTGTCCTGATCTGTGTGCAAGGTTAGCGAGTACACACTAACCCGTGCCACATGGACTCGGCCAAGCAGCGTTAGCCTCTCCACACTCAGACCATCCACTGTCTTGGACCTGGGATTGTCTGCAAGGAGAAGAAATGCTCCAGTCTTATAATAACATGGCATCAGAATACTTAGATGAAATTCAACATACTTTATCAAATATTGACACTCTTCTTCCATCATGTCTATTGTCTCATACAACTCGCATCACAGTTGCCAGATGCTTGCTTAGCTTACCTTGAACAGGCTCATCGACATCCGATGGTGTCATGTCAAAGGACACACGCGATACCTCCGACCTCGGAGTACTTGGAACATCATTGTCACTTGCATCACTAGCACTACTGGCTCTCTGTCTCAACTTAGCACAGGTTCTTGTTCTTGATCTGGAACGTGACGATGACCTTGACCTCTGAACCTTACAACCTTTGTTTTTTTCCCTTGTTCTTAGTTTCTTTCTTGTTTTGGAGGTGGACCGCTTTGGTTTCTTCTTCTCTTCTTCTGGAAACTGAAGTGAGAGGCTGGACAGGGATGATCTTCTCGATGGAGGCCTCTGTAATTACAAAGCAACAATGAACACCAGGCTACATGTTTGTTTATTGTGTCACGCTGCACTCAGCAATATCCCAGCTATACGATGGTATGTAGGTAATAAAGTCTGGACCAGACAATCCAGTTCCCACGTTCTCAAGTGGCCACACAACCTTGAAAACCTCTTGATGACTTATTTTATTACATGCATTTGGTATAGGCCAACCCCTCACAAAACATTCTGTAATTGTAATGAATCGATGCTGCAAAGTCCTTTATTCACTTGTCAGTACTTACTACTATTTATTCATTTCCCCAGGTTCTCAATGTATTTGTGATATTTACAACTTCCAAGTATTCATCTCCGGAACATGTGATTGGTTTGCCAATGCTATTTTTAATCTGTCGGAAGTACGCATGTGCGGTCTGTGTTTTCCATGTATATTAAAGTCCCGTCACATGACCACTTCCTTCCTGTTTATCTTACGACTGGATTTTAACTACCAAACTCCCTTCCCTTGCATTAGGGATGAGTTTGTTGCAAAGGGGGGATTTATAGTCCTTTCCATATCAGCATAACGTGGAATGGACTATAGGTCCCCCCAAGTAGTGGTAGGACCCAACAGCTGGGATGGTTAGGGTCCACGACCTCAGGACTTACACATCCCAGGGATCAGCATACTCCGTGGTCAGCTTATAAGTGTAGTAGATTATTATTTAATCTGCTTCGGTTTTGATGTACTAGATATAATTGTATGTTTATTATTGTATTCATTGTTCCAGGGTGTCGGTTTATCACGACAGAAAATAAATAATCAGACCTCACACCCTAGCCTGTGTCATTATGTTATCTGGGACATATATGCACATATAATGGTTACAACATGCCCGCGAGTACACAGCCAGTGTTTTGATGGCGAGGCGAGTTGGCTGGTAGCTGAATATTACAAAGCTGCAGAGATAAACTTTGCTTAACAATAAACAATTAATGCTCAGGGATGTGAGCAGGTTTTCCTGAAAAAAGAGGAAAAGTCTAGGGGGCCTGGGGGCATGCCCCCCCCCCCCCCCCTCGAATTTTTTTTTAAACATTTGATTGCATTTTAAGCAATTTCGTGCAGTTTGGACAACATTCACACCAAGAAATGTAATAAGTCAATGGCAAAAGTCAAAAAGCCATATAAACAAGATGGCAGATGCAGTAAAATTTCGAAGTTAAATCAGTACCTTTAAAAAATCGGGCATAGCTTACGCACACCTGGCTACCTGCCAGGTCTGGGAGCAATACTGCCATAAACTTCAACCCCCATCACCCAGACACAAGCACAACTGTCACAAGTGTGCAATGTCTGACCCTTTCCCCATGTTGAAGCATATTGAAAACAACTTACCTTGTACTTACTTACCTTTTGTTGAAAAAAACAAAACTACATTGCACACATAAGACATTAATACAACATATATCCCCATGTTATGGGTTTTTGGACGCTGAAGAAACATTCATAGTTTTCTCGCTAATCACATGAACATCTGTAAAACATCTCATTCACTTACAGGCTAAAAGACAACTTTATCTTAAAAACAAGCCATCATCTCACTCTGAGTATTTACAATTTATGTGTGATGCCACACCCCACGTTATAGTGCAAGTATTCGTGATAGAAAACGTATGATGTCCGAAAACCTATGCTGCTGAAAGCTCTCATCGAAAACAGGACAATTCGCGACGGTTGTCCTATTTTTCAGAGTGTTTTTTTAAATCTTTGATTATATTTTTACGCGGAAGATGATTTTTTCCGAGGACAACTGTTTTAAAAAACGCGATTTTCCGCGTTTCTGCAGAGATTTCACATCCCTGAATGCTTTAAATAAAGAAAACAGGATTAATCACATGCTTAGATTACCTCAATCTCATTAAAATCAGATACAAGTTCTTGCTATCGTCGAGGACATCCCATTACAGGTCACGTAAGAAGAACCTATCGCGAACTATGACCGACGAACATTGGTACTACTTACTTTCGTTTATCTGACATAATCATTTATCCGACATAATCATATGCAACCAGCCATGTCGGATTAACGGGACTTGACTGTATATGTATTATTGTGATATGTTGTTGGGGCACAAAATCATGAATTATATTATATAGAAGTGGAACAAAGTCAAACAAGTGGTTACTGAAATCAAAGTAACTTTCAAGACAAAAATTCAAAATAGTGTCACAGCACAGTAGCTCACCTGGACACCGCCAAAAGTATTAACAAGTACAAAACAAATATCTAAATTTCAACAATGTTTTCAAATCTGCAAGAAGGAATTCTGAATATTGCTGCAATGCACAAGTTACATGTACAAGTTACATGCACAAGTTACATGTACAAGTTACATGCACAAGTTACATGCACAAGTTACATGTACAAGTTACATGCATAAGTTACATTTAAAGTTACATGTACAAGTTACATGCACAAGTTACATGCATAAGTTACATTTAAAGTTACATGTACAAGTTACATGCACAAGTTACATGTACAAGTTACATGCACAAGTTACATGTACAAGTTACATGCACAAGTTCCATGTACAAGTTACATGTACAAGTTACATGCACAAGTTACATGTACAAGTTACATGTACAAGTTACATGCACAAGTTACATGTACAAGTTACATGCATAAGTTACATTTAAAGTTACATGTACAAGTTACATGCACAAGTTACATGCACAAGTTACATGTACAAGTTACATGCACAAGTTACATGCACAAGTTACATGTACAAGTTACATGCACAAGTTACATGTAAAGTTACATGTACAAGTTACATGTACAAGTTACATGCACAAGTTACATGTACAAGTTACATGCACAAGTTACATGCACAAGTTACATGTACAAGTTACATGCATAAGTTACATTTAAAGTTACATGTACAAGTTACATGCACAAGTTACATGCACAAGTTACATGTACAAGTTACATGCACAAGTTACATTTAAAGTTACATGTACAAGTTACATGCACAAGTTACATGTACAAGTTACATGCACAAGTTACATGTACAAGTTACATGCACAAATTACATGCACAAGTTACATGCACAAGTTACATGTAAAGTTACATGTAAAGTTACATGTACAAGTTACATGCACAAGTTACATGCACAAGTTACATGTACAAGTTACATGCACAAGTTACATGCACAAGTTACATTTAAAGTTACATGCATAAGTTACATGTAAAGTTACATGTACAAGTTACATGCACAAGTTACATGCACAAGTTACATTTAAAGTTACATGTACAAGTTACATGTACAAGTTACATGCACAAGTTACATGCACAAGTTACATTTAAAGTTACATGTACAAGTTACATGTACAAGTTACATGTACAAGTTACATGCACAAGTTACATGCACAAGTTACATGTACAAGTTACATGCACAAGTTACATGTACAAGTTACATGTACAAGTTACATGTACAAGTTACATGCACAAGTTACATGTACAAGTTACATGCACAAGTTACATGTACAAGTTACATGTACAAGTTACATGCACAAGTTACATGCACAAGTTACATGCACAAGTTACATGCACAAGTTCCATGTACAAGTTACATGTACAAGTTACATGCATAAGTTACATGTAAAGTTACATGTACAAGTTACATGCACAAGTTACATGCACAAGTTACATGTACAAGTTACATGTACAAGTTACATGCACAAATTACATGCACAAGTTACATTTAAAGTTACATGTACAAGTTACATGCACAAGTTACATGTACAAGTTACATGTACAAGTTACATGCACAAGTTACATTTAAAGTTACATGTACAAGTTACATGCACAAGTTCCATGCACAAGTTCCATGTACAAGTTACATGTACAAGTTACATGTAAAGTTACATGTACAAGTTACATGCACAAGTTACATGCACAAGTTACATGTACAAGTTACATGTACAAGTTACATGCACAAATTACATGGACAAGTTACATGCACAAGTTACATGTACAAGTAACATGTACTTTACATCACAGCTACCATGATGGCCATTTTCAAAATCAGATTCAAAGCTCTTGAACAAACAAGCAGGTGGGAGGTCCAGCTTAACTGGTCCCGAGGTCTGTAGGGACAAACTCAGATGTGATCATTGGTGGGGACAAGCAGGGGGAGGTCCAGCTTAACTGGTCCTGAGGTCTGTAGGGACAAACTCAGGTGTGATCATTGGTGGGGACAAGCAGGGGGAGGTCCAGCTTAACTGGTCCCGAGGTCTGTAGGGACAAACTCAGGTGTGATCATTGGTGGGAACAAGCAGGTGGGAGGTCCAGCTTAACTGGTCCCGAGGTCTGTAGGGACAAACTCAGGTGTGATCATTGGTGGGAACAAGCAGGGGGAGGTCCAGCTTAACTGGTCCCGAGGTCTGTAGGGACAAACTCAGGTGTGATCATTGGTGGGAACACGCAGGGGGAGGTCCAGCTTAACTGGTCCCGAGGTCTGTAGGGACAAACTCAGGTGTGATCATTGGTGGGGACAAGAAGGGGGAGGTCCAGCTTAACTGGTCCCGAGGTCTGTAGGGACAAACTCAGGTGTGATCATTGGTGGGGACAAGAAGGGGGAGGTCCAGCTTAACTGGTCCTGAGGTCTGTAGGGACAAACTCAGGTGTGATCATTGGTGGGAACAAGCAGGGGGAGGTCCAGCTTAACTGGTCCCGAGGTCTGTAGGGACAAACTCAGGTGTGATCATTTGTGGGAACAAGCAGGGGGAGGTCCAGCTTAACTGGTCCCGAGGTCTGTAGGGACAAACTCAGGTGTGATCATTGGTGGGAACAAGCAGGGGGAGGTCCAGCTTAACTGGTCCCGAGGTCTGTAGGGACAAACTCAGGTGTGATCATTGGTGGGGACAAGCAGGTGGGAGGTCCAGCTTAACTGGTCCCGAGGTCTGTAGGGACAAACTCAGGTGTGATCATTGGTGGGAACAAGCAGGGGGAGGTCCAGCTTAACTGGTCCTGAGGTCTGTAGGGACAAACTCAGGTGTGATCATTGGTGGGAACAAGCAGGGGGAGGTCCAGCTTAACTGGTCCCGAGGTCTGTTGGGACAAACTCAGGTGTGATCATTGGTGGGAACAAGCAGGGGGAGGTCCAGCTTAACTGGTCCCGAGGTCTGTAGGGACAAACTCAGGTGTGATCATTGGTGGGAACAAGCAGGGGGAGGTCCAGCTTAACTGGTCCCGAGGTCTGTAGGGACAAACTCAGGTGTGATCATTGGTGGGAACAAGCAGGGGGAGGTCCAGCTTAACTGGTCCCGAGGTCTGTAGGGACAAACTCAGGTGTGATCATTGGTGGGGACAAGCAGGGGGAGGTCCAGCTTAACTGGTCCCGAGGTCTGTAGGGACAAACTCAGGTGTGATCATTGGTGGGAACAAGCAGGGGGAGGTCCAGCTTAACTGGTCCCGAGGTCTGTAGGGACAAACTCAGGTGTGATCATTGGTGGGAACACGCAGGGGGAGGTCCAGCTTAACTGGTCCCGAGGTCTGTAGGGACAAACTCAGGTGTGATCATTGGTGGGAACAAGCAGGGGGAGGTCCAGCTTAACTGGTCCCGAGGTCTGTAGGGACAAACTCAGGTGTGATCATTGGTGGGGACAAGCAGGGGGAGGTCCAGCTTAACTGGTCCCGAGGTCTGTAGGGACAAACTCAGGTGTGATCATTGGTGGGAACAAGCAGGGGGAGGTCCAGCTTAACTGGTCCCGAGGTCTGTAGGGACAAACTCAGGTGTGATCATTGGTGGGAACACGCAGGGGGAGGTCCAGCTTAACTGGTCCCGAGGTCTGTAGGGACAAACTCAGGTGTGATCATTGGTGGGAACAAGCAGGGGGAGGTCCAGCTTAACTGGTCCCGAGGTCTGTAGGGACAAACTCAGGTGTGATCATTGGTGGGAACAAGCAGGGGGAGGTCCAGCTTAACTGGTCCCGAGGTCTGTAGGGACAAACTCAGGTGTGATCATTGGTGGGGACAAGAAGGGGGAGGTCCAGCTTAACTGGCCCCGAGGTCTGTAGGGACAAACTCAGGTGTGATCATTGGTGGGGACAAGAAAGGGGGAGGTCCAGCTTAACTGGTCCCGAGGTCTGTAGGGACAAACTCAGGTGTGATCATTGGTGGGGACAAGAAGGGGGAGGTCCAGCTTAACTGGTCCCGAGGTCTGTAGGGACAAACTCAGGTGTGATCATTGGTGGGGACAAGCAGGGGGAGGTCCAGCTTAACTGGTCCCGAGGTCTGTAGGGACAAACTCAGGTGTGATCATTGGTGGGAACAAGCAGGGGGAGGTCCAGCTTAACTGGTCCCGAGGTCTGTAGGGACAAACTCAGGTGTGATCATTGGTGGGAACAAGCAGGGGGAGGTCCAGCTTAACTGGTCCCGAGGTCTGTAGGGACAAACTCAGGTGTGATCATTGGTGGGAACAAGCAGGGGGAGGTCCAGCTTAACTGGTCCCGAGGTCTGTAGGGACAAACTCAGGTGTGATCATTGGTGGGAACAAGCAGGGGGAGGTCCAGCTTAACTGGTCCCGAGGTTTGTAGGGAGACAATGTTTATGACAGATGCCAGACAAACAGGTCATTGTATGACGCAGTGTATTGGATGGATAGGACTGAAGGCTGGAGCAATGTACACACCACATTGGCAGGGTCCTCCATTGAGACAGTACTGGTGTTGACAGACTTGTCTCTCTCATCCCCACTCATCTCGCTCAGAACGCTGCCGTCACTCTCCTGCAAACATGAAGTTAGTGTCAAATTCTAAACTTCTGCTTGCAATTAGAAAACAGATGACAATCTAATGATGTTGTTTGTTTGATATTTAATGCCGCACTCTGCAATATTTCAGCTATGACAGCGGACTGTAAATAATCAAATCTACCATCAAACCAGACAATCCAGTGATAGATATCGTGAGCATGATTCATGCCATCAGGGTGAGATGACACACCAGCCAGCCAGCAAGTCAAAGCATGACCACCCGATCCATTTGGTCAACCATTACACAACAAGATCAGGACTGGAACAGAACTCCATAGCTGAGCTTGTTTTATTACAGTTTCTAAATGTATGTAAGTGTCGTGGGCAGCAGTGTCTCGTGGGCAGCAGTGTTGTGGGCAGCAGTGTTGAGGTGCTCACTGAGTGTCTGTAGAACAGTTCCTGCAGGATGTTGTCCTCCTGAACTGGGTCTCCGGTCTCGCTCAGGTCAGCGGGGTCACTCGACACACTCGTCCCTGGGCTGCCTCCGTTCAGAAGTTGAAACATCTACAACACAAATAACACCAGTCTCCACATCAGCCAACATGTGAGAATTCAGAAAGGGTGATAATGAACATAATCAAATGATACCATTATCAAGTTTTAAGATCTTAACCTTATAGATTAAATATTCATAAAATGTGTTTCTTCTCAACCTTCAACACTTCATCTTAGTCAATGATATCTGTTTAGCAATAAATATACTATGCATAAAAAGTAGTTTGTATTATGTGTTGAATTGGCCTCACAAGGTGTGACACTGAGTGGATGTGTCACTGGTTGGGTGTGTCACTGGTTGGGTGTGTCACTGGGTGGGGGTATCAAAACACTCACCTTGAAATCATTTTTATGCAATGGAGAGCCAACGACCATGTCAACAGTTTTAGAATTAATGTCACTGGCCATCATGTCATCAGTCGCCATGGCAACACCAGCTGCATCTTTCTCAGCACGGAGAATTTCCTTAAGCAAACTTCCAGTAGAGCTGCTCCTGTAAATCAAGCATTGGACACATCAAATATCCATTACACTTGCCATTAAGCTTAGCCCACTTCAATAATCAATCATACCTGCCATCAAGCACTCCACACTTCAAAAACCCATCATACCTGCCATCAAGCATTAGGCATTTTAGTAATTAATCATACTTGTCATCAAGCATTCCACACTTCAATAATCCATTATGCTTGACATCAAGCATTGGGCACTTCAATAATTCATCAAACCTGCCATCAAGCATTCCACACTTTAATAAAACATTATACTTGACATCAAGCATTGGACAGTTCAATAATCCATCAAACCTGCCATCAACTTTTGCATGGAATGCATGCTTTTCTGCAGCAGTTGAGTTTTTGTGACTTGATTCCATATATGTACTACAATATTGAAAACCAAACTTTACTTGTTTGAAAAATACACATAAATATTGGTGTCACAGGAACTTTTGTAGTTGAGTATACTTGCCATCAAGCATTGGGCGCTTCAATAATCCATCAAACATGCCATCAAGCATTCCACACTTCAATAATCCATCATACCTGCCATCAAGCATTCACACTTCAATAATCCATCTGCCTGCCATCAAGCATTCACACTTCAATAATCCATCAAACCTGCCATCAAGCATTCCACACTTCAATAATCCATCAAACCTGCCATCAAGCATTGTACATTTCAATAATCCATTATACTTGCCATCAAGCATTCACACTTCAACAATACATTATACCTGCCATCAAGCATTCACACTTCAATAATCCATCATACCTGCCATCAAGCATTCATACTTCAATAATCCATCATACCTGCCATCAAGCATTCACACTTCAATAATACATCAAACCTGCCATCAAGCATTCACACTTCAATAATACATTATACCTGCCATCAAGCATCCACACTTCAATAATACATCATACCTGCCATCAAGCATTCATACTTCAATATTCCATTACACTTGCAATCAAGCATTCCACACTTCAATAATCCATCATACCTACCATCAAGCATTCATACTTCAATAATCCATTACACTTACCATGAAGCATTCCACACTTCAATAATCCATCATACTTGCCATCAAGCATTCCACACTTCAATAATCGATCATACTTGCCATCAAGTATTGTACATTTCAATAATCCATCATACTTGATTCCAAGCATTGTACAATTCAATAATCCACTTTTTTAAGCATTGCTCACTTCAATTATACTTGCCATCAAGCATTGGACACTTCAATTATAACTGATGATGTCCTGTTTTCACCGTGACATAACTGAGACACTGACCTGTTTATTGACTTGGCCTCTGGGACTACTATGTCCTGCGGCCTGATTCCGGCTGCATCCATCTTGTGGTGGTCCTGGCAGTCAACAGACGACACCGCCATCGCATCCCGTAGCTTCTTGCCCCGCTCCAGCAGCACAGACAGCACATTGCTGGAAGGGGCACCTGCCGAGGTAACAGCAGCGCCTGCATTGCATCAAGGTATCAAGAAAAAAGATTTGACAAAAAATTATTTTTTAGAGTAAAATATCATTTATACTTATCCTGACTCGTACTAATTGCTTATCTCATCTCATTTCTGAAAGGTAGTGGAAATTGGGGTTAATGGTCTACACCCATCCCTGACCCTTGAAAAAAGGCCGACTCCTCACAATAAACATATAAGTGTGCAACCGATATAACAACATTGCATGTCAGTCAACAATGCTAAACAAGCAAAGCCACTAATCTTGTCCCAGAAGACAATGAACTGCTAGTCCACGCTTACCTGGCCTGCTTGTGACACGGCTGTGTGTTGGAGACAGAGACTTCAGCTGGGTCCCCTGACTCTCGCTGGTGGTGACCACTTGACCGCCTGCAGTGATGGACACTGTGCTGCCTTCCTGCACAGGCTGGGTGTCCACTGCGTCGTATCGCAGTCTCTGCTTCACATCAGCAGCGTACGGAAGAGACAAGCCATTCTCCTTCTTCTGACCATCAGCATCTAGGTGGGAGGCAGGGGAGACAAACGGGTCCTCCTGAGGCATGACAGGCTGACTGAAGTGTGGGCGTGGCTGGTAGCGGTGGGGGTAGGTGGACTCCTGCGTTGTATGGGTTTCCAGACTGATGTCTGAGGTGGGGATGGAGCCCATGCTGTCATATGACACTGAAACAGTGGAGAACACTTCATAGTAAATCACGGCACTTCTGCATAGATGGGAGCTTTTCTTGGTCTAAATTAAACTTACTGAGTGAGTGAACATCAGACATAGAAACGTGCATGCTACAATGGCCATCATGAAATTGTCTTTAATAATATCTATTTTGCATCCAATGGGAAGTACAAATTATTTGTGTGATTCACATTTTTAGGACATAATTTTATGTGTCAGGCTAAACCCTGATCCCTACCTAACATCAGTCATCCCCACAGTAAACATGTCCCTGATAGTAGCACCTGTCCATAGTAGCACCTGCCCATAGTTGCACCTGTCCATAGCAGCACCTCCCCATAGTTGCACCTGTCCATAGTAGCACCTGTCCACAGTAGCATCTTCCCATAGTAGCACTTTCCCATTGTAGCACCTTCCCATAGTAGCACCTTCCCACAGTAGCACCTTCCCATAGTAGCACTTACCCATAGTAGCACCTCACCATAGTAGCACTTCCCCATAGTAGCACCTGCCCATTGTTGCTCCTGTCCATAGTAGCACCTGCCTATAGTAGAACCTTCCCATATAGCACCTGTCCACAGTAGTACCTCCCCATAGTAGCACCTTCCCATTGTAGCACCTGTCCATAGTTGCACATGCCCATAGTAGCACCTTCCCGTAGTAACACCTGCCCATAGTAGCACTTACCCATAGTAGCACCTCACCATAGTAGCACTTCCCCATAGTAGCACCTGCCCATAGTTGCTCCTGTCCATAGTAGCACCTGCCTATAGTAGAACCTTCCCATATAGCACCTGTCCACAGTAGTACCTCCCCATAGTAGCACCTTCCCATTGTAGCACCTGTCCATAGTTGCACATGCCCATAGTAGCACCTTCCCGTAGTAACACCTGCCCATAGTAGCACTTACCCATAGTAGCACCTCACCATAGTAGCACTTCCCCATAGTAGCACCTGCCCATAGTTGCTCCTGTCCATAGTAGCACCTGCCTATAGTAGAACCTTCCCATATAGCACCTGTCCACAGTAGTACCTCCCCATAGTAGCACCTTCCCATTGTAACACCTGTCCATAGTTGCACATGCCCATAGTAGCACCTTCCCGTAGTAACACCTGCCCATAGTAGCACCTTCACATAGTAGCACCTGTCCATAGTAGCACCTGCCCATAGTAACACCTACCCATTAAAGGCTCCAGCACAACAGAAACCTGAATCTCGGCCAGTTTCTCCTCGTTTGGTGAAAACACAGGGAAAAATCTAAAAACAAAAGACTTGAGTCAGCATTTTCTACCATTATAACTACAGCATGGCCAGCTGTAACTAATTTACCAGTGGTTGATAACATGAACAACAATCCATGCTATTGGATATGTCACACTACATCCAGGGCTCACAACAAATAACATGCCAATTCCCTATCCCTGATGACACAGTACATCTATATACTGGAATATATATATATATATCATACCTCCATGTCAGAATGATGATATCTGATTGGTCCATGTGATCTTGATAAAATACTATGTATCCCGCCTTGGAGAGAAAATACATTTCTCAGCGGGTGAATAAATCATTTATACCCCGCCATGAGCAAGACAGGTTGCATGAGGATTTCTGAGAGACAGTATACGTCCCTTATACCCCACTTCCAAGCAAAAAGCATCAAGCTTTTACCGGGTCAATGAATGTCACATGACATAGCACAAGCTAACCTCTGCTCAATTGAACAGCTGTTTTCTATCAATTTTGAATTTGTTTTAATTCTTTCACAATGTAATATCAAAACATGTCGGTAAGATAAAATTGTTGAAGCAGGATCAAGACAGCTACATGGGGTTTCATGCGCCTCCGGCTCGTGATATAAAACCTAACGCCTTGTAACCCTCGTGATCCTGCTACAACTTATAATATATAGTTACTAACCCATTGATAGGTCTGTTGACAGACAGCAGCCCTATCTGAGGAACCTCTGCCTGACCAATAGGTGCCGCTAGCTGACCACTCATGACCTCCAGTGTCAGGGCCCCCATGTCCGACAGATAGGCTGCAAACTGACGAGGTCCGGACCTCACTGGGTAGCGAGCAGTTGTCTGACATCCAGACTTATCTCCCTTCTTCACATTCAGAGGTCTGAAACACGAGCAGGGACATTCAGCCATCTACATGACCATACTGTACAACAAAACATAATGTCACAATTTCATTACAAAAACTGCATCTGTTTCAATACACTGATAACAAGAGTACAATGTCAGAATCTTCCAATGAAACACTGTCCAGTGTTATAACAAGATGTTATACATGTGTAATAACAAGAAACAAATCTCATCTGAAGATAGATCCATCTCATAATGACACTCTGGCCAGTGTTATACATGTGTAATAACAAGAAACAAATCTCATCTGAAGATAGATCCATCTCATAATGACACTCTGGCCAGTGTTATACATGTGTAATAACAAGAAACAAATCTCACTTGAAGATAGATCCATCTCATAATGACACTCTGGCCAGTGTTATACATGTGTAATAACAAGAAACAAATCTCACTTGAAGATAGATCCATCTCATAATGACACTCTGGCCAGTGTTATACATGTGTAATAACAAGAAACAAATCTCATTTGAAGATAGATCCATCTCATAATGACACTCTGATCAATGTTACACATGTGTAATAATAAGAAACAAATCTCATCTGAAGATAGATCCATCTCATAATGACACTCTGGCCAGTGTTATACATGTGTAATAACCATAACAAGAAACAAATCTCACTTGAAGATAGATCCATCTCATAATGACACTCTGGCCAGTGTTATACATGTGTAATAACAAGAAACAAATCTCACTTGAAGATAGATCCATCTCATAATGACACTCTGATCAATGTTACACATATGTAATAATAAGAAACAAATCTCATCTGAAGATAGATCCATCTCATAATGACACTCTGGCCAGTGTTATACATGTATGTGTAATAACCATAACAAGAAACAAATCTCACTTGAAGATAGATCCATCTCAAAATGACACTCTGGTCCATGTTACACATGTTTAATAACAAGAAACAAATCTCACTTGAAGATAGATCCATCTCATAATGACACTCTGGCCAGTGTTATACATTTGTAATAACAAGAAACAAATCTCACTTGAAGATAGATCCATCTCATAATGACACTCTGGCCAGTGTTATACATGTGTAATAACAAGAAACAAATCTCACTTGAAGATAGATCCATCTCATAATGACACACTGGCCAGTGTTATACATGTGTAATACAGTGATCGCTCGCTATTGCGCTACCAATGGGGTCCAAATAATTGGTGGGCGTTATAGACGATGAGCCGTTTAACCGAGGCCGAGGCGGGGGAGCGCGCTCGGCAAATCTCAAATCATCAATAGGCCTATGTGTTTATCTCACGTCACGTCAAAATAGTATATATTTTTATGGACCTAGATCTACCTGTAATATCATTCATTTATTAAATCTGTCATATTTCACAATGTCTGAAATACGTATTCCATTCTAATTTATCATTTTTTATCAATAAATTAAAAAATTATTCACTATTTCCCGCGATGTTATTGAAAATAAAATTCTCGGACACACATTTCGACAACGGGTCCGCATTGAACATGTCAAAGAGCAAAATAAAGACTATTTTAAGCAAATCTTTAAATATATTATACAAAGTGATAAATAAAATCAACAAAAATATATCTAAAAGTAATCAAACTTACATCTAAGTTATTATTTCCATCGTTTCGTGCGATCGCGTGTAATGTAAGTCAAATGACATCTCGGCTTTCGTCGCCTTGAATTCTCGGCTCGGACACAACGTTTAATGCAAAAATATATGCATGAAAAATCTTTGTCACAGCTCGTAACCTAGCACAATACATTCGCAAAGTTCCATATTTTTAATATATATCGTGATTTCCTGCTTAAAACGTTCAGAATAACACGATTTAACAAAAAATCTTTCGCTAACTTCTGAAATTTATCAAACACGAGCTTTGTATCACAGCTTGATTGGCTGCCTGAGGTCACGTGCTCAAAATTGACCAATCACGAAACTTGTAGCAGATTTCGGCAAGAAAGCGTCATTAGAAACAAATTTTAATCCAATGAAATCGCTTGTTATAACTACGGGAAAAAAACAGGCGATGTTACGAAAGCGCGATTACAAAATGAATGACCGCCGTGTTGTGACAGCAACTACATGTGTGTGACAGTTTAGCCTTAAATTGGATTGCCCACTAATTAAGAATATAAACTTCACTTGTGGTTCTCTTTTATTGCATGCATGCGCTTCTAAGATCAAAGGATGTATAGTGTGAAAAGTTAACTGGTAGAACAATCGTATTTCCGGGACCTGCCGCGGATGTTTTCAAACAGATTATTAGAACTCCATTCAGCGATAAACCGTTGATTATGCAATGAGAAGCGTTATGTGCAAATAAACAACGAACAACAATACAATCATGTCTGTGTAAAACTCTCAGTATTAAAAGTGTACATAAATTTTGGGAGCCATGCGTTACCGCGCGTAATAACCGAAGTAGCGCTTTATCGAAGAGCGCAATAGCGAGCGATCACTGTAACAAGAAACAAATCTCACTTAAAGATTGATCCATCTCATAATGACACTCTGGCCAGTGTTATACATGTTTAATAACAAGAAACAAATCTCACTTGAAGATCGATCCATCTCATAATGACACTCTGATCAATGTTACACGTGTAATAATAAGAAACAAATCTCACTTGAAGATAGATCCCAATCATAATGACACACTGGCCAGTGTTATACATGTGTAATAACAAGAAACAAATCTCACTTAAAGATTGATCCATCTCATAATAACACTCTGGCCAGTGTTATAAATGTTTAATAAGTTAAGAAACAAATCTCACTTGAAGATCGATCCATCTCCCGGTTCTCCCCACCACTTGATCCGCACTAGTGTGAGGTCAGGGGTCACTGCAGTGACCCATATTATTTGGCTGATGGACAGTCTGCAGAAACACCTGAGCTGACCTTCGACCTGGGGTGGCAGGGCAGTATGGACCCGAACATCTTCCACCAACCAAGGTTCTGCTGAAACAGTTGTCATAATACCATGTTATCTCATTAAACTGACAAAAGATTTCAAAATGATATCTGACTGAAATACAAACAATATATTTTGAATCAAATTGAGTGAGTTAGGGTTTAAAGTAATGAAGGATTTCTGTTATATAACGTAACGTTAACTTTATCTGTGAATGTAGGGGGAAAGAGGGAAAGATGAAAGGGAAACAGGTGAAACATACAGGTACGAGTGTCATGCTGACAAACCAAGCATCTTATTCAGGGGAAGTCTGGGATTGGCAAATCATGCTTAAGTATCCTGTTTTCATCTATTCCAAGTAATCGTGAAGATTTTATCAGGCTTCAACACAGATAAGTAAGTGGAGATGTTTAGGAAGACAGAGTTTTCAATCTTAAGACTAATAAGAGTATTGAAACAACACAACTGGACACTTCAACAATGAGCAGTTTTCCCATCACTATGAGTATGATAGGTCAGTGAGTCTGACAGTGACTAATACATTTCATACTTGTTACATTGTTAGTTCAAAATTCTCAACCTTAACCTCAAAGTAATTAGCATAATTAGCATGATTAGTGCTGAAACAATAAGGCCAGTCTTTTTATATTTTTAGGATTACGGATTTTTCAGCCCAAAGTCAAGGGTTGGAGGAGGGGGAAAAAAAGCCAGATGCATTTTTTTTAATGCAGAATGCCTCTGGCATAATCTGTGCTCAAAAGACCGCCATTTGTGATGATAAACAATAAAAATTCGACCACTTACAACACGGACAATTGTCAAGGGAGGCTATTCATGTTCGGCTTCGAGATCAACAAAGATCGATTATGTATCTCTTTACTAGTTTACAACAGTAAATTCATATGTTTTTTATTAAAAGGTGATTCTGACAAATAAAACAAGCGTATAGTCGGCGAAGTCATCTATATCCCCCACCATTTTAACACGTTATGGTCCCAAACCAGGTAACTGACCCGACATTTCTCTTAGGCCAAATATTGTCAAAATAGCTGCAATGGAAATTCTAAAATAAACATTCACAAAACTCTCTAAATAGCAAAAGGCACCAGTTCAGTTTGTGTCTGGTAAACATGCAAAGTTTTGTAAGAAATTATTTAATGTTTTTTTAGTTACGCTCCGGAAACGAACAGCACTCTTATAGAACCCAAGTCCAACTTGTTGCCATGGAAACGTAAAAAATAAACATTTATAAAACTCCTAAATAGCAAAAGGCACCAGTTCAGTATGAATCTGATAGACATGCAAAGTTTCGTAGAGAAATATTTAACGGTTTCTGAGTTATGCTCCGGAAACAATTTCTGGACGCACACACACACACACACACGCACGCACACACTGACGAAATCCATTTCTATATCATGTATATCCCCCGCCAACTTTGTTGGGGCGGGGGATAATAACCGACTACGTTGCTATTGGGGGGGGGGGGGGGGGGATAGCACCAACAGTCACTGTTGAAACAAAACTCCTGAAGTTACTGAGCACTTCAAAGGTCAGTTTTCTATTATAATCAGTCTTGGTGAAAAGATTCCTCTGTTTTTTCTGTCTCAACTGGACAAGAGCGTCTACAAAGTCAAACTCGTCATAGACTGGCCCCTCAACGGACACTGTGATATGATCATCTAGTCTGTCACCTGACAAACCACTCCTGAGCAAAGACTTCACAAGATTCTGAGAACTAAATCTTCGCTCGCAGTCAGCTGTATGGATTGGGGCTGTAAGCATGGTAAGGGTAATTCGGTAATTTAGAAAATCCTCTTTGTGGTACCTGTGAATCAAAGTCCACAGCTGCTGCATCTTGTCCCTGGGGTACTCAGGATTTTCAACCAAAGGCTTTATTCTAGCCCATTCCTCTCTGGTAGCCACCGGATCAATGACTGCTTCTTGAGAAGATATTTCTCCCTTCTAGGTGTGTGTCTGAACCTCTCCATAGTGCTCGAGAAGCATTTCCAACTTACTGTTGCCCCACTGCTGCAGATCCTGCCCTGATAAGAATGAACCAGGCCTCATGCTCAACACACCTAACACATACACATATATCATACTGCACTCTGATGGAACATGCACTGGAGGACTCCCTAATGGAAGGAAGGTTAGATCTCTCTTGAAGGATGTGGTTTCCCTTGAACATGTTGAATAGAGACTCCTTTTAAGATGCCATACAGTTCTCAACTGACACTTGCACGTGTGCTATGTCCAGACTTTTTTCAGGAAAATAAGGCACAACTGAGACAGCACTGAAAGCACATCCATAAGCATGATAAGGAGGTAGGTACAGGATGCAAAAATACCCCTGGCCCTAGGCGTCCTTCTGACTGTGAAAGAATGTAATGAGATCGTCCAAACATCGGTCTCTACAGCCTTATACACTGCCAACCACCGCACCTCATGGACTTCATGGATTTTCAGTTCTGGTTCGTTTAATAGATTCTGCCTTCTTTTGAGAGTTTGGCACCTGTACAATGTTAGTGGAAACCCCAACAAGGGTTTCACTGTACATGCTGTAAGGTTTCAGTGCTGGCACAGTAGTTGCTGCCTGTGAGCTCACTGAGCAATGCAGTGATAGTTAACAAGCATAGGATTGCTTCTTAATATACACATGATATATGCCCTGCAACACCTTGTCCTCGACCGGTCATAACTGAAGCACCATCACTTCCAAGGACAATGCATTTAGATACAGGAATTCTTGTACTTGAAATTTCTTAATGTAATGCTTCAGAAATTGCTTTACCAGTAGCATTTTCAATCCTTCTATTTGTCAAAAAATGTTACTTGAAAGTTACTGGATCAATTACACTTACAAGCACTTACAGGCTTTTTGTGCACAGAAATGTCAGTACTTTCATCTGTAAGCATGGTAAGGAGGCCTACAAATGGTGATGACAACAATTTTTTCTAATCAGATGCCAAAGTTTGCATTATGTAATTAGCTGTGGTTTCACTTGTAAAGCTTGCAGTACCTTTCTGTAATTCATGGATTACAAATAAAGTTCATAAGACTGGTATATTTATGCATGGATAGATTTTCCTTGCCTAACCAGCATACAACCTTCATACCTACAATGACTGCTTCTTCTTTTTTCAGATATAACCTTGTTTACTGCTGATTCATAACAGTCTTTCAAAATTTCTGCTGTGATTGACAATTTGTGATCCATTGATATTGCATGTCTTTAGAGCGTACTGGTCGGATAATGCTCTGTGCCATTCCCTGTAAACACATTATTTCTGTGGTGGGTAGTGCACAATCTGTACATTGCATAGGATTTGCCAGTTGGTCCAATGATAACTATGGATAAAGTTGCAATTTTGAAAAACATGTGGACGTGATACATCGCCCTTGCATTTCCTCTCAGTTTTGTTACGTCATTATGGTTGACAGTCTTGTGTGGAACACAGTCCTGTGTATCTTCAACGTTTATATTATGAGAAGAAGTTGTTTGCTTCTTTGCAAAAAACAAAAAGATTCTGGACTGACATCAGCGTTTGACAGCCAGTGTGTCTGCCATAGCAACAAAAGTGTAAAACTGCAACATGCAACGTGATTGGTTTACTAAAAGAAATAGACCAATCGCAATCAGCTTTACAAAGCACTTCAGGTTTTTGTCATTACACCGATTTGTAGGCATCGCACTGTCATAAGTAAGATAGTTTGAAGTTATGTGCCTGAGTTCGGAGTACTCAAATCGATACCAGCCCCCAAGGTAGCGCTAATTTTCTTACAACGAAGGTTACCTAGTTTGGAGTTTTGAAACAGTAGGTAAATAAAAACAAATAGTGGGGTGCCCAGACACTGAGTCATTTCAAATTAATGCAAAAGTTTTGATTTCGGTAATGGTATGAAGGGTATGACCTCATAGAACAATTTTGTTCCGAGTGTCGAGCTCTCACATAAAAAATGACTCTACTGGCAGGCATTTTTAAAGATGTCTGCCAAAAGAATATTAAAAATCCATAACTTTGCTGATATCGCTAGTAGAAAGTCATATGATACATCAAAATAGGGGTTTTCAGGGACAAGGAATTCAATTATGACATTTCCAAATTCAAAATGGCCACCATTTTCATGATGGCGGCCATTGTAGTGAAAAAGGTAAATAATTGAGTAGACGAACGTCCTGTTCACAAATCAACCTATTGGAAATTGTCCAGCTACTTCTCGCATTTGCACTTGCACAAACATGTACACTTCAACTTTGATCTCATGCACTTGCACCGAGAACAGCTGCTTGTGCAATTACACTTTACAACCAGATGGAAAACATCCTTCGCGAGGGGCACTGTGGCCCTAATGGGAATCAGCTTGCTATCCTCTTCCTTCCACCCATCATCAGTGGGGTTCTTGAAAGGCATCATTAACATGTCAGCTGTCGTCCAGATGCTTACACTTCTCTTGAGATGTTGATCCAAAGCATCACTTGTTGGTGGGATTCTCTCCGCATCCCTAGTCTTCTGAGAGAACAGCCTCATCCAAACAAAATCAACATCTATGTCCTTGATTGACTCACTGGAGTTCAACTAAAAGATATAGTTCCTTGTCACTTCTCTAAGTCTTGGTGAAGTGTAGAATGGAGTGTCGACAATAGTTGCAAATTCCTCCATGAGAGATGGCACTTCATGCATCAGCTTGCAACAGTATCGCTTACCCTTGTACTTGAAGGATGATGTGCTGTCTGATCCAGTTAAATGCGTGGAAGAGGGCAATGGATTTGAACGTTGTCATGCCCAGATTCGTAGCAATAGTGTTCAGGGACATCATTCTGGTTGTCTTTCCAGCTTTGAAGGATATCAAGATTTCTGCAGCTGGATTCAGAGCTTTGATGTGATGGCAGTTACTTAGGAGTATTGTGACAAAATCTGTGTCTCCAGTGTGAACCATTCCAAGGGCAAGGAGGAGATGTATTAGGACACGTGTGTCTGCTTCCTCATGGTTGCATTTGCCCATTGGTGGACTGTTTCCAACATGGTGTATTTGATCACCTGTAGTTATATAAACATACTTCTCATCTGGGAAGTGCTCTTCTGTTATCTTTTTTGATAGGAATTTGAACAGCTCCTTCTTGTTGTCAACATTTGCCAGAAACATCTGCAAATTTCCTGGCATTTTGGCAGTGCCATTTACACGCCACGTACCTGTTCCTCTTTTTTCCCTTGTGCCTCCTTTGATTGTCAGTGTAAAATTCTCGTCCCAGACAATGTCTACTCTAGTTGATCTTTTCAAGTCATGGTGAACTCTTGGGCAGAACACCTTGTCGAAATATGAATCAAAGTTCTTGGCTTGGACACTTGTACCAGGAAGTGATTGTATGAGAACTCTATCATCAACAATGAAATCATACAAATCAGGTGCAGTTATGTCTTCATCAACTGAAATGGCACTAATCGTACTGGTTTCCAAGACAAATACTAATAAATTCGACTTGGTACAAGAGGTGAGTGATCCTTCAGATGACTGTCTAGCTTAAGAAATGTTTGACCATAAAGTTCAGCATGATGTTTGAAGTGGTGCATTTTCAGCTTAACTGCTGTCTTCTTCTGTCGTTTCTTCTCGTGGAACAACAGTAAGTTGTTTCACTTGATAGGCGCTGTCAGAAGTGTTCACTTGAGTCAAGCACGCTCTTCCTGAACTTGTTGTACTGCTCTTGTCCAACAGACTCAATTTTATAGACAGATTCGGCAGCCATAGACTCTCACACCTTGTTGCCTAATGTAACCAGGTCGTCACTGTCCTCCTCAAAAGGATTTCCTTTCCTCAGCAACACATCGGTCAGGTCTCTGATATCGGAGATGCATATCCTTCCACATGATGAGGGAGTTCTTCATCATCAGCATTGTCATATGCCCAGGTAAACTCCTCTACAACACGGTTTATTTCTCGGCCACTTATAATCCAGCGTTCCAGTATGGCAAAGTTTTCGGTCAGACCAATGATGCCACCTTCTCCTTTCACCCTTTTATTGGCTTGCTCATGAGCCTGATCAATTGGTAATGATGAGATACGCCGATTGCTTCGAGTTATCGTCCAGTGTCCCTTCTCAAACTCGACTTGGATGCTATCCGGGAGAGCTTCCAGGTCTCGGATAAAGATTGGAATCCACCTGGCATAATTCTGGTGATCCAGAGCAAAGATCAGAGGCACAAGCTTCTGCAGAGTAGTGACCACGAGTTTGAACTTCTGTTCCCGATGTGCCCGGATGAACATGAACATGATCTGTTGAGACTTGTGTATGAGTACCCAGAATTTAAATGTTGGGCTCTTTTGAGAAGCTGCCATGACCCAGTCCTCAAGGGTCATCTAGGCTCCACTGTTCTCATAAGCTAGCTTCAATAATGTGTCGAGTACCACAACAGTGACTTGATGTGCTTGCCTTGCTCTCATTACATTTGATGCTTTCAAGAAAGCTGTGGCTGTTGCTTCTGTCTTCACTAGTCCAGCATCTTTCAGGGCTTCAGGACATCCGGATCCTTTCATGTCTCCCATGGTGCTCCACAACCCCCTGGAGGTTGGTGACAATATTTCTTCCCACAGGTGGTATAAACGTATATAAATGAGGCAAGATGGGTCCACTGATTACTCTTCCTGTTTTCCGGGAACTGATTTGTAGACGTTCCTGGTCCAATCCAGGCTTTTGTGAGGAAGGAAACTGAAAAATTTATATCCCAGTTCCATGGAACTATGAGCTTGCAGTGCATGATGTTGGATTATGATTGGATTAACGATGCACTCAGCAATATTACAGCTATATGATGGCGGTCTGTAAATAATCGAGTCTGGACCAGACAATCCAGTGATTAATATTATGAACATCGATCCACGCAATTGGGATCGATGACATGCATCAACCAAGTAAGCGAGCCAGACCACCCGAACCATTAGTCGCCTTTTACGACAAGCATAGTCACCTTTTACAGCAAGCATGGGTTGCTGAAGACCTATTCTACCCCAGAATCTTCACGGGTCTAGAGCTGCAAATGTGAAAATATGTAAGCAGATTTGTAGGACAGACCATTTCAGCATTGTTCTTTGTTTGATCTGCAATAGCTTCAGCAAAGTTACGGTTGATGGTAAGGATTTTCGTATATATGACACACTCAGATCATATGTGTGTAGCAGTTCTGCCAACTTTGATACGCTGCCTAGAATGAACACTGTTGAAATATCATCACATCAAATCTAACAGGTAAAAACAACACATTACAAATGATTAATAATATAAATTGGCATGGGAACAACTTTGGTCCTCAAAGTCAAACACATGATTAACATGGACACTACTGAAAAGGAAAATAAACTTGATGACACCTCCACTGTTAGGGGCATGGTAAACTCTGCCCCGGGTGTTAGCTAAATTGCATAAGAGGGTGACTGAAAGTTGTTTTACATGAAGCCAGTACTATTCTAGCTATATCCATGAAATAGCTTGATATAATCAAGTCTGGGTCAAGCAAACAAGTGGTTGACAGTCCACACAAATGTTCCATCACACATCTGTTCGTCATATGGGATGTTGCGGGACTTTTCAGCCCTGGTAGACCCATGAGGTGAATGCTCAGCCCTAGGGAGCAAATTTATCTATTTTGTTCCATTTATTTTGAAGTGATGTGGCTGTAATGCAAATTTTATCCATTATGCAGCACTCCCGTCTGAATATTTTTGACTACCGCCATGCTTGATTTTGCCATTGAACATAAAACATATGTACAATGTACTCTAAAATAACGATACCAGTTTTATCAGCCGTTCCTGGTGAATACATAAGACAGTAACTACATGTCATTGCACAGGTTATCAAAATGCAAAATAATGCCGGTTTGAAATCGCATGGCTAATGTTTACAATTTCACAGACAAGCACAAACATGGTTTTTGACAGGTGCACGCTGTTGATGCTTGCTTACCTCTCTTCTTGGTTTGCTTGGAAGGTTTCCCCTTTTTCTTCACCATCCTTATTACATTTTCAGGGAGAAGCGGTATCCATTATTGATAAAACGGTTCAATGACTATTGAAACGATAAAATACGCTCTGTTACCATACAAACATTTCGTCCGAACTTGTCCGCCATTTCTAAACAACCCGTTAGTGCGAGATATTGCGAGAATTGATAACTGAACATAAAATCGGATTATTCCATTTCTGTCATATAGTTGTTGAATCTAAACCCCATTGTTTCTCAAAACAATAACAATAGATTCGTTTTTAAATAAACACATTTTCGGGGAAATTAGTGTGAACTATCTGTCTACAACTACTATCTGTAATATGTTATAACTAATTATATAATGTAATTGAACGAGAAATATTATTAAGCTTAATTAAAGAATACACCTTAGTATTCTTAATTTCGTGTATTATTAGTAATATTTATATTTTTCACCCAGAGAGACTGCTTCCGTAGCATGTGGAGGACATAAATGTTATTAGTTGTAACAGAAGTACTATGGTGTTGAAAAGATGTCTGCTCTAGGGAAAGAAGTCATGAAGAAACGAGTTGGACTACCCCCGATGCCTACAGCAGGACCAAGGTAATGATATCATGCTTCGTTCTATCCTTTCCCTGATTTTATCCATTTTAAGTGGGTAATGAAAAAATCAAATTAACTGATGCAGATGTATAGCGTTTATAGACACGACTTCATTGACATGAACTTCTGATAAAATCAACATCATACTAACACTGGACCTAGTAGCGGTTCGTAGAGTTAACCTTTTAAATGGTCTTAGGTTTAACGCGTTAAGTGTAATGTTTCAATATGTAATGCTGTATCAAACACGTTTGTGTTGTCGAGAAGTGAAGGGAAGAACGGTTGTCTTTGTACTTTACTGCAAGTGACAGTTCAAAACAAGATAATATAACGATGTCTAATACACAGAATCAGAACCTGAAATCATAGACGCACACTTCTCACTACTACTATGCTCTATGATGAACACGTGACCATACAGTTGTATCATTATCAATTGTTTTAATGAGGTTAGCGAGTTAATGAGGTGTTACTGTGTATGATTCCCATGACATGTCTCATGACGTGTATCATAGACGCGGTCTATCCTTGCAGCAGCAGCTCTGGGAGTAGTGGGAGACGTGCCCTGATGAGGAAGCGTGACTACACTCCTGTTTACTGGGACAAATACTTCGAGAAGATGCATGATGTGGAAACTGACATTGGAAATGTATCCTTTCTCTTTACATATTGTCACCAATTGTGGTAAAATCAGTTTTAGCTTGCAATTGGTAGATGTATATTATCAGGTACTGCTGAATGAAACATCAGCTGTCAAAGAGACCATTCCTTAAAGGGAAACATCATTCCAACTTTGAAATTATTGAAATATGGATACATTTTTGTTGCGGATTCAAACTTTGCTTATTATTGTAGCAGGTGTATATATTTGTATTTTAGTCTTTTTGTAAATAAATCTATTTCAAGTTTTGTTTCTGTGGAACTTTATTCAACAGAGGTGTGTGTTTGTTTTTATCCCATCATTCTAAGTCCAGGCCTCAGTGATCAATCACAACCCAAGCTCTACTACATTCTTTGTCCAGCCCTCTACTGTTCAATCACATCCCAAGCGATCCTGTGATTGACCAAATTCAAACTTTACCTTCTTTCTCTGACTAACTCCATATTGCCACCTACACTATGCACTGCACTGGGAGTATTCATAGATCACCACTAAAGCTTAGTTAATAATTAATCATTACTTCTAAATGGGATTAAATAGTAATCAAAGATTATGCATTATAAATAAGCATCTGAGAAGTAATTATATTTACATTGAATCATATATTTCTATTAATGTTGATGTTTTGAATGAATGTGGTTTAGAGGCTGAACTTTAACCTAAGCAATAGTGTATTTTAATATTATCTTGTATACATGCTAAGTTGTAGCTACATTAATGGAATTGCACAAACTATGCATTTTGTTATTCATTTCATTGTATTTAGTCACTCTAAGTATTTATTCCTGCTCTTTCTTCTGCAGGACATATCATGAATGGTGACATTTCAAGGGTTTTACACCCTTGTGCCACACATAGGGTATGTGTAACCATTTTACTTAATATGTACTGTAAGCCATTTCTATCATATCATCTAATAATACTTAGTTGTAAGTAATGTAACAGAAATGATTGTATTGCTTTGATGATGATATGATATATATTATGTTTTAACTCTTTCAACACCGTAGGCCGGTTATCCGGCAAAGAAGCATCGAGTCCCGACACCGTTGGCCGGTTAACCACCAAGCCGTAGTCACGTCAAAATAATACATATTTTTATGGACCTACCTGTGATATCATTCATTTATTAAATCTATCACATTTCACAATGTCTGAAATAAGTATTCCATTTCAATGTATCATTTTTTATCGTATTCTTTCATTCAACTATTTATACGCCTTAAATAACATTTTAAAGCATATGCGTTATGTTAATAATGCTGAACAGTATTAAACTTATGTATAAACGCCATTGCACAAAATATACACAACTACACGATTATACATTTTAGCAAACATTATGATGCACTAGAATAATCAATTTACACCAATACCATTACTACTCAGTACATAACTTATATACAATCCTTAAAACATTATACTCACCTTTATATTTGTTGTTTAGTCCTAAGTGCTCTGAGATGCGATCGTTGACGTGCTCTGATTGTTGTGAAGTGCAATGGTTGACGTGCAAGTAGCTTTTAGTATTTTAAAAACAAGCCAATCAACACAAGGGGCCACGCAAGACAAAGAACATAAGACAGGCAATGACACAACACAACCTGTCACCCCTTATACCCGTAATAGACGTGACAAGATCTAAAAATAACTATAGGCTAACGCTTAAAGATGATACTATTAGAGGTAAAACTATAAACAATCATAATTCTAACAACCTGAAATGACAACCTATACATGGAAATTCATATCTGCCACACATACAGCATATATACAGCAAATGGTCGGGACTAAAAAATAAGTTCGTTTTTTCGGTCAGTTTGTTATAAACATAGTTTACTGTATTTCAATATCAAGTTATTTTAATTGTAGTTTTACTGTATACATTTGAAATAATAATAACCATAAGCGTAGCACTATGGAACAACTGATTGCTGTAGACGGATATGTTTTACACATGGAACAATTTGATCAGTCACCGTTGAGGACTATCATGTTCTTGCTACAGCAAATGAATGAAAACATTATGCAAATGTCTTAATTACAACCGACAAATATATAGTGTATAATATCAGGCAGTTAACCTTGTTCGAGGAATGTATCTGTCAATATCCACTTAAACATGTTAAAGGAACAATATCCTATACATCTGAAGCTGTACAAAGAAACTTGTTCAATGACACATGTCTTTGTAACCATCTAATATTATCAAATATATATATCTTTTCCAGATATTATGACCCATGTTCATCTCTCAAATGATCACAGAAGTTTGTTTCGAGTGTTTCACATAGGTGTCATGTCTCATTGGTCAGCTGAAATAGCACACATAACAACTATATTCAGGATGTCTGTTGTGTATGAGAGTACTCCAATAAACCACAGAAGATAGGTTAGTTAATGATGATGTTTACTAGTTGAAAGGTAGAGCGCGAATCCCCAGGCCAAGGCAACAAGGTGATTGCCTGTCTCGTGCGCGATCGATCTGACGTCATACTAAACTTTGCCAGAAATGGCAGGAATTCTTAATACATTACAATGTCCATGGTTCTTGGATCCAAAGAGTTAGATAACAGTGAGCAATCAATCAACATATTATTAGCTATTCCTTTGAAAAAAGGATGTTGTTTCTACCGCCTGCTTTAGTAACCCTACATATATAAACACTTACATTTGACAAATCAGGGGCCTCACATTTTTCTGACATCCAGTTGTGGAATATTTTTAACTGCCACACACCCCTTTACTCATAATGATCTCTTTGAAGTTTTAAACGGTTTGGTTAAACTGTAATTTGTTTGTTTTCACTGAAGTTTGTGAGATGGTGCTTACTGCTTGTTTGGTTAAACTGTAAGTATGTTTGTTTTCACTGAAAGCTGAAGTTCAACAAAGACTACATCGACCCTTGACTCCTCAAAAGATCCAGAGAGACTTTGAACTTGCTGCCATTCGAGCAGAACTCCCTCAGGCTGAGGTAAACGGATGCTTCTTCCATTTCACACAAGCTATTGGGAGGAAGACCTAATATCTAGGATTGGCTGTTCTATACCGAGAAGACCCCCATGTGAAGAAGTGGTTTCAGAGAGCAGCTTGTTTGGCCCTTCTCTCCCACCAGGCGTGGTTCAAGACTTGTGGCTGGAAGCCATGAACTCCACCCCAGACATGTCTTGAGCTGTGCAGTTCAACGACTACATAGTAGTCAACTGGGTCAACGATGATGCCAGATTCCGGATACCAATGTGGAACCGTCATGATACTCAAGGCCTTGGAACACACACTCTGGACAAGAGAACCGGCATCGAAAGAAAGCGGCACCTCCTTCGCCTGAAGGAACAATTGCGTCAGTCAGGGAGTGAAGACCCCAATGCAATTCCTGGATGCAGCAGGTTACATGCTAACTCTGGCTTGAATGACTGACAGTACATTGACATTGATGTGAAGTATTATTACTTCATGTATATAATGTAAAACTCCTTTAACTGTGCACCACTCTCTTTCAGTGCTGGTTCTCTTGATTATTGGAGGCGCTGTATCAAAGTCAATCTGGATAAGTATGAAGCAATAATGAATCAAGAATAAACACTGATTTTTATAAATTTTGTTTTCTTTTGTACCAGTTGTCAGACGGTTGTTGACGACAGGACTAGTTTATTTGGATTTAAGGGAATATATCAAACACCTGATGTGCCCTCAACTATAAAAGTTGCTGTTTTAAGCTGTCTGATAAATGGTGTGTCTGACAAATGGGAGATGGCCGGGAGATGAAAGCACATGGTGGAGAATAGCAAACTGTGATGTTTCGATGTAAATGAAGAGGAACCATGGTGTTCACGGAGTCTACGATGTGTGTTTGAGTACCTATTTTTGTTGTGCGATGGCTCCTGTATTTGACATGCATCAGAATGAAACCTCAGACTTTAAATTTTGTGTTTATTGCGAGTTGCACTTTAGAATGCGACCCTAGTGGGGTACGGCTATATCTGGTGATAATGCAGTATTATTAATACGGCACCAGCTAGACAACTGAGAGTTGGAGTGTTGTTTCCCTTTAAATCAAAATATTTTCTTTGAATTGAGATATGCATGTTAATTATGCAAAGTATATTATACATATCAATGTTGGTATTGATTTAGGGGTCTCTGGATTCAAATACTACGATGACAAACCTTAGGGACCAAAGAACTGGTTAAGTTCTGACTCTATGTATCCAAGCATCTACATGATATGCTATCTTCCCTAAATCTGCATCAGAGTAGAGCTCTATGTACACACATGATGCATGTACTCGCATGATGCATGTACACACATGGTGGTTGTACTCACATAAAGTATTACTCACATAATGCATGTACTCACATGATGCATTTACACGCATGATGCATGTACTCACATGATGGTTGTACTCGCATAATGCATGTACTCACATGATGGTTGTACTCACATGATGGTTGTACTCGCATGATGCATGTACTCACATGATGCATGTACTCACATGATGGTTGTACTCGCATAATGCATGTACTCACATGATGCTTGTACTCACATGATGGTTGTACTCGCATGATGCATGTACTCACATGATGCTTGTACTCGCATGATGTATGTACTCACATGATGCATGTACTCACATGATGGTTGTACTCACATGATGGTTGTACTCGCATGATGCATGTACTCACATAATGCATGTACTCACATGATGGTTGTACTCACAAAATGCATGCACTCACATGATTGTTGTACTTACATGATGGTTGTACTCACATGATGCATGTACTCACATAATGCATGTACACACATGATGGTTGTACTTACATGATGGTTGTACTCACATGATGCATGTACTCACATAATGCATGTACTCACATGATGCATGTACTCACATGATGGTTGTTCTCACATGATGGTTGTACTCACATAATGCATGTACTCACATAATGCATGTACTCACATGATGGTTGTACTCACAAAATGCATGCACTCACATGATTGTTGTACTCACATGATGGTTGTACTCACATGATGCATGTACTCACATAATGCATGTACACACATGATGGTTGTACTCACATGATGGTTGTACTCACATGATGGTTGTTCTCACATGATGGTTGTACTCACAAAATGCATGCACTCACATGATTGTTGTACTTACATGATGGTTGTACTCACATGATGCATGTACTCACATAATGCATGTACACACATGATGGTTGTACTCACATGATGGTTGTACTCACATGATGGTTGTACTCACATGATGGTTGTACTCACAAAATGCATGCACTCACATGATTGTTGTACTTACATGATGGTTGTACTCACATGATGCATGTACTCACATAATGCATGTACACACATGATGGTTGTACTCACATGATGGTTGTACTCACATGATGGTTGTACTCACATGATGGTTGTACTCGCATAATGCATGTACTCACATGATGGTTGTACTCACATGATGGTTGTACTCGCATGATGCATGTACTCACATAATGCATGTACACACATGATGGTTGTACTCACATGATGGTTGTACTCACATGATGCATGTACTCACATAATGCATGTACACACATGATGGTTGTACTCACATGATGGTTGTACTCACATGATGGTTGTACTCACAAAATGCATGCACTCACATGATTGTTGTACTTACATGATGGTTGTACTCACATGATGCATGTACTCACATAATGCATGTACACACATGATGGTTGTACTCACATGATGGTTGTACTCACATGATGGTTGTACTCACATGATGGTTGTACTCGCATAATGCATGTACTCACATGATTGTTGTACTTACATGATGGTTGTACTCACATGATGCATGTACTCACATAGTGCATGTACACACATGATGGTTGTACTCACATGATGGTTGTACTCACATGATGGTTGTACTCACATGATGGTTGTACTCGCATAATGCATGTACTCACATGATGGTTGTACTCACATGATGGTTGTACTCACATGATGCATGTACTCACATAATGCATGTACACACATGATGGTTGTACTCACATGATGGTTGTACTCACATGATGGTTGTTCTCACATGATGGTTGTACTCACAAAATGCATGCACTCACATGATTGTTGTACTTACATGATGGTTGTACTCACATGATGCATGTACTCACATAATGCATGTACACACATGATGGTTGTACTCACATGATGGTTGTACTCACATGATGGTTGTACTCACATGATGGTTGTACTCGCATACTGCATGTACTCACATGATGGTTGTACTCACATGATGGTTGTACTCGCATGATGCATGTACTCACATGATGGTTGTACACACATGATGGTTGTACTTACATGATGGATGTACTCACATGATGTATGTACTTGCATGATGCATGTACTCACTTGATGGTTGTACTCACATGATGCATGTACTCACATAATGCATGTACTCACATGATGGTTGTACTCACATGATGGTTGTACTCACATGATGCATGTATTCACATAATGCATGTACTCATATGATGCATGTACTCACATAATGCATGTACACACATGATGGTTGTACTTACATGATGGTTGTACTCGCATGATGGTTGTACTCACATAATGCATGTACACACATGATGGTTGTACTTACATGATGCATGTACTCACATGATGCATGTACTCACATAATGTATGTACTCACATGATGCATGTACTCACATGATGCATGTACTCACATAATGCATGTACTCACATAATGTATGTACTCACATGATGCATGTACTCACATAATATATGTACACACATGATGGTTGTACTTACATGATGGTTGTACTCACATGATGCATGTACTCACATAATGCATGTACACACATGATGGTTGTACTTACATGATGCATGTACTCACATGATGGATGTACTCACATAATGTATGTACTCACATGATGCATGTACTCACATAATGCATGTACTCACATGATGGTTGTACTTACATGATGCATGTACTCACATGATGGATGTACTCACATGATGCATGTACTCACATAATATATGTACACACATGATGTATGTACTCATAATGCATGTACTCACATGATGGTTGTACTTACATGATGCATGTACTCACATGATGCATGTACTCACATGATGCATGTAGTCACATAATGTATGTACTCACATGATGCATGTACTCACATGATATATGTACACACATGATGTATGTACTCATAATGCATGTACTCACATGATTCATGTACTCACATAATGCATGTACTCACATATTCTATATTACAATTAGCTTAGTAAACATAGTAAACGTGGTTAATCCACTGTTAATACTTCTAATATGAATTAAAAGATTAAATTCATTGTATCCTGGCATGACTTTTACGTTTGAATCCCCCTTTGAACATCCAGCTTAGAACTGGTCTTCAGTGACCCATGCTTGTCGTAAGAGGCGACTAATGTGATCGGCTGGTCAGACTCACTGACTTGCTTGATGCATGTCATCATATCTCAATTGTGTAGATTCATGCTCATGATGTCAATCACTGGTTGGTTCAAACTCAATTATTTACAGACCGCCTTCATATAGCTGGAATGTTTGTGAGTGCGGCATTAAACGACAAATAAGCACAGAACTGCCTCCATTTTTCCTTAATGTTTGAAGAGTTTCCGGGTGTACGAGTGCGGGTCCGAGGGGCCAGTGCTGCTTCTCCTCCATGGAGGGGGCTTCTCTGCCTTGTCCTGGGCCGTGCTGTCTGTGAGTGACCTTCTATAAGCAGTGTCAGTATATTAGCAGTGTCATACCCCTCATGTTACAGGTTGCAGGGATCACATGGTTCCAATACTATAGCAGTAAACCCTGAAGATCCCACAGTGGTGAGGACTGTGTGTAGCAAGGACATAGTCTCATGTGTAGAGTACACATTGTTAAACCAAAAACTACAGCGGTGTAGACATGGTAGTGGTTATGAGATACCCATTATGAATGTTATACACACAGACAGTGAATTTTGTATATTGTCTCCCAAAAGCAAAATCATCATCTTCAGCAGTAGCATGTAACACAGAAGCCCCCAAATCGGCCCGCAGTATGCCAGGTCCTGGCCTGTGTATATGTTACTAGTCCTGTCTTTGCACAATCTGGTTAGAACTGATATATGAGGCGGCCATGAGATAGGGCTTCTCTACCCTCTGATGTGTGTTGTAGGTTAAGTAGGAAGAGAAGTGTTACAAATCACTGAAGCCATGCTTCATGTTCACATTCTTGGCATCAGAGGATCAGCAATGTGTGCCAATAACGTCAGTGTTAGCTTGTACACAGGAATATCCAGGGTAGAATTGGTCTTCAGCAACCAATGCATGTCATAAGAGGCGACTAACGGGATTGGGTGGTAAGCCTCGCTGACTTTGGTTGATGCATGTCATCGTATCCCAATTGCACATTTTGATGCTCATGTTGTCAATCACTGGGCTGTCTGGCCAGATTCAATTATTTACAGGCCGCTGTCATATAGCGGGAATATTGCTGAGTGGGCATTAGCCAACAAAAAAGCAAACAGCAGTTTCAACTAGATAATGTATATTTGAAATTTTGGTTACCATGAAGAACTGTTTGTAAATTATATCCACATAATAAAAATACAAAATAAAAATAAATATACATATTGTGCCTAATATTTGGCTACTTTTTTCCTGTGAACAGATAGTGAGTAGCATCACCGATATGGTGACCATTTTGGTGAACAGCCTGATCTATCTGATATATGTCTATTAACCTATATTGAGGATTTAATTCAATGTCATGAAGACGTGTTGACTTAGGTGCCACTGTTTAGGATCTTTAAATGCACAGCTTTGGTTATATCCTTACGATAACAAATATGGGGATAGAGTATGCATCATCTAGCATGTTTGGGTATTCTCGATCAAGGCAAAATATGTGTCAGAAGATTTCATAATCTTTAATTCATATCAAGATATATAGGGATGTGACGATACAGGTGTCACATGATACCATACATATCTCGATACAGAAGTCATGATATATAGAGAATCTCACCCGAGTGTCTTTTGATATCAAATATATCAATACGAGTTGATATGTTTGATATCAAAAGACACTCGGGTGAGATTCTCTATAGTAGTGTCTTAAAGGGGAAGTGTACACGCAAAAATTACTTTCTTTCTTTTTCTAAACAAAACGCAATTTTAGAATTAGTTAGTACATGTATCTGTGTTTGAAAATATACACTCATTTTTTTTCACAGTGAAAGTAGGAAGCTCACAATAGTGTGAAAATGATATGCCGTTATGAGGCCTTCGTTTTTCGAGCTAAACAGGCCTGAGTTATCTCCCTTAGATTATGACGTAATTGGTGCCAATTCAACTGGGTCCCTGTCTATTCTGAACGCAAAAGATATCAAGTACAAGTTTTCGGTAAAACAACATGGCCTACGACACACTCCGGCGCAGTGGTGACTCAGCATAACACTATGCTGGCTGGCATCTGAGACGCTAGAATCTCACACCTGTACCTACACCGCGTGAAGCGGCTCTAACAAAGCATGATGACGTCATAATGTTTATCAATTGGCACCAATGACATCATATTGCAAGGGGCATAAGCCATGGTGTTTTTGTTATGGAAATAGAACACTTGGTAAATGTGAAAAATATAAATCGTTTTAATGCAAAACATATGTTGATTAATTGTGATATTTTTATATTTTTGTCTATGACACTTCTAGGTTAACACTTTTATTGTGGAAAAAGTACAAGAAAATTAGGTTCATTTCCGTGTGAACTTGCCCTTTAAGTGTAAAAAGTATTGCTAACAGCTTCAGTAGCAGAGCCATTAGTGATGTCATTTGATTGTGACATCATGGTAACCAATGACGTCACAATGGTCTGCAAAGCATTGTGATGCAATTTCATTGCAGCGATATCTACACTGTAGATATCGCTCGATCTCACCCAAGGGATATCTCCTTGCTGTATCACATATATATATTACATCACGGCAATGGGCTGTGTATTTGTTTGTCTCTTGCAGTGGAAGGATTTTAGAACCAATATGTCCATTAATATTGTACTAAGAACATGAAGAAGTGCTGAATGAAAGTCTTCAAATAGTATTGTTCTGATTTTCAGTGTGATGTGTCTCGTCTTGTCAAGTGTAGATGTGCAGCCCTGGACCTCAGAGGTCACGGTATGTCTACACAAATAACAAACTGTTGATCTGTGATAGTGAGATTGATGATGTCCGAGGTCGCGGTATGTCTACACAAATAACACACTGTTGATCTGTGATAGTGAGATTGATGATGTCCGAGGTCGCGGTATGTCTACACAAATAACACACTGTTGATCGCGGTATGTCTACACAAATAACACACTGTTGATCTGTGATAGTGAGATTGATGATGTCCGAGGTCGCGGTATGTCTACACAAATAACACACTGTTGATCTGTGATAGTGAGATTGATCATGTCCTATGTCCATTGACAACATCATCTACAGAGATAAGTTTCACAAGACTACCATCATTAATTCAATATTTTGTGTTTTGTATTTATTTCTTCATAATATTTTGTCTTTTAGGTGATTCCATGACTTCAGATGACACCGATCTGTCTGCAGACACCATGGCAAAGTAAGTTTCAGAAAGCTCCAATGTCACATGTTCACCTCCATGGGGAGTTGGGCTTAGAATTGTCCTCAGCTGGTTGTAAAACATTGAGGGGTCAGGTTCTGTGACTTGGTTGATTCTGTGTTGCTCACAATATCAATCACTGGATTGTCTGGCCTAAAACAGAACCCTGTTATACATCACCCTCTACATTTGTGTATCTAAGAGACTTGGACGTTCTTTTACTATATGATTCCTTGACACACTGAAGGTAGGGTGTTTGTGTGTACAGGGTATACCATCATGGTGTTTGTGTGTACAGGGTATACGATCATGGTGTTTGTGTGTACAGAGTATACCATCATGGTGTTTGTGTGTACAGAGTATACCATCATGTTGTTTGTGTGTACAGAGTATACCATCATGTTGTTTGTGTGTACAGGGTATACCATCATGTTGTTTGTGTGTACAGAGTATACCATCATGGTGTTTGTGTGTACAGGGTATACCATCATGTTGTTTGTGTGTACAGGGTATATTATTTGGTACTTTGATATTTTAGTATAGTTTATGGCATCCTCTGGTCGGACAAGGTCTCTTCATGTACATAGCACACTATGCTTATGTCTCCTACTTGTATTTCTAACCTGGGTTTAATAGCCTTACATCGCATCACAACGGTATTATCACTTTCCGTTTCATATATTCCTACTTTTGTTAAAACTATTGGAATGCACAGCGGCCTTGCAAATCACTGTTTATTAATTTGTCCTTTATGATATTACAGAACGTAATTACCTTAATGTCCCATTATAATCATCTTCCGTTTGTCAGTCCGTATTTGGAAATTTTTAACTATGTAAATATGTGTATGCGTTTGTGTGAGTGCGACATACAGTTAGTCGTGCATTCAGGAGCAAACTCGCATTTTTTAACAGTTACGTGGCTCAGTATGGCGAGCCAAGTCAGTCGACAGTGATCCACCAGATCAAGATCGCAGACTATCGGTCCAGATCCAAATAGTTGCAAAGACGATGGTGACTTTCCCAATAGAAATTGGACTGCAAGGCATAGATATGCGGGAGTCATCTCGACAAGTGCGGCAGATGCAAATCCTCTCAATTGGATGATAGCGACACTGCGAAAGCTAATAAAACAGGATCTTGGCATTTCAAAAATGCCAGGGAATTTCAGACTACAGCAACTAATTTGATTCTATATGGAGAACATGGAGGCCAAGCAGGCGACCTCCCCAGTGACAAGGGACGTAGACAATTCCGTTGTCGATTACCAAAGTGACAACAGTTGACCCACTTTAGAAGCCAACTCCCTTATCAACACAGGGGGACAGTCATCCGTCTCAAATATAGCTGCCGCTATGCCAGAATCTGAACCTGACAGGGACCACAATTCACTGGTACAGACTGTCCAGAAACTGCAGGATTCCGTGAACCTCATCACAAACTCTGGCCTACCCGTGCTTAATCAGCCCAGTTCATGTACTAGCATACCACTTGGGCCATCTGCTACATCCCTCAGTACACTCCAACAGTTACAGGCCACTGTACCACAACCATTTACAAAGGGATGAGGAAGTCGACCAGCCGCTGGCAATTTCACATTGTATACAGCCATGCCAGCATGGGAACACGTTTCCCAATACAAAGGTAACTCAGCTAATACCAGTTTGTATTGGTCTTGGATGGACATCAAGGTTGTGTCAGCTTCCCTTTGGAAGCAAATAACTTCGCTGTATCTAATCGCTTTGTCACCCACACGCCCAGCTTGCCACTCCTTTTCTTTCCTTTTCAGCCGGTATGTGTCCTCTTCACCTGGAATTCTAATCACTTTAGCATCTATAGCATCTATTACAGGTACCAGCAGAGCAGATTGTATACATGTATATGTAAATAAACCTGTACATATGTAAAATAGATTTTCAGGGCGCTTGTATATATGTAAATGACTACCTTTTAAACGATTCTGATATATTTAAAGAAACATGCCTTCTAAATAGCTGTTTGATATGTGTGATTATGTTAATAAACATGCCTTCTAAAAAGCTGTATATATGTATATGTGTGAATACCTGTCTCAACAATAAACTAGGTCAAGGTGTGCGGGGCTCTTGTGGGCTACACTGCTAGTAACAAATTAACTTGCTTCCAAATTAATACTTGTGCTTAAGGCTACCTGCTTCTCAGCAGTAACCTTTCTGGGGTTACCTGCTTCTCAGTGGGAACCTTGTCTTTCCCGACTTTTCAGCCGCGGAATCTCAAAAATAACTTACGTTGGGGCAAACAATTGCCACGTATATGGGCCCAGCGGCGGAAGTCGTCTTGTCAAGCGGTAGCTGACAGTTGACAGTAGTCACGACAATGGTTTTACTAATTGGGCCAGGCAGTGGTATCTGCTTTGGCCGGCTACCTTGGGCCGGGCAGCGGTAGTCTGACCTAGGCCAGCAGTGGTAGCTGCTTTTGGCAGCGTGGTAGTTGCCAAGCAGCGGTAGCGTTTAAATATGCTACCGTGGGGGCCGGACAGCAGTAGCGGTCTCAGGCCAGCAGTGCTACCTGCGAATCGCCGTTGGCCACGGTAGCATTTTGGTATACCCAACTAGCAGTTTTATAGCCCTCTAGTACCTGCACACCCTCAGCCATTTAATCCAATCTCATCTTGTGTTTATATTATAGGCACAGGCATCCACAGCTTGGTGGCCTGTGCCTCACCTTGGCATATCGCGGGATAATTTGTTAATCAACTGATATCAGGCCTTGAATCAGGTTTCCACACAGGTATTCAGTATTGCCCTTCAAATTCTATAAAATGCAAGAATCTGCGCGCAGCTTTACAGGACACTGAAACAACGACTAATCTCATTCTCAGTGAAGTACAGAAAAGCTACGTCATAGGACCCTTCGACTTCCCCCGCCTTTCCAAGCTACAGAATGAACCCAATTGGTGTGCAACATCCTCAAAGTCCTTGGCAAGGGCACTTACATGTGTAAAACTGATATTACGGATGCATTCAAGTTAATCCCTATACATCCAAATCTATGGCATCTCCATGGCATTCACTTTCAGGACAAGTACTACTTTCACACCAGGTTAGTTTTTGGCTCTCGATCTAGCCCCAAGATATTCGACCTCCTATCACAGGCTATTTGCTGGTTAGCAACCCATCACAATGGCATTCAAAACATTCTACGTCCCCTGGATGATTTTATATGCTTCGAGAACTGCCTACACAAAGGTGTAAAGACTGTGGCAGCTTTGATGCAACTCTTCAAAGACCTAAACATTCCACTGTTGGCAAAGAAAACTGTAGGCCCTTCTCAGTGTGTGGATTATCTAGGCATTACTCAGGACACAATCAGAATGGAATCATGTCTTCCCTGCAAAAAAGTTGATAGACTGATACAAGTGATGGATTCCATTGAAGGGAAGCGAAAGTGTGCAAGAGACAACTCCTGGTACTCATTAGACACATGAACTATGCTATGCAGGGTATTCGCCTGGGCATGAGTTACCTGTTGCGAAAAGCGCATTCAGTCAAAGAACTGCATCATCTGGTCTCTCTTAACAAGCAGTGTTCACAGGATTTTAACATGTGGAGGCTCTTTCTACAAAATTGGAATGGACCATCTTATCAGTGCCCCAGACTTTAGCCTATTCACGGCTGCCTCCAGCACTGTAGGCTATGGAGGTTATTTTCAAGGCTGGTGGTTTGCTGCAGCTTGGTCAGCGGAATTATCTACATTGTTACAGAAGGACAAATCTATGGCCTTGCTTGAACTATTTCCTATCATCAATGCAGCAGTGCTCTGGGGTCACCTGGAGGGAAAGAAATCTAGCAGATTTTGTTGTGACAATACAGCAACTGTTGAAATCATTAATAGGGGAAGATCCAAATATGCCACCATTATGCAATTTATGCGTAGACTCACCTTCAGAGCCATCAATTGTAACTTTGTGTTCTCTGCCCTTCATGTACCTGGTGCAGATAACACAATAGCTGATGCCTTGTCTTGGTTGCAGATGGAGAGATTCAGGGATCTAGTCCCTTTCGCCGAGAAGACCCTTACGCAGTTCCCTTCTTTGTCACAGCTACCCCTAAAAAGGAATCTGGAGGAACTCTGGAACAGTGCCTTAGCTTCATTGACCCACACTGTCAACCGGGCTGGATGCAACGCATTCCTTTCCTAGTGTTCTTGATGACCTGTGGTATAGTGTGTTCGTTGACTAATCTACCCTATCTAACAGAAGATGTCTTACTGCATCTTGATGACCTGTGGTATAGTGTGTTCGTTGACTAATCTACCCTATCTAACAGAAGATGTCTTACTGCATAACACAGCCACCATCAAGACGTATTTGTGTGGGATTAGGTTCATGTACCTCAAGTACGACATGACCAACCCCTGTATCAATGGCTCAAGAACTCACCTCGACACAATTATCAAGGCTATCAAAAAGCTGCAGGGCAGTTCCTCAAGTACCAGACTGCCAATCTCAATTACTGTACTCACAGACATGTGCATCAAGCTATACCAAGGTGTGTTTAACCCCTATATTGATCTACTTATGAGGACGGCCTGTTGTATGGCTTTCTTCGCCTGCTTGAGATGTGGCAAATTTACCTGCAATGCTTATAACCCAACAATACACTTGTCAATCAATTCCGTTTCATTTAACAACGAGCTTTCTACAGCGTTTGTGCGTCTTAAGGCTTCGAAGACAGATCCATTCCGGAAAGGTGTCGTCATCACGTTACACAGGCTGTACGAGACCCTGATGTGCTGCCCAGTTAGGACACTTCTGCAATACCTTGTTCTTCGCAATCAGAGGCCGTCAAATCCTTTAGATTCTCTGTTCCTCATGCCTAATACTGCAGCATGGACAGAAAAAATTTCATTGACCATTTAAAACTTGTGTTGCAAGTGACCGGGTATGACTGCACAAATTATAATGGACATTCATTTAGAATTGGTGCGGCCACCACTGCAGCAACAGCATGCATCCCAGATCATATCATCAAAACCTTAGGACGTTGGTCATCGGACTGCTACAACTGCCACATATGCACAGAACAACGGAGCATCCATCAAGCCCAAGTGGCCATGGCACGGTTGTAACCTGGCACAGAGTAATGGTGATTAGACCCCTGAGGCACAGTGTGCCAGAGACAGGTTTTATGTTAATTGAACAGTGACTGCAGAGACTTTCACGGATATACTCACACATCATCCCCCATTTGGGCAAGTCCATTATTCGTCAGGTATGACGTGCAGGCCATACACCCCCCATGTGTCATAATTCTCTTTCAGTCAACCATGTTAATATGTTATGACCCCCTTTTTTGCTATATATATATGTCTCATCATTTTGGGGACTTCGTTTTGGGCATGTATTACCCCAAAATAATCTGTCAATAATTCATAGTTGCTTTCTTTTGTAGCTAGTTTATACCCATCGTGGTATCATTTGTCAGCTACACTGTTATCTTTAGCTAGTTTATACCCATCGGGGTATCGTTTGTAAGCGAATGTTCTGGTGAACTTTGGCCAGGAACTTGAAATGTTCGCACTTGATTGGAGTTTGTGAAAACTGGGAGCATTCGTACAAACGCTGAGTGCTTTGCGGATTTTGTAGCTTGTGGGAATCGTGGGGCACGTGAAAATGACTATGTATACCGAAAGCTTTGTGAAAATAAAGTCAGTTTGAACAAAACTGCGTAACAACACTGTTATCTGTAGCTTGTCTGGCGTCAGACTAATGCCGACTAAAGGCGTAACTCAAATGTCATCACGTAGCTTGTCTGGCGCCAGACTAATGCCGACTGAAGGCGTAACTCAAATGTCATCAAGTAGCTTGTCTGGCGTCACACTAATGCCGACTGAAGGCGTAACTCAAATGTCATCACGTAGCTTGTCTGGCGTCAGACTAATGCCGACTGAAGGCGTAACTCAAATGTCATCACGTAGCTTGTCTGGCGTCAGACTAATGCCGACTGAAGGCGTAACTCAAATGTCATCACGTAGCTTGTCTGGCGTCACACTAATGCCGACTGAAGGCGTAACTCAAATGTCATCACGTAGCTTGTCTGGCGTCAGACTAATGCCGACTGAAGGCGTAACTCAAATGTCATCACGTAGCTTGTCTGGCGTCAGACTAATGCCGACTGAAGGCGTAACTCAAATGTCATCACGTAGCTTGTCTGGCGTCAGACTAATGCCGACTGAAGGCGTAACTCAAATGTCATCACTTAGCTTGTCTGGCGTCAGACTAATGCCGACTGAAGGCGTAACTCAAATGTCATCACGTAGCAGACCCATAGTTAGCTTACCCATTGGGGTAAATTAGTTGTGTTTTATTTCATCAATAAACAGTGTGCTACAGGCTGAACATTTGCCTTTAATAACCCTAACCCTGTCCGAATCCTAAGAAATAAACTTGTTGTTTGTGTGTACAGGGTATACAATCATGTTGTTTGTTGGACAGAGATGTTGGTGATGTGGTGACCTCGCTGTATGGAGAAGATCCCCCTCCCATCATCCTTGTTGGCCACAGGTAAGGACGCTCATAGTAGAGACACTAGAGGACATACTGCACTCCATGTGTTACTGTGAGACACTAGAGGACATACTGCACTCCATGTGTCACTGGGGGACACTAGTGGACATACTGCACTCCATGTGTTACTGGGGGACACCAGTGGACATACTGCACTCCATGTGTTACTGGGAGACACTAGAGGACATACTGCACTCCATGTGTTACTCGGGGACACTAGTGGACATACTGCACTCCATGTGTGACTGGGGGACACTAGTGGACATACTGCACTCCATGTGTGACTGGGGGACACTAGAGGACATACTGCACTCCATGTGTTACTGCGGGACACTAGTGGACATACTGCACTCCATGTGTTACTGGGAGACACCAGTGGACATACTGCACACCACGTGTTACTATGGGACACTAGTGGACATACTGCACTCCATGTGTTACTGGGGGACACTAGTAGACATACTGCACTCCATGTGTTACTGGGGGACACTAGTGGACATACTGCACTCCACATGTTTAACCATGGGCTCTGTTGATACACTGTGTTTAACCATGGGCTCTGTTGATGCACTGTGTTTACCCATGGGCTCTGTTGGTGCACTGTGTTTAACCATGGGCTCTGTTGATACACTGTGTTTAACCATGGGCTCTGTTGATACACTGTGTTTAACCATGGGCTCTGTTGATGCACTGTGTTTAACCATGGGCTCTGTTGATGCACTGTGTTTAACCTAGGGCTCTGTTGATACACGGTGTTTAACCATGGGCTCTGTTGGTGCACTTTGTTTAACCATGGGCTCTGTTGGTGCACTGTGTTTAACCATGGGCTCTGTTGATGCACTGTGTTTAACCATGGGCTCTGTTGATACACTGTGTTTAACCATGGGCTCTGTTGATGCACTGTGTTTACCCATGGGCTCTGTTGATGCACTGTGTTTAACCATGGGCTCTGTTGATGCACTGTGTTTACCCATGGGCTCTGTTGGTGCACTGTGTTTACCCATGGGCTCTGTTGTTACAGTGTGTTTAACCATGGGCTCTGTTGATGCACTGTGTTTAACCGTGGGCTCTGTTGGTGCACTGTGTTTAACCATGGGCTCTGTTGATACACTGTGTTTTACCATGGGCTCTGTTGATACACTGTGTTTTACCATGGGCTCTGTTGATGCACTGTGTTTAACCATGGGCTCTGTTGATACACTGTGTTTACCCATGGGCTCTGTTGGTGCACTGTGTTTAACCATGGGCTCTGTTGATACACTGTGTTTAACCATGGGCTCTGTTGATACACTGTGTTTAACCATGCGCTCTGTTGATTCACTGTGTTTAACCATGGGCTCTGTTGATGCACTGTGTTTAACCATGGGCTCTGTTGATACACTGTGTTTAACCATGGGCTCTGTTGATGCACTGTGTTTACCCATGGGCTCTGTTGATGCACTGTGTTTAACCATGGGCTCTGTTGATGCACTGTGTTTAACCATGGGCTCTGTTGATGCACTGTGTTTAACCATGGGCTCTGTTGATACACTGTGTTTAACCATGCGCTCTGTTGATACACTGTGTTTAACCATGGGCTCTGTTGATGCACTGTGTTTAACCATGGGCTCTGTTGATACACTGTGTTTAACCATGGGCTCTGTTGATGCACTGTGTTTACCCATGGGCTCTGTTGATGCACTGTGTTTAACCATGGGCTCTGTTGATGCACTGTGTTTAACCATGGGCTCTGTTGATGCACTGTGTTTAACCGTGGGCTCTGTTGATACACTGTGTTTAACCATGGGCTCTGTTGATACACTGTGTTTAACCATGGGCTCTGTTGGTGCACTGTGTTTAACCATGGGCTCTGTTGATACACTGTGTTTAACCATGAGCTCTGTTGGTGCACTGTGTTTAACCATGGGCTCTGTTGATGCACTGTGTTTAACCATGGGCTCTGTTGATGCACTGTGTTTAACCATGGGCTCTGTTGATACACTGTGTTTAACCATGGGCTCTGTTGATACACTGTGTTTAACCATGGGCTCTGTTGGTGCACTGTGTTTAACCATGGGCTCTGTTGATACACTGTGTTTAACCATGGGCTCTGTTGATACACTGTGTTTAACCATGGGCTCTGTTGATGCACTGTGTTTACCCATGGGCTCTGTTGATGCACTGTGTTTAACCATGGGCTCTGTTGACACACTGTGTTTAACCATGAGCTCTGTTGGTGCACTGTGTTTACCCATGGGCTCTGTTGGTGCACTGTGTTTAACCTTGGGCTCTGTTGATACACTGTGTTTAACCATGGGCTCTGTTGATGCACTGTTTTTAACCATGGGCTCTGTTGATGCACTGTGTTTAACCTAGGGCTCTGTTGATACACTGTGTTTAACCATGGGCTCTGTTGATGCACTGTGTTTAACCATGGGCTCTGTTGATGCACTGTGTTTACCCATGGGCTCTGTTGATGCACTGTGTTTAACCTAGGGCTCTGTTGATACACTGTGTTTAACCATGGGCTCTGTTGATGCACTGTGTTTAACCATGGGCTCTGTTGGTGCACTGTGTTTACCCATGGGCTCTGTTGATGCACTGTGTTTAACCATGGGCTCTGTTGATGCACTGTGTTTACCCATGGGCTCTGTTGGTACACTGTGTTTAACCATGGGCTCTGTTGGTGCACTGTGTTTAACCATCGCTTCTTCTATATTCCAGCATGGGAGGAGCTATAGCTGTGCACTCTGCAGTGAGGGATTTGATACCATCACTCATTGGACTGTGTGTCATTGATGTTGTCGAGGGTAAGCAAAACTCCACATCGGTCCTACCTTGGGACCAACGACTTGATAATTGTTTGGGATGTACTGGGAACACAATAACTTGGTCAAAGGTTGTACATGATATATTTCCTGAAATGGTCCTATGTTAAACAGGTACACTTCTAGGTGTGTCATGGTCCTATGTTGAACAGGTACACTTCTAGATGTGTCATGGTCCTATGTTAAACAGGTACAGCTCTAGATGTGTCATGGTCCTATGTTAAACAGGTACAGCTCTAGATGTGTCATGGTCCTATGTTAAACAGGTACAGCTCTAGATGTGTCATGGTCCTATGTTAAACAGGTACACTTCTAAATGTGTCATGGTCCTATGTTAAACAGGTACAGCTGTAGATGTGTCATGGTCCTATGTTAAACAGGTACACTTCTAAATGTGTCATGGTCCTATGTTACACAGGTACAGCTGTAGATGTGTCATGGTCCTATGTTAAACAGGTACACTTCTAAATGTGTCATGGTCCTATGTTAAACAGGTACAGCTCTAGATGTGTCATGGTCCTATGTTAAACAGGTACACTTCTAAATGTGTCATGGTCCTATGTTACACAGGTACAGCTCTAGATGTGTCATGGTCCTATGTTAAACAGGTACAGCTCTAGATGTGTCATGGTCCTATGTTAAACAGGTACACTTCTAGATGTGTCATGGTCCTATGTTACACAGGTACAGCTCTAGATGTGTCATGGTCCTATGTTAAACAGGTACAGCTGTAGATGTGTCATGGTCCTATGTTAAACAGGTACACTTCTAAATGTGTCATGGTCCTATGTTAAACAGGTACAGCTCTAGATGTGTCATGGTCCTATGTTGAACAGGTACACCTCTAGATGTGTCATGGTCCTATGTTAAACAGGTACAGCTCTAGATGTGTCATGGTCCTATGTTGAACAGGTACAGCTCTAGATGTTTCATAGTTCTATGTTGAACAGGTACACTTCTAGATGTCTCATAGTTCTATGTTGAACAGGTACAGCTCTAGATGTGTCATGGTCCTATGTTGAACAGGTACAGCTCTAGATGTTTCATAGTTCTATGTTGAACAGGTACAGCTCTAGATGGTTCATAGTTCTATGTTAAACAGGTACACTTCTAGATGTCTCATAGTTCTATGTTGAACAGGTACACTTCTAGATGTGTCATGGTCCTATGTTGAACAGGTACACCTCTAGATGTGTCGTGGTCCTATGTTAAACAGGTACACTTCTAGATGTGTCATGGTCCTATGTTAAACAGGTACACTTCTAGATGTGTCATGGTCCTATGTTGAACAGGTACAGCTCTAGATGTTTCATAGTTCTATGTTAAACAAGTACACTTCTAGATGTCTCATAGTTCTATGTTGAACAGGTACAGCTCTAGATGCCCTCAACAGCATGCAGAGTTTCCTCCGAGGTCGGCCCAAGTCCTTCAGGTCTCTGGAACAGGCCATTGAGTGGGTGTAAGTGGAATACACTCAACAACATTATGATATTGCACTGTCAATACATCACAGGTTGTATGCCCGACATTCCTTCATCACACGCGGGGACATGTAGCTGCTGTGGGGTGGAGACTCGCCATCAAGGCAGGCAAAGATTTGGTTCCAGTGAGAGGGAGACCAGCAAGTGCTCAGACCAGGGATCACTCAGCTTATAGCACAATGGACCAATGTTTCTCCCTTAACAATGTGTACAACATGTGTCAATTGCTTATGGCTTCCTGATCTATAAATTGCTTTAACATCAGGCAATGGTAACGTTTGCACAAAGGTCATGCACAGAGTAGGTTTCAGTTGACATCCATGAGATCTCCCCGGCCTCAATTCATGAGCTTGCTGAAAATGACACACATTGCTCCTACACCCTTCTGTGTACATGGGTGATAGAAGAACATAGTGCATACCAATCAGGACATTGATGTTTTCTCCTACTGTAAGCTGACACAGCATGATAAAAATAATGAAAAAAAATTGATTCAAATAAGACATAAGATCATTAAACTGGACATAATTTATGTGTTTTCGGCTTGTCAAGGGATCAAGTGTATAATATTTGTTTCTGAAAGTGTTGAAGAACTACGATGTGCTTGTGTTGTAACCCCTGAAGATGTGTGTTGTTTCAGTGTGAGGACAGGTCAGATCAGGAACGTGGACTCTGCGAGAGTGTCGATGGTCGGGCAGGTGAAGAGGTAACAAGCAGGATTAGTGTCGCCCCTGGGATGTCACATCTAGTGTTGCACTGGGACATCATGTCTAGCGTTGCACTGGGACGTCATGCCTAGTGTCACACTGGGATGTAATGTCTTGTGTTACACTTGGACATCATGTCTAGTGTCGCTCAGGATGTTATATCTAGTGTCGCACTGGGACATCATGTTTCGTGACACACTGGGACATCACGTCTTGTGTCCTACTAGGATGTCATCTCTAGTGTCATGTCAAGTGTCACACTGGGACATCATATCTAGTGTCGCACTGGAACTTCATGTCTAGTGTTGCACTGGAACTTCATGCCTTGTGTCACTGGGACATAATGTCTAGTGTCATACTAGGACATCATATCTAGTGTCGCACTGGAATTTCATGTCTAGTGTCGCACTGGAACTTCATGTCTTGTGTCACTGGGACATCATGTCTAGTGTCACACTGGGACATCATATCTAGTGTCGCACTGGAACTTCATGCCTTATGTCAATGGGACATAATGTCTAGTGTCATACTAGGACATCATATCTAGTGTCGCACTGGGACGTCACGTCTATTGTCACACTGGGACATCATGTCTAGTGTTGCACTGGAACTTCATGCCTTGTGTCACTGGGACATAATGTCTAGTGTCATACTAGGACATCATATCTAGTGTCGCACTGGAATTTCATGTCTAGTGTCGCACTGGAACTTCATGTCTTGTGTCACTGGGACATCATGTCTAGTGTCACACTGGGACATCATATCTAGTGTCGCACTGGAACTTCATGCCTTATGTCAATGGGACATAATGTCTAGTGTAATACTAGGACATCATGTCTAGTGTCACACTGGGACGTCACGTCTATTGTCACACTGAGACATCATGTCTAGTGTCACACTGGGACATCATATCTAGTGTCGCACTGGAACTTCATGCCTTATGTCAATGGGACATAATGTCTAGTGTAATACTAGGACATCATGTCTAGTGTCACACTGGGACGTCACGTCTATTGTCACACTGGGACATCATGTCTAGTGTCGCACTGGGACATCATGTCTAGTGTCGCACTGGGACATCATGCCTAGTGTCGCACTTGAACTTCATGTCTTGTGTCACTAGAACATCATGTCTAGTGTCACACTGGGACGTCACGTCTATTGTCACACTGGGACGTCACGTCTATTGTCACACTGAGACATCATGCCTAGTGTCACACTGAGGCATCATGCCTAGTGTCACACTGGGACTCCATGTCTAGTGTCACACTGAGACATCATGCCTAGTGTCACACTGAGACATCATGCCTAGTGTCACACTGAGACATCAAGCCTAGTGTCACACTGGGACCCCATGTCTAGTGTCACACTGAGACATCATGCCTAGTGTCACACTGAGACATCATGCCTAGTGTCACACTGGGACTCAATGTCTAGTGTCACACTGGGACATCATGTTTAGTTTCACACTGGGACGTCACGTCTAGTGGTGCACTGGGACGCCACATTCAGTTTCGCACTGGGATGTCACTTCTGGTTTCGCACTGGGACATCATGTGTAGTGTCGCATTGGGACATCATGTCTAGTGTCACACTCAGATGTCATGTTTAGTGTCACACTGGAATGTTATGTCTAGTGGCATGTCTAGTGTTGCACTGGGGTATCATGTCTAGTGTCACACTGGGATGTCACCTCAAGTGTCACACTGGGATGTTATGTCTAGTGTCATGTCTAGTGTCGCACTAGGATGTCACCTCAAGTGTCACACTGGGATGTTATGTCTAGTGTCATGTCTAGTGTCACACTGGGATGTCACCTCAAGTGTCACACTGGGATGTTATGTCTAGTGTCATGTCTAGTGTTGCACTGGGGCATCATGTCTAGTGTCATGTCTAGTGTCACACTGGGATGTTATGTCTAGTGTCATGTCTAGTATTGCACTGGGGCATCATGTCTAGTGTCCCACATGGATGTCAAGTCTTGTGTCACACTGGAATGTAATCTCTCGTGTCCCACTTGGACATCATGTCTAGTGTCACACTGGGATGTCATGTCTTGTGTCACACTGGGACATCTAGCTAGTTTCATACTGGGACATCACATATAGCGTCACACTGGGATGTTATGTCTAGTGTCGCACGGTGACATCATGTCTTGTGTCACACCGGGATGTCATCTCTAATGTCATGTCTAGTGTCACACGTGGACATCATGTCTAGTGTCACACTGGAACTTCATGTCTAGTGTCACTGGGATATAATGTATAGTGTAGCACTGTAAGTCATGTCTGGTGTTTCATTGGGACATCATGTCTAGTGTCACTGGGATATAATGTTTTGTGAAGCACTGAAAGTCATGTCTAGTGTTGCACTGGGACATCATGTGTAGTGTCGCAATGGGACATCATGTCTTGTGTCTCACTGGAACATCATGACTAGTGTCACACTCAGATGTCATGTTTAGTGTCACACTGGAATGTTATCTCTCGTGTCCCACTTGGACGTCATGTCTAGTGTCACACATGGATGTAAAGTCTTGTGTCACACTGGGACGTCTAGCTAGTGTCACACTGGGATGTCACGTCTAGTGTCACACTGGGATGTCATGTCTTGTGTCACACTGGGATGTCAAGTCTTGTGTCACACTGGGACATCTAGCTAGTTTCACACTGGGATGTCATGTCTAGTGTCACACTGGGATGTCACGTCTAGTGTCACACTGGGACGTCATGTCTAGTGTCACACTGAGATGTCAAGTCTTGTGTCACACTGGGACATCTAGCTAGTTTCACACTGGGATGTCATGTCTAGTGTCACACTGGAATGTAATCTCTCGTGTCCCACTTGGACATCATGTCTTGTGTCACACTGGGATGTCATGTCTAGTGTCACACTGGGACATCTAGCTAGTGTCACACTGGGATGTCATGTCTAGTGTCACACTGGGATGTCATGTCTAGTGTCACTGGGACATCTAGCTAGTGTCACACTGGGACACCACCTCTAGTGTCACACTGGGATGTCATGTCTAGTGTCACACTGGAATGTAATCTCTTGTGTCCCACTTGAATGTCATGTCTTGTGTCACACTGGGACATCTAGCTAGTTTCATACTGGGACATAACATATAGCGTCACACTGGGATGTTATGTCTAGTGTCGCACGGGGACATCATGTCTTGTGTCACACCGGGATGTCATCTCTAATGTCATGTCTAGTGTCACACGTGGACATCATGTCTAGTGTCGCACTGGAACTTCATGTCTAGTGTCACACTCAGATGTCATGTTTAGTATAGCACTGTAAGTCATGTCTGGTGTTGCATTTGGACATCATGTCTAGTGTCACTGGGATATAATGTTTTGTGACGCACTGAAAGTCATGTCTAGTGTTGCACTGGGACATCATATCTAGTGTCACACTCAGATGTCATGTTTAGTGTAGCACTGAAAGTCATGTCTGGTGTTGCATTGGGACATCATGTCTAGTGTCACTGGGATATAATGTTTTGTGAAGCACTGTAAGTCATGTCTGGTGTGCATTGGGACATCATGTCTAGTGTCACTGGGATATAATGTTTTGTGACGCACTGAAAGTCATGTCTAGAGTTGCACTGGGACATTATGTCTAGTGTCATTCCTAGTGTCACACTGGGATGTAACCTCAAGTGTCACACTGTGATGTTATGTCTAGTGTCATGTCTAGTGTCGCACTGGGTCATCATGTCTAGTGTCATGTCTAGTGTCACACTGGGATGTCACCTCTAGTGTCACACTGGGATATTATGTCTAGTGTCATGTCTAGTGTTGCACTGGGGCATCATGTCTAGTGTCATGTCTAGTGTCACACTAGGATGTCACCTCTAGTGTCACACTGGGATGTTATGTCTAGTGTCATGTCTAGTGTTGCACTGGGGCATCATGTCTAGTGTCATTCCTAGTGTCACACTGGGATGTCACCTCTAGTGTCACACTGGGATGTTATGTCTAGTGGCATGTCTAGTGTCACACTGGGATGTCATCTCTAGTGTCACACTGGGATGTTATGTCTAGTGTCATGTCTAGTATTGCACTGGGGCATCATGTCTAGTGTCATTCCTAGTGTCACACTGGGATGTCACCTCAAGTGTCACACTGGGATGTTATGTCTAGTGTCATGTCTAGTGTCGCACTAGGATGTCACCTCAAGTGTCACACTGGGATGTTATGTCTAGTGTCATGTCTAGTGTCACACTGGGATGTCACCTCAAGTGTCACACTGGGATGTTATGTCTAGTGTCATGTCTAGTGTTGCACTGGGGCATCATGTCTAGTGTCATTCCTAGTGTCACACTGGGATGTCACCTCTAGTGTCACACTGGGATGTTATGTCTAGTGTCATGTCTAGTGTCCCACTGGGTCATCAAACCATTGTAACTGTTCCAGGTCTGATACTAATGAGACAGCATCATCTGAGCTGGAGCACATGCATGAAGAGTCTCCATCTTCTATTGGTTCCATACAGGAGGAAGATGAGGAAGAGAGTGGTGGACCCCCACTCCATCCACCCCAGGCTTCCTTTACACAACCACAGGTATGGCTGGGTGGGTGTACAGGTATGGCTGGGTGGGTGTACAGGTATGGCTGGGTGGGTGTACAGGCATGGTTGGGTGGGTCAACAGGGAGGGCTTGGTGGGTGTACAGGGAGGGCTGGGTGGGTGTACAGGGAGGGCTGGGTGGGTGTACAGGTATGGCAGGGTGGGTGTAGGTATGTCAGGGTGGGTGTAGGTATGGCAGGGTGGATGTAGGTATCGCTGGATGGGTGTACAGGGAGGGCTGGGTGGGTGTACAGATATGGCAGAGTGGGTGTAGGTATGGCAGGGTGGGTGTACAGGTATGGCAGGGTGGGTGCACCGGGAGGCCTGGGTGGGTGTACAGAGTCAGCAGGGTGGGTGTACAGGTGTGGCTGGGCTGGTGTACAGGTGTGGCTGGTTGGGTGTACAGATATGGCAGGGTGGGTGTACAGGTGTGGCTGGTTGGGTGTACAGGTGTGGCTGGTTGGGTGTACAGAGAGAGCAGGCTGGGTGTACAGAGAGGGCAGAGTGGGTGTACAGGGAAGGCTGGGTGGGTGTACAGAGAGGGCAGGGTTGGTGTACAGAGAGAGCAGGGTGGGTGTACAGGGAGGGCAGGGTGGGTGTACAGGGAGAGCAGGGTGGGTGTTCAGGGAGAGCAGGGTGGGTGTACATGGAGGGCAGGGTGGGTGTACAGGGAGGGCAGGGAAGGGTGGGTGTACAGGGAGGGCAGGGAAGGGTGGGTGTACAGGGAGGGCAGGGTGGGTGTACAGGGAGGGTGTACAGGGAGGGCAGGGTGGGTGTACAGGGAGGGCAGGGAAGGGTGGGTGTACAGGGAGGGCAGGGTGGGTGTACAGGGAGGGTGTACAGGGAGGGCAGGGTGGGTGTACAGGGAGGGCAGGGAAGGGTGGGTGTACAGGGAGGGCAGGGAAGGGTGGGTGTACAGGGAGGGCAGGGTGGGTGTACAGGGAGGGTGTACAGGGAGGGCAGGGTGGGTGTACAGGGAGGGCAGGGAAGGGTGGGTGTACAGGGAGGGCAGGGAAGGGTGGGTGTACAGGGAGGGCAGGGTGGGTGTACAGGGAGAGCAGGGTGGGTGTACAGGGAGGGTGTACAGGGAGGGCAGGGTGGGTGTACAGGAGAGTAGGGTGGGTGTACAGAGAGGGCAGGGTGGGTGTACAGGTGTGGCACTGTTGGTGTACAGGGAGAGAAGGGTGGGTTTACAGATGTGGCCAGATGGGTGCACAGGGAGGGCCAAGTTGGCAGGGTGGGTGTACAGGTGTGGCTGGTTGGGTGTACAGAGAGAGCAGGGTGGGTGTACAGGTGTGGCAGGGTGGGGGTACAGGCAGAGCAGGGTTGGTGGAAAGAGAGGGCTGGTTGGGTGTACAGGGAGAGCTGGGTGGGTGTACAGGTGTGGCAGGACGGGTGTACAGGTGTGGCAGGGTGGGGGTACATGGCGGGCCAAGTGGATGCACAGGGAGGGCAGGGTTGGTGTACAGAGAGGGTGGGTGTACAGGGAGAGCAAGATTGGTGTACAGGGAGATCAGGGTGGGTGTACAGGTGTGGCTCGTTGGGTTTAATTGAGAGCAGGGTGGGTGTACAGATATGGCAGGATGGGTGTACAGGTGTTCCAGAGTGGGTGTACAGATATGGCAGGATGGGTGTACAGATGTGGCAGGGTGGTTGCACAGGGAGGACAGGGTGGGTGTACAGATATGGCACAATGGGTGTACAGGTGTGGCAGGATGGGTGTACAGGGAGGGCAGGTTGGGTGTACAGAGAGGGCTGGGTGGGTGTACAGGGAGAGCAGGGTGGGTGTACAGAGAGGGCTGGGTGGGTGTACAGGTGTGGCAGGGTGGGTGTACAGGTATGGCTTGGTGGGTGTACAGGTGTGTCTGGGTGGGGGTATAGGGAGGGCTGGGTGGGTGTACAGGTGTGGCAGGGTGGGGGTATAGGGAGGGCTGGTTGGGTGTACAGGGAGAGCAGGGTGGGTGTACAGGGAGAGCAGGGTGGGTGTACAGGTGTGGCAGGGTGGGGGTATAGGGAGGGCTGGGTTGGTGGAAAGAGAGGGCTGGTTGGGTGTACAGGTGTGGCAGGGTGGGTGTTCAGGGAGAGCTGGGTTGGTGGAAAGAGAGCGCTGGTTGGGTGTACAGGGAGAGCAGGGTGGGTGTACAGGGAGGGCTGGCTGGGTGTACAGGGAGAGCAGGGTGGGTGTATAGAGAGGGCAAGGTGGGGTGAACCGGGAGGGCAGGGTGGTTGTACAGGTGTGGCAGGACGGGTGTACAGGTGTTGCAGGGTTGGTGTACAAGGAGGGTTTGTTCGGTGTACAGGGAGGGCAGGGTGACAGTACAGGGAGGGCAGGTAAGAGGGGGTAGACTGTAAGGTTGATGAAGGTGGTTGTGTGTTTTAGAGTGTAAGGCTGATGTAGGGGGGGGGGGGGGGGGGGGAGTGCTGTACAGGGAGGGCAGGTGAGAGGGGGTAGACTAAGGTTGATGAAGGTGGTTGTGTGTTTTAGAGTGTAAGGCTGATGTAGGGGTGGGGGGGGGTGGGGGGAGTGCTGTGCAGGGAGGGCAGGTGTGAGGGGGTAGACTGTAAGGTTGATGAAGGTGGTTGTGTGTTTTAGAGTGTAAGGCTGATGTAGGGGTGGGGGGAGTGCTGTGCAGGGAGGGCAGGTGTGAGGGGGTAGACTGTAAGGTTGATGAAGGTGGTTGTGTGTTTTAGAGTGTAAGGCTGATGTAGGGGTGGGGGGAGTGCTGTACAGGGAGGGCAGGTGAGAGGTGGTAGACTGTAAGGCTGACACCGAAACGTCGCTCCTAATTGTATTAAAGAAGTTCTTCTTCCCTATATCTTTTCCTTACTTAGTACTCAAACTTCTAAATGCCTCTCAAAGAAAGGATATAGGCCTTTGTAGGAGTCTAGCAGACAGTCTACAAAGCATTACATAGCATTTATTTCAACAGTAATTATAGAGTGTAGTTTTAATTTACTTGTCTTTCAGAGCAGTAGCAGCTACACGTGGAGAATAGATTTATCAAAGACAGAACAGTTTTGGAAAGGTAAGCTCCCTCTCACATTCTTGTTAAAGACAGATTTCAAATAGGCCTTGCTTGTAGACTATGTTATACTGATAGTTCTTGAAGTGTACACCATGTGTAGCAACTCTACTAGACAAGTTACATATATAGATCTGTAGAGATCTGCAGCCCACTTTACAGAGGCTTCAGCAGTGTGCTCTAATAGCTGCTACTACATGGCATCTAGCATCTTCTGTAACTATAAATGACAACAGTCAACTTGTGTAGCCTGAATAATAGTCTATAGAGTGCTTTCCCTCACTGGTGGAGATTGTAGCATGTGTCTGTTTACAGACTGGTGGAGATTGTAACATGTGTCGGTCTACAGGCTGGTGGATATTGTAGCATGTGTCTGTTTACATGCTGGTGGAGATTGTAGCATGTGTCTGTTTACAGACTGGTGGAGATTGTAACATGTGTCGGTCTACAGGCTGGTGGAGATTGTAACATGTGTCTGTTTACAGACTGGTGGAGATTGTAACATGTGTCTGTTTACATGCTGGTGGAGATTGTAGCATGTGTCTGTTTACAGGTTGTGGAGATTGTAGAATGTGTCTGTTTACAGACTGGTGGAGATTGTAACATGTGTCGGTCTACAGGCTGGTGGATATTGTAACATGTGTCTGTTTACATGCTGGTGGAGATTGTAGCATGTGTCTGTTTACAGGTTGTGGAGATTGTAGAATGTGTCTGTTTACAGGCTGGTGGAGATTGTAGCATGTGTCTGTTTACAGGTTGTGGAGATTGTAGAATGTGTCTGTTTACAGGCTCATGGAGATTGTAGTATGTGTCTGTTTACAGGTTGTGGAGATTGTAACATGTGTCTGATTACAGGCTCATGGAGATTGTACCATGTGTCTGTTTACAGGCTAGTGGAGATTGTAGCATGTGTCTGTTTACAGGCTAGTGGAGATTGTAGCATGTGTCTGTTTACAGGCTGGTGGAGATAGTAGCATGTGTCTGTTTACAGGCTGGTGGAGATTGTAGTATGTGTCTGTTTACAGGTTGTGGAGATTGTAGAATGTGTCTGTTTACAGGCTCATGGAGATTGTAGCATGTGTCTGTTTACAGGTTGTGGAGATTGTAGCATGTTTCTGTTTACAGGCTGGTGGAGATTGTAGCATGTGTCTGTTTAGAGGCTAGTGGAGATTGTACCATGTGTCTGTTTACAGGTTGTGGAGATTGTAGCATCTGTCTGTTTAAAGGCTGTAGGAGTTTGTAGCATGTGTCTGTTTACAGGCTGGTGGAGATTGTAACGTGTCTGTTTACAGACTGGTGGAGATTGTAGTATGTGTCTGTTTACAGGCTCATGGAGATTGTAGCATGTGTCTGTTTACAGGCTGGTGGAGATTGTAGCATGTGTCTGTTTACAGGCTCATGGAGATTGTAGCATGTGTCTGTTTACAGGCTGGTGGAGATTGTAGCATGTGTCTGTTTACAGGCTGGTGGAGATTGTAGCATGTGTCTGTTTACAGGCTGTGGAGATTGTAGCATGTGTCTGTTTACAGGCTAGTGGAGATTGTAGCATGTGTCTGTTTACAGGCTAGTGGAGATTGTAGCATGTGTCTGTTTACAGGTTGTGGAGATTGTAGCATGTGTCTGTTTACAGGCTGGTGGAGATAGTAGCATGTGTCTGTTTACAGGCTGGTGGAGATTGTAGCATGTGTCTGTTAACAGGCTGTAGGAGTTTGTAGCATGTGTCTGTTTACAGGCTGGTGGAGATTGTAGCATGTGTCTGTTTACAGGCTGTAGGAGATTGTAGCATGTGTCTGTTTACAGGCTCATGGAGATTGTAGCATGTGTCTGTTTACAGGCTAGTGGAGATTGTAGCATGTGTCTGTTTACAGGTTATTGAGATTGTAGCATGTGTCTGTTTACAGGCTGGTGGAGATAGTAGCATGTGTCTGTTTACAGGCTGGTGGAGATTGTAGCATGTGTCTGTTTACAGGCTGTAGGAGTTTGTAGCATGTGTCTGTTTAGAGGCTGGTGGAGATTGTACCATGTGTATGTTTACAGGCTGGTGGAGATTGTAACATGTGTCTGTTTACAGGCCGGTGGAGATTGTAACATGTGTCTGATTACAGGCTCATGGAGATTGTAGTATGTGTCTGTTTATAGCCTGGTGGAGATTGTACCATGTGTCTGTTTACAGGCGAATGGAGATTGTAGTATGTGTCTGTTTACAGGCTGGTGGAGATTGTACCATGTGTCTGTTTACAGGCTGGTGGAGATTGTAGTATGTGTCTGTTTACAGGCTGGTGGAGATTGTAGTATGTGTCTGTTTACAGGCTGGTGGAGATTGTAGCATGTGTCTGTTTACAGGCTGGTGGAGATTGAACCATGTGTCTGTTTACAGGCTGGTGGAGATTGTAGTATGTGTCTGTTTACAGGCTGGTGGAGATTGTAGTATGTGTCTGTTTACAGGCTGGTGGTGATTGTAGCATGTGTTTGTTTACAGGCTGATGGAGATTGTAATTTGTGTCTGTTTACAGGCTAGTGGAGATTGTACCATGTGTCTGTTTACAGGCTGTAGGAGATTGTACCATGTGTCTGTTTACAGGCTGTGGAGATTGTAGCATGTGGCTGTTTGCAGGCTGGTGGAGATTGTAGTATGTCTCTGTTTACAGGCTGGTGGAGATTGTAGCATGTGTCTGTTTACAGGTTGTAGGAGATTGTAGCATGTGTCTGTTTACAGGCTGTAGGAGATTGAAGCATGTGTCGGTCTACAGGCTGTAGGAGATTGTAGCATGCGTCGGTCTACAGGCTAGTGGAGATTGTAGCATGTGTCTGTTTACAGACTGGTGGAGATTGTAGCATGTGTCTGTTTACAGGCTGGTGGAGATTGTACCATGTGTCTGTTTACAGGTTCATGGAGATTGTACCATGTGTCTGTTTACAGGCTGGTGGAGATTGTAGCATGTGTCTGTTTACAGGCTGGTGGAGATTGTACCATGTGTCTGTTTACAGGTTGTGGAGATTGTAGCATGTGTCTGTTTACAGGCTGGTGGAGATTGTAGCATGTGTCTGTTTACAGGCTGGTGGAGATTGTACCATGTGTCTGTTTACAGGCTGGTGGAGATTGTAGCATGTGTCTGTTTACAGGCTAGTGGAGATTGTACCATGTGTCTGTTTGCAGGATGGTTTGAGGGACTGTCACAGAAGTTTCTGTCTTGCCCTGTTCCCAAGATGCTTCTACTTGCAGGTCAGCATTAGTAGATATACAGTCCATTCAGTAGATATACAGTCAAATCAGTAGATATAAAGTCTATTCAGTAGATATACAGTTTATTCAGTAGATATACAGTCAACTCATTAGATAGAGTCAACTCACTAGATAAACAGTCTATTCAGTAGATATAGACAACTCAGTAGATACAGTCAACTCAGTAGATAGTCAACTCATTAGATATACAGTCTATTCAGTAGATATACAGTCAACTCATTAGATACAGTCAATTCAGTAGATATAGTCAACTCAGTAGATACAGTCAACTCAGTAGATAGTCAACTCATTAGATATACAGTCTATTCAGTAGATATACAGTCAACTCATTAGATACAGTCAATTCAGTAGATATAGTCAACTCAGTAGATATACAGTCAACACAGTAGATATTCAGTGAACTCAGTAGATATACAGCCAACACAGTAGAAATACAGTCAACTCAGTAGATAGTCAACTCATTAGATATACAGTCTATTCAGTAGATATACAGTCAACTCATTAGATACAGTCAACTCAGTAGATAGTCAACTCAGTAGATAAACAGTCAATTCAGTAGATATACAGTCAACTCAGTAGATATACAGTCAACACAGTAGATATACAGTCAACTCAGTAGATATACAGTCCACTCAGTAGATATACAGTCTATTCAGTAGATATACAGTTTATTCAGTAGATATACAGTCAACTCAGTAGATATACAGTGTATTCAGTAGATATACAGTTTATTCAGTAGATATACAGTCAACTCATTAGATAGAGTCAACTCACTAGATATACAGTCTATTCAGTAGATATAGTCAACTCAGTAGATACAGTCAAATCAGTAGATAGTCAACTCATTAGATATACAGTCTATTCAGTAGATATACAGTCTATTCAGTAGATATACAGTCAACACATTAGATACAGTCAACTCATTAGATAGTCAACTCAGTAGATATACAGTCAATTCAGTAGATGTAGTCAACTCAGTAGATATACAGTCAACATAGTAGATATACAGTGAACTCAGTAGATAAACAGCCAACACAGTAGAAATACAGTGAACTCAGTAGATGTAGTCTATTCAGTAGATATACAGTCAACTCAGTAGATATACAGTCAACTCAGTAGATATACAATCAACTCAGTAGATATACAGTCTATTCAGTAGATATACAGTCTATTCAGTAGATATACAGTCTACTCAGTAGATATACAGCCAACATAGTAGAAATACAGTGAACTCAGTAGATGTAGTCTATTCAGTAGATATACAGTCAACTCAGTAGATATACAGTCAACTCAGTAGATATACAATTAACTCAGTAGATATACAGTCAACTCATTAGATATACAGTCTATTCAGTAGATATACAGTCTACTCAGTAGATATACAGTCAACTCAGTAGATATACAGTCAACTCAGTAGATATACAGTCTATTCAGTAGATATACAGTCTACTCAGTAGATAGTCAACTCAGTAGATATACAGTCAACTCAGTAGATATACAGTCAACACAGTAGATATACAGTCAATTCAGTAGATATACAGTCAACTCAGTAGATATACAGTCAATTCAGTAGATATACAGTCAACTCAGTAGATATAAAGTCTATTCAGTAGATATACAGTCTACTCAGTAGATAGTCAACTCAGTAGATATTCAGTGAACTCAGTAGATATACAGTCAACTCAGTAGATATACAGTCAACTAGGTAGATATACAGTCAACACAGTAGATATAGAGTCAACTAAGTAGATATACAGTCAACTCAGTAGATATACAGTCTATTCAGTAGATATACAGTCTATTCAGTAGATATACAGTCAACTCAGTAGATAGCAGATATTCAGTGAACTCAGTAGATATACAGTCACAGGGTTTGCCCTAGACATTAAAAATTGGGAGTCATTATGACCCCCAACTTTTCAGATTAGGAGTCATTCATCAATTTTGGGGAGTCATATTAACTAATCTCAGAATCTCGCTATCAGGATGAAAAATTAAGTAAACATAAACAAGGTAAGATTTTAACTTTTTATATTCTTCATTATTTTAACTGTAACATAAATATCTTTGATTCACAAAGTCAAGTATATTGGGCCTAATACTCGATAAATCTTTTTTTACACTATGAATCATAAATAACTTCTATTCTAATCTTTTTGGAAACTGTGAAAAGTGCAACGTAGATCGTGATAGGTACTAGGCAGAGCATGTATACTGTTGTGTTGGTCGTCTACCACCTGCGACTCGACCTTCGTTAACTCTTTCAACACCAGTCAAACAGAAGTGTTTACTGCTGGGACACCGAGTTCCCAGAGACTCTTGTGTGATAGATGAAGCCAACATTTATCAAAGAAAATACCTGCTTGTAAAATATATTTGCCACTACATGTTATACACCATTTGAAAGGTCTGATCCTATGGTTTATAAATATGAAAGTTATGTTTTTCACATTATATAAAATAATGCATTTACAACTTAATTAAGTTCGTTGTAAATAAAAAATGTAAGCTAATACGTTGTTAACATCCAGATTAAGGACCAAGGAAGCGAAAACTTGACGATTTTCTGCAAATATAAGATTTCATAAAATCCACTTACCTATTTCTGTTTTATTTTCATTGTTTACGTAATTGGAAAATCATTTTAAAAAGAATTATACCCATTTCCCGATGTCCGCTCAGTAACATGAAGAAATACCCCCGTTTTCGAGGCTTCTTATGAATAACACGTTCGTCGAAGAATGGCAAATGACACATCGCTAGTAAGCTTATTTCTTTATCTACACGCTCGTAACATCGGCTGTTTTTTTCCGTTTTTATAACAAGCGATTTCATTGGAATAAAATTGATTTCCAATGACGCTTTCTTGCCGAAATCTGCTACAAGTTTCGCGATTGGTCAATTTTGAGCACCTGACCTAAGGCAGCCAATCAAATTACAGCTGTGATACCAAGCTCGTGTTTGATAAATTCCAGAAGTTGGCGAAAGGTTTTTGTTAAATCGTTATTCTGAACGTTTTAAGCAGGAAATCACGATACATATTAAAAATATGGAACTTCGTGAATGTATCGTGCTAGGTTACGAGCTGTGACAAAGATTTTTCACGCATATATTTTTGCATTAAACATCGTGTCCGAGCCGAGAATTCAAGGCGACGAAAGGCGAGATGTCTTATATTACACCCGATCGCACAAAAAGATGGAAATAATAACTTAGGTGTAAGCTTGATTACTTTGAGATATATTTTTGTTGATTTTATTTATTACTTTGTATAATATATTTAAAGATTTGTTTAGAACCTCTTTATTTTGCTCTTTGACATGTTCGATGCGGACCTGTTGTCGAAATGTGTGTCCGAGAATGTTATTTTCAATAACATCGCGGGGAAATAGTGAATAATTTTTTAATTTATCGATAAAAAATTATAAATTGAAATGGAATACGTATTTCAGACATTGTGAAATGTGATAGATTTAATAAATGAATGATATTACAGGTAGGTCCATAAAAATATATACTATTTTGACGTGACTACGGCTTGGCCAGTTAACCCGCTTACGGTGTCTGGGGACTCGATGCTTCTTGGCCGAAAACCGGCCTACAGTGTTGAAAGAGTTAACCGCTGATCATCTATAAGGCTCATCAATTATTTGGACCCCGAAGGTAGCGTTGTAACGAGGGATCTGTATTTTCTTTCTGACAAACGGAAAGGTCTCAGTTTACTAATTGTAATGGCTGTTTCATTGCGTCAACACTGATGCAGTAGAAAATATTTTTAGCGTATTTTCAATTATTTATGCGTCAAATACGCAGGTTTTCTGCGTCAGGGCGAACCCTGCAGTCAACTCAGTAGATAGTCAACTCAGTAGATATACAAACTATTCAGTGGAATACAGTCAACTCAGTAGATAAACAGTCAACTCCGTAGATAGTCAACTCAGTTGATATACAGACTATTCAGTAGATATACAGTCAACTCAGTAGATATTCAGTCTATTCAGTGGAATACAGTCAACTCAGTAGATAAACAGTCAACTCCGTAGATAGTCAACTCAGTTGATATACAGACTATTCAGTAGATATACAGTCAACTCAGTAGATATACAGTCTATTCAGTGGAATACAGTCAACTCAGTAGATAAACAGTCAACTCCGTAGATAGTCAACTAAGTTGATATACAGACTATTCAGTAGATATACAGTGAACTCAGTAGATATACAGTCTATTTAGTAGATAGTCAACTCAGTAAATAAACAGTCAACTCCGTAGATAGTCAACTCAGTTGATATACAGACTATTCAGTAGATATACAGTCAACTCAGTAGATATACAGTCTATTCAGTGGAATACAGTCAACTCAGTAGATAAACAGTCAACTCTGTAGATAGTCAACTCAGTTGATATACAGACTATTCAGTAGATATACAGTGAACTCAGTAGATATACAGTCTATTCAGTAGAAAGTCAACTCAGTAGATATACAGTTTATTCAGTAGATATACAGTGAACTCAGTAGATATACAGTCAACTCAGTAGATATACAGTCTATTCAGTGGAATACAGTCAACTCAGTAGATATACAGTCTATTCAGTAGATAGTCAACTCAGTAGATATACAGTCTATTCAGTAAATATACAGTGAACTCAGTAGATATACAGTGAACTCAGTAGATATACAGTCTACTCAGTAGATATTCAGTGAAATCAGTAGATATACAGTGAACTCAGTAGATATACAGTCAACTCAGTAGATATACAGTCAACTCAGTAGATATACGGTCAACTCAGTAGATATTCAGTGAACTCAGTAGATATACAGTCTATTCAGTAGATAGTCAACTCAGTAGATATACAGTCTATTCAGTAGATATACAGTGAACTCAGTAGATATACAGTGAACTCAGTAGATATACAGTCTATTCAGTAGATATACAGTGAACTCAGTAGATATTCAGTGAACTCAGTAGATATACAGTGAGGTGAGGTGAAATTTGGTTTAACGTCGCGTCCAAGATTATTGCACTTATATAGCGACGTGCATGTACGTGTGTGTTTGTGTGGCTGCTGGTACTAGTCCGGACTGATGCCGATTTATAGTGCTAGCCCACTGAGATACCATGCCGCAGTTTAGCATGAATACCTTACTCAGATACAGTATACTGACTCCAACCGACCAGTCCTTGTTTTAGCCCCTTAAAGCCGAGCGCCAGACATGGTAACAACAAGTACCATCTTTTAACGTCTTTTGGTATGACGCAGCCGGGGATCGAACCCCGGACCTTCCACTCTCCGGGCGGACGCTCTACCACTAGACCACTGAGGCGGTCAGATATACAGTGAACTCAGTAGATATACAGTCAGCTCAGTAGATAGTCAACTCAGTAGATACACTGTCACATTAACAAAAACACTGAATGTCAGCTCATGTGTCTATAGATGATCTACTATAGAAGTTTCAATGTCAAGACTTTGTTGACTGTGTAGTACTGGGTCTATAGATGGTCTACTACAGAAGTTTAATGACAAGACTCTGTTGACTGTGTAGTACATGTGTCTATAGATGGTCTATTACAGTAGTTTCAATGACAAGACTTTGTTGACTGTGTAGTACATGTGTCTATAGATGTCTACTATAGAAGTTTCAATGTCAAGACTTTGTTGACTGTGTAGTACATGTGTCTATAGATGGTCTACTACAGAAGTTTCAATGACAAGACTTAGTTGACTGTGTAGTACATGTGTCTATAGATGATCTACTACAGAAGTTTCAATGTCAAGACTTTGTAGTACATGTGTCTATAGATGGTCTACTACAGAAGTTTCAGTGACAAGACTTAGTTGACTGTGTAGTACATGTGTCTATAGATGGTCCATTACAGTAGTTTCAATAACAAGACTTTGTTGACTGTGTAGTACATGTGTCTATAGATGGTGTATTACAGAAGTTTCAATGACAAGACTTTGTTGACTGTGTAGTACATGTGTCTATAGATGGTCTACTACAGAAGTTTCAATGACAAGACTCTGTTGACTGTGTAGTACATGTGTCTATAGATGGTCTACTACAGAAGTTTAATCACAAGACTTTGTTGACTGTGTAGTACATGTGTCTATAGATGGTCTACTACAGAAGTTTCAATGACAAGACTTAGTTGACTGTGTAGTTCATGTGTCTTTAGATGTCTACTACAGAAGTTTCAATGACAAGACTTTGTTGACTGTGTAGTACATGTGTCTATATATTGTGTATTACAGAAGTTTCAATGACAAGACTCTGTTGACTGTGTAGTACATGTGTCTATAGATGGTGTTTTACAGAAGTTTCAATGACAAGACTTAGTTGACTGTGTAGTTCATGTGTCTTTAGATGTCTACTACAGAAGTTTCAATGACAAGACTTTGTTGACTGTGTAGTTCATGTGTCTATAGATAGTCTACTACAGAAGTTTCAATGACAAGACTCTGTTGACTGTGCAGTACATGTGTCTATAGATGTCTGCTACAGAAGTTTCAATGACAAGACTGTGTTGACTGTGTAGTACATGTGTCTATAGATGGTGTATTACAGAAGTTTCAATGACAAGACTTTGTTGACTGTGTAGTACATGTGTCTATAGATGGTCTACTACAGAAGTTTAATGACAAGACTTTCTTGACTGTGTAGTACATGTGTCTATAGATGGTCTACTACAGAAGTTTAATGACAAGACTCTGTTGACTGTGTAGTACATGTGTCTATAGATGATCTACTACAGATGTTTCAATGACAGGACTCTGTTGACTGTGTAGTACATGTGTCTATAGATGGTGTTTTACAGAAGTTTCAATGCCAAGACTTTGTTGACTGTGTAGTACATGTGTCTATAGATGGTGTATTACAGAAGTTTCAATGACAAGACTTTGTTGACTGTGTAGTACATGTGTCTAAAGATGGTCTACTACAGAAGTTTCAATGACAAGACTCTGTTGACTGTGTAGTACATGTGTCTGTAGATGGTCTACTACAGAAGTTTCAATGACAAGACTCTGTTGACTGTGTAGTACATGTGTCTATAGATGGTCTACTACAGAAGTTTAATGACAAGACTGTTGACTGTGTAGTACATGTGTCTATAGATGATCTACTACAGAAGTTTCAATGACAGGACTCTGTTGACTGTGTAGTACATGTGTCTATAGATGGTGTTTTACAGAAGTTTCAATGACAAGACTTAGTTGACTGTGTAGTTCATGTGTCTTTAGATGTCTACTACAGAAGTTTCAATGACAAGACTTTGTTGACTGTGTAGTTCATGTGTCTATAGATGGTCTACTACAGAAGTTTCAATGACAAGACTCTGTTGACTGTGTAGTACATGTGTCTATAGATGTCTACTACAGAAGTTTCAATGACATGACTTTGTTGACTGTGTAGTACATGTGTCTATAGATGGTCTACTACAGAAGTTTCAATGACAAGACTCTGTTGACTGTGTAGTACATGTGTCTATAGATGGTCTGCTACAGAAGTTTCAATGATAAGATTTTGTTGACTGTTTAGTACATGTGTCTATAGATGTCTACTACAGAAGTTTAATGACAAGACTCTGTTGACTGTGTAGTACATGTGTCTATAGATGTCTACTACAGAAGTTTCAATGACAAGACTTTGTTGACTGTGTAGTGCATGTGTCTATGGATGGTCTACTACAGAAGTTTCAATGACAAGACTCTGTTGACTGTGTAGTACATGAGTCTATAGATGTCTGCTACAGAAGTTTCAATGACAAGACTTTGTTGACTGTGTAGTACATGTGTCTATAGATGGTGTATTACAGAAGTTTCAATGACAAGACTGTGTTGACTGTGTAGTACATGTGTCTATAGATGGTCTACTACAGAAGTTTCAATGACAAGACTTTGTTGACTGTGTAGTACATGTGTCTATAGATGGTGTTTTACAGAAGTTTCAATGACAAGACTTAGTTGACTGTGTAGTTCATGTGTCTATAGATGGTCTACTACAGAAGTTTAATGACAAGACTTTGTTGACTGTGTAGTACATGTGTCTATAGATGATCTACTACAGAAGTTTCAATGACAAGACTTAGTTGACTGTGTAGTACATGTGTCTATAGATGGTGTATTACAGAAGTTTCAATGACAAGACTCTGTTGACTGTGTAGTACATGTGTCTATAGATGGTGTATTACAGAAGTTTCAATGACAGGACTCTGTTGACTGTGTAGTACATGTGTCTATAGATGGTGTATTACAGAAGTTTCAATGACAGGACTCTGTTGACTGTGTAGTACATGTGTCTATAGATGGTCTACTACAGAAGTTTCAATGACAAGACTTTGTTGACTGTGTAGTACATGTGTCTTTAGATGTCTACTACAGAAGTTTCAAGACAAGACTTTCTTGACTGTGTAGTACATGTGTCTATAGATGGTGTAGTACAGAAGTTTCAATGACAAGACTTTGTTGACTGTGTAGTACATGTGTCTATAGATGGTCTACTACAGAAGTTTCAATGTCAAGACTCTGTTGACTGTGTAGTACATGTGTCTATAGATGTCTACTACAGAAGTTTCAATGCCAAGACTTTGTTGACTGTGTAGTACATGTGTCTATAGATGGTGTATTACAGAAGTTTCAATGACAAGACTCTGTTGACTGTGTAGAACATGTGTCTATAGATGGTCTACTACAGAAGTTTCAATGACAAGACTTAGTTGACTGTGTAGTACATGTGTCTATAGATGGTGTTTTACAGAAGTTTCAATGACAAGACTTAGTTGACTGTGTAGTACATGTGTCTATAGATGGTCTACTACAGAAGTTTCAATGACAAGACTTAGTTGACTGTGTAGTACATGTGTCTATAGATGGTGTATTACAGAAGTTTCAATGACAAGACTTTGTTGACTGTGTAGTACATGTGTCTATAGATGGTCTATTACAGAAGTTTCAATGACAAGACTTTGTTGACTGTGTAGTACATGTGTCTATAGATGGTCTACTACAGAAGTTTCAATGACAAGACTTACTTGACTGTGTAGTACATGTGTCTATAGATGGTGTATTACAGAAGTTTCAATGACAAGACTTTGTTGACTGTGTAGTACATGTGTCTATAGATGGTGTATTACAGAAGTTTCAATGACAAGACTTTGTTGACCGTGTAGTACATGTGTCTATAGATGGTCTACTACAGAAGTTTCAATGACAAGACTTTGGTATATTACATTGGTCATGTTTCAGGTGATTAAGTGATGTATGATGTTTCCTTGTATATTAAGTTGATATGATATAAAAAACGTAAGTCAGCTTGAACGTTGTTTGTATTCCTTTAACACAGGTGTGGACCGTCTAGACAAGGATCTCACTATTGGGCAGATGCAGGGTATGTTTTAACGTCACCTTATATCCTTCATTATGTAGTTTCATGTTACTGAAGCATACGGCTCTGTCAGATAACTTTGACGTGTTTGTGTCAGTGTTCATATTCAACTAAGCATGTTCTGACATGTTCTGGGGTTTCTCTTGTTCTCTTGTTCCAGGCAAGTTTCAGATGCAGGTGCTGCCCCAGAGCGGTCATGCTGTACACGAAGACTGCCCAGATAGAGTGAGTAACATCCTTTACTGCCCTGCCCAGATAGAGTGAGTAACATCCTATACTGCCCTGCCCAGATAGAGTGAGTAACATCCTATGCTGCCCTGCCCAGATAGAGTGAGTAACATCCTATGCTGCCCTGCCCAGATAGGTAACATCCGATATTGCCCTGCCCAGATAGAGTGAGTAACATCCTATACTGCCCTGTCCAGATGGTGTAACATCCTATACTGCCCTGTCCAGATGGTGTAACATTCTATACTGACCTGCCCAGATAGAGTGAGTAACATCCTATACTGACCTGCCCAGATAGAGTGAGTAACATCCTATACTGCCCTGCCCAGATAGGTAACATCCGATATTGCCCTGCCCTGCCCAGATAGAGTGAGTAACATCCTATACTGCCCTGTCCAGATGGTGTAACTTCCTATACTGCCCTGTCAAGATGGTGTACCATCCTATACCGCCCTGTCCAGATGGTGTAACATCATATACTGCCCTGCCCAGATAGAGTGAGTAACATCCTATACTGCCCTGCCCAGATAGAGTGAGTAACATCCTATACTGTCCTGCCCAGATAGAGTGAGTAACATCCTATACTGTCCTGCCCAGATAGTGAATAACATCCTATACTGCCCTGTCCAGATGGTGTAACATCCTATACTGCCCTGCCCAGATAGAGTGAATAACATCCTATACTGCCCTGCCCAGATAGGTAACATCCTATATTGCCCTGCCCAGATAGAGTGAGTAACATCCTATACTGCCCTACCCAGATAGAGTGAATAACATCCTATACTGCCCTGCCCTGCCCAGATAGGTAACATCCTATATTGCCCTGCCCAGATAGAGTGAGTAACATCCTATACTGACCTGCCCAGATAGTGAATTACATCCTATACTGCCCAGATAGAGTGAGTAACATCCTATACTGCCCTGTCCAGCGGGTGTAACATCCTATACTGACCTCCCCAGATAGGTAACATCCTATATTGCCCTGCCTAGATGGTGTAACATCCTATACCGCCCTGCCAAGATGGTGTAACATCCTATACTGACCCGCCCGGATAGGTAACATCCTATACTGCCCTACCAGGAAAGAGTGTGTAACATCCTATACTGCCCTGCCCATATAGGTAACATCCTATATTGCCCTGTCCAGATGGTGTAATATCCTATACTGACCTGCCCAGATAGTGTGAGTAACATCCTATACTGCCCTTCCCAGAAAGGTAACATACTATACTGCCCTGCCCAGATAGGTAACATCCTATATTGCCCTGCCCAGATGGTGAGAGTAACATCCTATACTGCCCTGCCCAGATAGAGTGAGTACCATCCTATACTGCCCTGCCCAGATAGAGTGAGTAACATCCTAAACTGCCCTGCCCAGATAGAGTGAGTAACATCCTATGCTGCCCTGCCCTGCCCAGATTGGTAACATCCGATATTGCCCTGCCCAGATAAAGTGAGTAACATCCTATACTGCCCTGTCCAGATGGTGTAACATCCTATACTGACCTTCCCAGATAGAGTGAGTAACATCCTATACTGCCCTGCCCAGATAGAGTGAGTAACATCCTATACTGCCCTGCCCAGATAGTGAATAACATCCTATACTGCGCTGTCCAGATGGTGTAACATCCTATACTGACCTGCCCAGATGGAGTGAGTAACATCCTATACTGACCTGCCTAGATAGGTAACACCCTATACTGACCTACCCAGATAGAGTGAGTAACATCCTATACTGACCTGCCCAGATAGGTAACATCCTATACTGCCCTGCCCAGATAGAGTGAGTAACATCCTATACTGCCCTGTCCAGATGGTGTAACATCCTATACTGACCTGCCCAGATAGGTAACATCCTATACTGACCTTCCCAGATAGGTAACATCCTAAACTGCCCTGCCAAGATAGAGTGTGTAACATCCTATACTGACCTGCCCAGATAGGTAACATCCTATACTGACCTTCCCAGATAGGTAACATCCTATATTGCCCTGCCCAGATGGTGTAACATTCTATATTGCCCTGCCCAGATGGTGTAACATCCTATACTGACCTGCCCAGATAGGTAACATCCTATACTGCCCTGCCTAGATAGGTAACATCCTATACTGCCCTACCCAGATAGAGTGTGTAACATCCTATATTGCCCTGCCCAGATAGTGTGAGTAACATCCTACATTGCCCTGCCCAGATAGTGTGAGTAACATCCTATACTGCCCTGCCCAGATAGGTAACATCCTATATTGCCCTGCCCAGATGGTGTAAACATCCTATACTGACCTGCCCAGATAGAGTGAGTAACATCCTATACTGCCCTGCCCAGATAGGTAACATCCTATATTGCCCTGCCCAGCCAGATGGTGTAACATCCTATATTGCCCTGCCCAGATGGTGTAACATCCTTTACTGACCTGCCCAGATAGGTAACATCCTATACTGCCCTGCCCAGATAGAGTGAGTACCATCCTATACTGCCCTGCCCAGATAGGTAATATCCTATATTGCCCTGCCTAGATAGAGTGAGTAACATCCTATACTGCCCTGCCCAGATAGTGAATACCATCCTATACTGCCCTGTTCAGATGGTGTAACATCCTATACTGCCCTGCCCAGATAGAGTGAGTAACATCCTATACTGCCCTGCCCAGATAGGTAACATCCTATATTGCCCTGCCCAGCCAGATGGTGTAACATCCTATATTGCCCTGCCCAGATGGTGTAACATCCTATACTGACCTGCCCAGATAGGTAACATCCTATACTGCCCTGCCCAGATAGAGTGAGTACCATCCTATACTGCCCTGCCCAGATAGGTAATATCCTATATTGCCCTGCCTAGATAGAGTGAGTAACATCCTATACTGCCCTGCCCAGATAGTGAATACCATCCTATACTGCCCTGTTCAGATGGTGTAACATCCTATACTGCCCTGCCCAGATAGAGTGAGTAACATCCTATACTGACCTGCCCAGATAGAGTAACATCCTATATTGCCCTGCCCAGATGGTGTGAGTAACATCCTATACTGCCCTGTCCAGATGGTGTAACATCCTATACTGACCTGCCCAGATAGTGTAAGATCCTATATTGTCCAGATAGTGTAACATCCTATATTGCCCTGCCCAGATAGAGTGAGTAACATCCTATACTGCCCTGTCCAGATGGTGTAACATCCTATACTGACCTGCCCAGATAGTGAATAACATCCTATACTGCCCTGTCCAGATGGTGTAACATCCTATACTGACCTGCCCAGATAGAGTGAGTAACATCCTATACTGACCTGCCCAAACAAACAAATAGTAAATATTCACTCAAAACTAAATATGGCAAACAAAACAATAGCACTAGTATGGATACCCAGCCATACAGGCATACCAGGCAATGAAATTGCAGACCAAATAGCAAAAACAGCAACAATCGACCAATCACCCACAATACAATTCCATACAAGCAAAGCCGAAACAAAAACATTAATAAAACACACTATAAGACAACAAAGGTTCCATAACAACATACAAAAATGCAAATCACAATGGATTAAAACACTGTTTACCACCCCAATTACTAAGTGCAAGAAATATACAAACTCCATATTAGCAGATAAAATTATAAACAGAATACAAAGCAATCAAACAAATTTAAACGAAACACTCCATAAACAAAACAGACATCCAAACCCTAACTGCATCCACTGTAACACCACTGAAGACATAAACCACATATTCAACACATGTAGAAAATATAAACAACAACAACAAGCACTATACAACTCTCTTCTGCCCAACTACAAAAACAACGTCACCATGTTATTCAAACCAAACAACCCCCCAGCCACCTACCTGCAAATAGCCACTTTCCTTAAAAAAGACAAATTTATCAGCAAAAATTTAGGCCATCCCAATCAAATTCTCTATGTATATCTCCCTCTACTCAGCAATACTTCAGATTCGGATGGGGATCCAAAATCTCAGTGCGGATTGTCTACTATGACGTCCGCGCTCCAAATTCCCAGCGCGGATTGTCCCCTACGACGTCCGCACCCCAAACACTGCCATATCCATACTCACTAATAATATAGCAGTTTCACCAGCCACCCGCCCAATGTCAAGGACATCACTCTCACTGCCACACTCACCGGCACACAACCTTTACCCACCCACCCCCCGCGTAAGGCCCCTGTTTATTAGCATAGGTTACCCACTTCTATCCACCTTTTCTTTTTCTTTTCCCCACCTAATATTTTATTTATCTTATTATATACTTAAACATCAGCCTAACTGATCTCTTTATATATTTTTTTTCTTCTTTTTTTTTTCTTTTTTTCTTTCTATCTCTCTTACTTTATGTATACTCTCCTAGACCCTGGTTAACGTAGGACTTCTACAATCTCATTATGGCACCTCTCTGCCTCTTCAACCCAATCCTGTCCTCTCTCCTACTTTATCCCCTTTCACTTACAGTTTTTTGGGCTAGACGTTTATCATTATTCCCACAATTTATGGTTTCATAAGACCCGTCTGCCCCGAGTGCGAAATAGCCAGAGGTTGAAGCGCTCGTAAAATCTCCCAACTATTGATTGATTGATTGATTGATTGCTAGGGACCAGCGGTCACATTCTTTTGGAGACACCTTAATTTCACGATTCACAGTAGATGGGGAATATTTTCAATATCCAGCTCTGTCCAGATAGAAGGGCAATGTTTTCGGTATCCAACACTGTCCTGATAGATGGGGAAAATTTTCCATATTCACCACTGATCAAATAGAAGGGGAATATTTTCCGTATCCAACACTGTCCTGATAGATGGGGAATATTTTCCATATCCAGCACTGATCAAATAGATGGGGAATATTTTCCATATCAAACACTGTCCAGATAGATGGGGAATATTTTCCATATCCAGCCCTGTTCTCTGTTAACAGGTTGCTGAAGTACTTGCAACATTCATGGTGCGACACAAAGTAGCTGATCCAACAACAAACTTTGAAAGGTGAGTTGATACACTACGTAATGGTTATTATATTAGTGTGAGTTCATACACTACTTGGAGCCATGTTCTTCTGTTTCAATTAGTTGTTGATTCATTGAAATTACTGGAGTGTAATGTTGTTTACAACACTGTATGAAAACCCATAATGTTTGTAATACTTTTAGGAATGGTTTATTTTGGTTTTAGTATATTCAGAGTGAGTATGTTGGGTTTAACACTGCTTTCAACAGTATTCCAGTTATATCAATGTGTGTCAGCTTAATGTGGGAGGAAAGCCTGAAATGATGCAGGTTAGGTTACCAGTTTGGTTAAACCCACGAGCACAAGTATGGTGCTCACAAACTCTGTAGGGTTATGATGAGGATATCTTTATGCATGATGGCAAGGATGTGCAGGACATGTCCCGCTTTTTTTAGGTGGGTATCTTTATGTATGATGGCAAGGATGTGCAGGACATGTCTCACGTCTTGGAGGTTGGTATCTTTATGTATGATGGCAAGGATGTGCAGGACATGTCTCATGTCTTGGAGGTGGGTATCTTTATGTATGATGGCAAGGATGTGCAGGACATGTCTCACGTCTTGGAGGTGGGTATCTTTATGTATGATGGCAAGGATGTGCAGGACATGTCTCATGTCTTGGAGGTGGGTATCTTTATGTATGATGGCAAGGATGTGCAGGACATGTCTCATGTCTTGGAGGTGGGTATCTTTATGTATGATGGCAAGGATGTGCAGGACATGTCCATGTCTTTGAGGTGGGTATCTTTATGTATGATGGCAAGGATGTGCAGGACATGTCTCATGTCTTGGAGGTGGGTATCTTTATGTATGATGTCAAGGATGTGCAGGACATGTCTCACGTCTTGGAGGTGGGTATCTTTATGTATGATGGCAAGGATGTGCAGGACATGTGTCATGTCTTGGAGGTGGGTATCTTTATGTATGATGGCAAGGATGTGCAGGACATGTCGCGCGTCTTGGAGGTGGGTATCTTTATGCATGATGGCAAGGATGTGCAGGACATGTCTCGCGTCTTGGAGGTGGGTATCTTTATGCATGATGTCAAGGATGTGCAGGACATGTCTCATGTCTTGGAGGTGGGTATCTTTATGTATGATGGCAAGGACGTGCAGGACATGTGTCGCGTCTTGGAGGTGGGTATCTTCATGCTTGATGGCAAGGATGTGCAGGACATGTCTCATGTCTTGGAGGTTGTGATGATGATATCTTTATGCATGATGTCAAGGATGTGCAGGACATGTTGCGTGTGTTGGAGGTGGGTATCTTTATGTATGATGGCAAGGATGTGCAGGACATGTCCCGCTTTTTTTAGGTGGGTATCTTTATGTATGATGGCAAGGATGTGCAGGACATGTCTCATGTCTTGGAGGTGGGTATCTTTATGTATGATGGCAAGGATGTGCAGGACATGTCTAGCGTCTTGGAGGTGGGTATCTTTATGTATGATGTCAAGGATGTGCAGGACATGTCTCGCATCTTGGAGGTGGGTATCTTTATGTATGATGGCAAGGATGTGCAGGACATGTCTCATGTCTTGGAGGTGGGTATCTTTATGTATGATGTCAAGGATGTGCAGGACATGTTTCGCATCTTGGAGGTGGGTATCTTTATGTATGATGGCAAGGATGTGCAGGACATGTCTCGCGTCTTGGAGGTGGGTATCTTTATGTATGATGTCAAGGATGTGCAGGACATGTCTCATGTCTTGGAGGTGGGTATCTTTATGTATGATGGCAAGGATGTGCAGGACATGTCTCACGTCTTGGAGGTGGATTTCTTTATGTATGATGGCAAGGATGTGCAGGACATGTCTCATGTCTTGGAGGTGGGTATCTTTATGTATGATGGCAAGGATGTGCAGGACATGTCGCGCGTCTTGGAGGTGGGTATCTTTATACATGATAGCAAGGATGTGCAGGACATGTCTCGCGTCTTGGAGGTGGGTATCTTTATGTATGATGGCAAGGATGTGCAGGACATGTCTCGCGTCTTGGAGGTTGTGATGATGATATCTTTATGCATGATGTCAAGGATGTGCAGGACATGTCTCATGTCTTGGAGGTGGGTATCTTTATGTATGATGGCAAGGATGTGCAGGACATGTCTAGCGTCTTGGAGGTGGGTATCTTTATGTATGATTGCAAGGATGTGCAGGACATGTCGCGAATGTTGGAGGTGGGTATCTTTATGCATGATGTCAAGGATGTGCAGGACATGTCTCACGTCTTGGAGGTGGGTATCTTTATGTATGATGGCAAGGATGTGCAGGACATGTCTCATGTCTTGGAGGTGGGTATCTTTATGTATGATGGCAAGGATGTGCAGGACATGTCTCGCGTCTTGGAGGTGGGTATCTTTATGCATGATGTCAAGGATGTGCAGGACATGTCTCATGTTTTGGAGGTGGGTATCTTTATGTATGATGGCAAGGACGTGCAGGACATGTGTCGCGTCTTGGAGGTGGGTATCTTCATGCTTGATGGCAAGGATGTGCAGGACATGTCTCGCGTCTTGGAGGTTGTGATGATGATATCTTTATGCATGATGTCAAGGATGTGCAGGACATGTTGCGTGTGTTGGAGGTGGGTATCTTTATGTATGATGGCAAGGATGTGCAGGACATGTCTCACGTCTTGGAGGTGGGTATCTTTATGTATGATGGCAAGGATGTGCAGGACATGTCTCATGTCTTGGAGGTTGGTATCTTTATGTATGATGGCAAGGATGTGCAGGACATGTCTAGCGTCTTGGAGGTGGGTATCTTTATGTATGATGTCAAGGATGTGCAGGACATGTCTCATGTCTTGGAGGTGGGTATCTTTATGTATGATGTCAAGGATGTGCAGGACATGTTTCGCATCTTGGAGGTTGGTATCTTTATGTATGATGGCAAGGATGTGCAGGACATGTCTCGCGTCTTGGAGGTGGGTATCTTTATGTATGATGGCAAGGATGTGCAGGACATGTCTCATGTCTTGGAGGTGGGTATCTTTATGTATGATGGCAAGGATGTGCAGGACATGTCTCACGTCTTGGAGGTGGATTTCTTTATGTATGATGGCAAGGATGTGCAGGACATGTCTCATGTCTTGGAGGTGGGTATCTTTATGTATGATGGCAAGGATGTGCAGGACATGTCGCGCGTCTTGGAGGTGGGTATCTTTATGCATGATAGCAAGGATGTGCAGGACATGTCTCGCGTCTTGGAGGTGGGTATCTTTATGCATGATGTCAAGGATGTGCAGGATATGTCTCATGTTTTGGAGGTGGGTATCTTTATGTATGATGGCAAGGACGTGCAGGACATGTGTCGCGTCTTGGAGGTGGGTATCTTCATGCTTGATGGCAAGGATGTGCAGGACATGTCTCGCGTCTTGGAGGTTGTGATGATGATATCTTTATGCATGATGTCAAGGATGTGCAGGACATGTTGCGTGTGTTGGAGGTGGGTATCTTTATGTATGATGGCAAGGATGTGCAGGACATGTCTCACGTCTTGGAGGTGGGTATCTTTATGTATGATGGCAAGGATGTGCAGGACATGTCTCATGTCTTGGAGGTTGGTATCTTTATGTATGATGGCAAGGATGTGCAGGACATGTCTAGCGTCTTCGAGGTGGGTATCTTTATGTATGATGTCAAGGATATGCAGGACATGTCTCATGTCTTGGAGGTGGGTATCTTTATGTATGATGTCAAGGATGTGCAGGACATGTTTCGCATCTTGGAGGTTGGTATCTTTATGTATGATGGCAAGGATGTGCAGGACATGTCTCGCGTCTTGGAGGTGGGTATCTTTATGTATGATGTCAAGGATGTGCAGGACATGTCTCATGTCTTGGAGGTGGGTATCTTTATGTATGATGGCAAGGATGTGCAGGACATGTCTCACGTCTTGGAGGTGGATTTCTTTATGTATGATGGCAAGGATGTGCAGGACATGTCTCATGTCTTGGAGGTGGGTATCTTTATGTATGATGGCAAGGATGTGCAGGACATGTCGCGCGTCTTGGAGGTGGGTATCTTTATGCATGATAGCAAGGATGTGCAGGACATGTCTCGCGTCTTGGAGGTGGGTATATTTATGCATGATGGCAAGGATGTGCAGGACATGTCTCGCGTCTTGGAGGTTGTGATGATGATATCTTTATGCATGATGTCAAGGATGTGCAGGACATGTCTCATGTCTTGGAGGTGGGTATCTTTATGTATGATGGCAAGGATGTGCAGGACATGTCCATGTCTTGGAGGTGGGTATCTTTATGTATGATGGCAAGGATGTGCAGGACATGTCTAGCGTCTTGGAGGTGGGTATCTTTATGTATGATGTCAAGGATGTGCAGGACATGTCTCGCATCTTGGAGGTGGGTATCTTTATGTATGATGGCAAGGATGTGCAGGACATGTCTCATGTCTTGGAGGTGGGTATCTTTATGTATGATGTCAAGGATGTGCAGGACATGTTTCGCATCTTGGAGGTGGGTATCTTTATGTATGATGTCAAGGATGTGCAGGATATGCCTCATGTTTTGGAGGTTGGTATCTTTATGTATGATGGCAAGGATGTGCAGGACATGTCTCATGTCTTGGAGGTTGGTATCTTTATGTATGATGGCAAGGATGTGCAGGACATGTCTCACGTCTTGGAGGTTGGTATCTTTATGTATGATGGCAAGGATGTGCAGGACATGTTTCGCATCTTGGAGGTGGGTATCTTTATGTATGATGGCAAGGATGTGCAGGACATGTCTCATATCTTGGAGGTGGGTATCTTTATGCATGATGGCAAGGATGTGCAGGACATGTCTCGCGTCTTGGAGGTTGTGATGATGATATCTTTATGCATGATGTCAAGGATGTGCAGGACATGTCTCGCGTCTTGGAGGTGGGTATCTTTATGTATGATGTCAAGGATGTGCAGGACATGTTTCGCATCTTGGAGGTGGGTATCTTTATGTATGATGGCAAGGATGTGCA